ATAGGCTGCTCGCAATGCGGGTCTCAATCCCATTGAGCTCATAAAGGAACCGGAGGCTGCTGCCTTATTCACCCTGAATTATATGAACCAGCGAGGACTAGATGTAGGGAGTCTATACCAATGCCCAATTCCGTGTCAGTTTTCTGACGTCTGCTACTATTCTAGAAAGGTGACGCCATCACTATTTGTGATGCAGGTGGCGGCACGGTTGATCTTGTTTCATACGAGATTCTAAACATCAATCCCCTGGAGTTGAAGGAAGTGGCCAGCCCAACAGGTATAGTGCAATCTGTGATCATTAGGAAAGTGCCTAAAGGAGACGATTCTCTGACCTAATCAAAAGGTGGTATTGCGGGCTCCCTGATCATCAATAACAGATTCGAAGAGTGGGTTAAAAGTAAGGTTGGGGAACGCAAGTATATCGACCTGAAACAAACAAACGGATATCGCAAGGCAATGAATGATTTCAATGATACTGTCAAACCTGGCTTCCATTCAAAGGATGATCCGGAGCAGCACATTTGCTTTCCGCTGGCGGACTTCAAACCAGACCCCAGCGACAAGTCCATTCGAGGAGACACACTTATTTTGTCAGGGTAAGGAATGTCTAAACCAAGCTACTCAATTATCTGTCCATGCTGATGAATCATAGCAATGACCTGTACCGTATCTTCGAGCCAGTATATAGTGAGGTGAAGAGGCTCGTAAACGAGCAAATACAAGCCGTCAAACTCAGGCGCTTACAAGATCAACACCCGAAAGGAAAAGACATCAAAGTATGTTTGCCTCAAACATATCTGTGATTACTGCTGATGTCTGAAGGCCATATTCCTTGTTGGAGGGCTTGGATCAAATACATGTATCAAAGAGTTGCTTACCACAACCTATCCTGATATTCAAGTTATTCAACCGAATGACGCGTAAGTTCCATCTTCCAGACTTACAGGCTATGCACTCACATGATCCTAGATGGGCGGCAATTGCCAAGTATGTAACCTTCTCGGAATACTTTTATGTGAGACTAATACGCCGTAGAGGGGCCGTGATGAGCAAGCTTCCACAAGGACCTCAAAATAAACCACCTGATGTGGTGACCACAGCCGAGAAGAGCTATGGCGTTTCAGCCGCCATGATATACGATGAAGTGCGTGATGAAGGTCGGGAGAAAATGTGGGATCAATGGGAAGAGAAGGACAGGTGCGCGGTTATGAATTGGTATATCTACAAGGTAAGCAGTTAGGTAATAAGATATTTTTATTTATCTCAAAACTAACCACAAAAAAGTATGATAACTTGAGGCGCGATCGGAAGTTGGAGTTTCCGTTCTATCATCAATTACCGGCTAATCCACGACCGGCTGACTTTTCCGCCTCGTATGAACTGCTGATGTGTGATAATGAGCATCCGCCTGTTCATCCGGATCCTAGTAGGTTACTGGCAGCCCCTACTGAATCATGAGTGATCTAATGATATTTTCCTCTAGCTGTCAGTGCAAACTGCACACTTGATGTTGACCTAAGTTCGGTGCCGAAGAACATGTTTATTGCACAAACGCGCCAGTCTGATAAGGTGCAGTACCAGGTACTGAATTTCAGACTTCTTATCAAAGTCGAGAGCGCGAGATTAGTGTTTACATTCGAGTGTGGTGGCAAGGAATACTCCTCAGTTTACCCAAAGTACTAAAAGTGATCAGTGGTGCTGGAAACTCTTTGAAGCTTCTTGTAATTAATAGCAGATGTTTTGTCCCTTGATCCCCCATAGGTACTGCTACTTCAATTTAAACTGTATATCTTGCCATAGTACTACTGAATCACCGAACTAGTCAGGTGCTCTGGTCCTTTTGTAAAGTATGATTTGAGTTCCAGCATCGGGCATGATCATAGTCATCCAGCTCTATTAGCGACAGCACATGGTAATATGCTTCTCCCAATGTAGAGTGGAAGGAAGGTCGTACATCTCAATTAATGAGCACCGCTAACTGAAACTAACAATTTTAATTATACAGAACATAGCATAGAAGTAATGGAGGGAACTTATTTTTAAGGCCTAAATACCAAGGAGGTACAGTCTGGCTTACTTTTGCCTCTTACCAAAACCCCCCGTCATTTCTCCTTTGGATAAAAAATTAGTGATAATAAACATGACTACATGCTATAGCAATGAACTTCAGTAGCACCACTTCGGTGCCAAGTTGCGAGGAGGATCCCACACTATGTTAACCAAAGTGAATAATTGCCCATAAGTATCAGGTGGTCTGTACCAACCTTTCCACATCTATGCTGCACATCTTTGGCTGACTTTATCATGTATGGAATGCAGCCCAGACCCACACAAATACATACCAGAAGAGCCCACATGCTATGGCCAGATTTAGTTCCAGTAGCAATTGAATGAAGGGACCGGAATCCATTGTGACGTACTGAGTTGTGTTTCCAACTTCATAGCTAATATTAGTCATCGTTCGATGACTGCAGTTTGGGCAGTCTACCTGTGCTGCCGCACGATTCAGACACGAAAGAGGTGTAGCAATACCACGATTAGTTGACATAGGAGTTTGGCTCGGACCTATGGGTTTTGCTGATAATGTTGAAGAATAGGAAGTTGGGGGCCAGAGTCCGTCTTCTTCTGGACGAGGAGAGTGTAGACATTGATCATGCTCTGTACTCTGGCCTGGGTGCTCCGCACCAGGGTACCCCTCAAAACGAGTCGCATATTGCCCCGATTCTGGACGATAATTTTCGTTCTGGATCTGCAAAGACGCATGACGATTTTCGCGCCATTGTGCACTCGGCTTCTCCACTGAGGAACTTTCGGCATTGTACTGTATTTGGCCAGCAGACTGTGGAAACTTAGCTGTCATCGTCCCCCGATATTGCAGGAGCTCTTCTTGATTGGCACAAGGCACGCTCGTATTGCGCCCTATGAAAATTAGAATACAAAGAATGCCAATCGACTTTCCAAAATAACAGCATTTCCAACGCCAGACGTGTTTATTTAACGTGGAAATTCGCTTTCAACATAGAGACAGCATTTTCAATGCAAAAGAATTAATTTACCTGCTCTCTGGAGATTGTCCTGTTGCTCTACCTTACCGGAGTTAGGAAGCATTGGCATAATGAAGCACTTTTGGCAGAGGATGATGCAGTAATAATGAGAGGTAGGTCTTCAGCAGTTCACGTTATGAGATAGTGGCCATCCACGGAGACCTGATTTAAATGCGATTTCACATGGGTGTATCCATGGTACTTTGGTATGACATTGCCTTGAGGCATATGACACTCTCTGTAGCCTAGAAGATGGACGGTGGGGGAAGGGGGGTTTGGTTGGTCAGTACTGCAATTCACGAGATAATAGCGGCCCACGAAACCTCAAGTTGCTTTTTGATGTAGGTAGGAGTGGTGAATCGCCGGTTGGGTGAGCCACACAATGGTTGCAGTCTGCCTTTGAACCTATTTGTGATAGCGTCCATGGGCCTTGGGGGACGATTGGTCCGTGGTTTGAAGAAAGCGTAAAACTAAGTATAACCCAATTTTTCGAACCTCGATTCGCAGAGTTAAAATTGGCGTACAGTGGTAACACAGATATCTTATTTCCCCCTTTTCTTTTATTTTATTTTTTTTTATTTTTTTTTTTATTTTTTCCCTTGCTTCGGGGATGTTGCGTCATGCCAAGGCCTTCATGGAGCCATAGCACCTGATAGTTGTGACACCCTGTCTGGCGCTGGTGTTGCTAACAGTCATGTGGAAGAGTTTGGGTGGAACTGTTTGCCGGACGTCATTAACTTCGTACAGGGAACTCGTTGCCCCAGGACTGAAGAGACTGGCTCCGCAGACCACCCGTCTAATTATTGTGTACCGCCATCACGGGCTCTTTCAAAGTCAAAATTTCATTTGAGAATTCAAAGCTACTTTTAAGGACAACCAGTCTGCTGTGTGTGGCTCCATGCTACTGTAACATGCTTGGTGACCAGACCATCAAGGAACAATACATGCGGCATTGCTGGCGAATCAAATACAAAAAATAAAATAGTAGATCAAATGTCCGAAGACATAGGTTAGATGCCTAGATTGACCATCATCATTTGCCAACATTTTCAATACTTGATCGCTTGCCCGGGGACATCTGGAACCGCATCTGGTTCTTAACTGGCCTAATTGTTATATGGACCGTCGAATTCGAAGTGAGAACGGAATCTGGACTATGTCGTAGCGGACGGAGACAGACCTGGTTATGTTACGGATAGTGCGATAGCAAGCACTTGAAATATTATCAATCAGTTGCTCCAGGTTAGACTGAGCACTGCTTGTCTTCCTGGGCCTACGACGTTCGTTTTCTTCGGGCGGTTTCCTCATATGCCCAATGTCTACAGGCCAGCTGGTTACAACAGCCACCAATCTCTCGTCGACCTCTCCCCCTCTCGGAACCTTGTTTGGCTACTGGACTGGCAGTCCTTCGAGGCCCAGACCGAAGTCTAGTGCGCCGAGCGTATGGGAGCGACCACTTAAAATACCATGTCGTCCAGAGATACCTGGTTTGCGCGGGGGAACAATCGAAGACAGAATTTAGGAAGGATATCGCCGCAGCCTCGACTCATCTAAATGCGTGGCAAACATGAAGGGAAGTATCTATGTATGTCAAGAGACGTGGGTTATGTACTGATCAGCCCGGTACTAGTAATACAGCTGAGCGGAAGTGTGGTTATCTGGCTTAAGTTCTACCACAGACGCGGAAGGTAGCTGAAACATTCTTGATCCACTTGACACAAGATTATTGTGTGGCATTGATATTTGACTATAATGTACTAGGATATATAAGCCACGAGCTGATTCTCATGCAACTCAAAATGGTGTTCCCTCTTTCGTAGTGATAAAGCTCTGATTTGGCGCCCTTCAGGTGCCTGTGGACATTCTTGTCTATCTATATCATAGACGCGAACAGGACAATAACAGAAGTCTAAGCTTCTTCAGAGGCACAGAGAATCAAAAGAAAGACTCGGCGCATCAATTAGGTAACCCCTTTTCTCGCACAGTCAACTCAACCGGCCAGTTCGTGTTCAATACGCTTCCAATCGCATCAAACTCTTGCTGCCAGCCGCTAGGGTCAGGAGGCACCGACCCATTAGGGTCATAGTTGACAGTCTCTGCATCCACCTGCACTTCACTACCCAAGCTCATGGTACCTTCAGCAATGGCCGTACCAAGGTTACAAAGCAATCCTGGGCCCTCCGCCCACGCCATATTCGGATCCTCCCACACCTTCACACGCAGGTCGGTTGAGTGTTTGCGAAAAAGGAATCCTTCAGGCAGGGGTTCATGAATTGGCTGCATGGCTGCTTCGGGGTAATCTGTTAAGCCCAGAATAAGCCCCTGGCCTAGCTTGTCTTTGATCTTGTCTTTTGTTGCTTGATCGAAGTGTACATTGTCCGCCGTGAGCGACGCGTTGGGGGCTCGGAGCATCATATGGCTGATGTGAGCTTGATTTTCTGTGCCGTATAGGTAGAAAGGTGTGAAGCTTTGGGGGTAATCATGATCGCGATGCTGTAAATTGAGAGGTCGGCTCTTTACAAGTCTCTTCAATGTCACACCGGTGTACAATCTCCTACAGATTGCTCGGGTTAATCTTTTCAATCTTTTACATACTTTCAGATAGGTAGACTTACCTGTGACCATCCGCGTATATATGTCCCAGGAAGAACAATCGACGATCCAGGCGGTCCGAAGAATCATGGAAGTGGGGGTAATGGGAGAGAGTTTCTTCTTCTGGGATCTCCGGTTCTGCTTCGCCTAGAGTGTGATCTTCAGCTTCACCCTTATTTTCTTTCTTATCTTGTTCTGTTGTCGGTGAACCTGAACTTTTCCATGCTAACATCTTTATTTTTTTCTCGAGATTAATGTTGTGATGTGACTCCAACGTTATCTGCTTGTACTTCCCGCTTCTTTTCAAGCTCACGTAATCGTCCTTGTGCCATATATCGGCAGCCACGATGACTTGTTCTCTTTTGGTCGCTTCATGGAACGAATGCTGGTAAACTTAAAACACCTCGTCGGTACCCTGCATCAGGAATGAGGCCTGCTGCCGGCCACGTTTGTTGCGTTCGCGACTGACGATCACCTCCTGCATCACCACTTTCTTAAACTCTCGCATCAACTCATCGATGAATTTCATATCCGTGGGGAAGGGGCTCATGACGACGTTTCGCAATACAAATAGGCTCTCCGGCATTTTCTTCACCCCTAGTCGGTGCATAAATTCTTGTGCGCATTCGCCGTACAACTCATGCTGGAATTCCGTCGAGGTCAAGTATAGCGGTCGCGTGGTTGGATTACTGTCTGAAGAGTTAACGGAAAATCTGTGTCGACAACCCTCTTCATGAGATTGTTTGCTTCTTCTAGGTCCTCGTTTAGGCGTCCATGCTCATCGAACCAGTTAAGAGCAAAGGCGTTGATGTTCAAGTCCGATCCCAACTCGCGGAGCAATTCCATCAGCTTTCCATCCTCGTCCGCTGCAGCAATATCGTCATTTGACTTTCTTAGGATCTTCTCTCGAATGAGATCTCTTTCCTTTCTGGCTTCTGTAGAGAAGTAGCCATTTCCGTTTTCTCCGGGTGGTCGATTCAGTGGGACACAGATGAACATTCTATCGGGTGTGTCATTTTCGTCTCCGATCGCGGCCCAATACGCTGATAGCTAGATATAGCTGTTAGCTGGTGCTCCTGTTCTCAGGCCTTATTGCTTACTCTAGCACTAGTAAACGCCGCCTCTCCAAGAAGCGACCCTCCATAGCCATACTGGTCAAGTCCGATAGTCTTGTTTGAGAGCCACGTTGACATGGCTGCGGCTCCTGGCTTACTGTGCGAACATTAGTCTCATAGGAGGTTGGAGCGACTCAGTGCTGCAAAACTTGACCCATCTTCCCTCAACGCCAAAGATTCCTATACTCGAGTCTACATTTCCTTGAGATAAGTAAGGGCTGGTCCAAGTCACCAGAAACCTCATTCGACCGTCCCGGTAGACCAAGCTGCCCGCTGGATATGGTACATAACCAGCTTTGTGAGGGCCCACTGTAATAGAGTCCACATATTTAAGAGCTCTGAGATCTTCTGCCGTCCTCTGCTTCAGTGTCAAAGATGGAACAAAACCTTTGGATGTCGTTTGTCTCTTGAGGTTTTCTGCCTGTTGCTCTAGCTCTTTACCTCTCGGTAGCATGGTGGCGAAATATCCACCCCATGCCGCATCGGCGTGGAGCAAAAATGACATTCCCATCTTTTTGAAATCATCTCGCATTTTCACGATCTCCTTCAGGTTGTCCACGGCACCCTCTTCTGTTGATCCCATGATAGCAACAACCCCATACACGGGTCGTTTTTCATCGAGACAGGTTTTGAAGCTCCTTTCTCAGTTCTTCGATGTCGAGTCTCGCCTCTAAGTCAACTTTGATTCCATACATGAAGTCGGAGCCGAGACCAGCGATTGCTATTCCATTCATAGTGAGCTCTAGTACAACTGTGAATGTGGCCACACTTACCGGCACCCTTGGGCCAGGAGTAATGGCGAGTCTTTCCTACCATATACCTGAATGGAAACTTCACGTCGTTGATAACATCTGTCTCCAGAAATTCCTCTTCCAGCTCGCTCTTACTAATGTTTTGGATATTGTAATCCACCATTACCTTATCTAAGAAATCATTGGAGATATTATGGTGATTGTATAGACGCTGAGGGATGCCAAGTACAGTGTCTGGCCGAAGGTTCAACAGTTCCCATGCGGTCATTTCATCGAAAACCTTGGATTCACCTTGGCAGTTCTCGATCGTGAACTTGCCCGCCAGGAACTGCAGCTTTCCTTTTTTATAGCAAGGTAGAGTGATAGTGGGTAGTATTTCAGATTTCGGGCTAGTAAGTCCTTCAATAAGCTTCTATCACAACATTTGCATGGGCCGCATATACTTACCCACCCAGATAGACTCCAGATTGGCGATTGTCCCATCAGCAGTTATGTGGCCCCATCCCCGAGGCGAAGCATTGGGGTCAACATCGTACCCAAACATTTCGCAAAGCTGCTCTCCGGCTTTGATTTCCGCGTAGGTCGTGAAGGGACTTGCTTCCAGAGTAACATTGTTCGGGTTGTAAAGCATAGTCATGAAATATCCCAGCAGAGCTGGCATGGTCATGTCGGTGCACATATGCCCTTCATATCTTGGAGACCAGAATGGAATTGACTGCTGTCCCATCAGGTGGGCAATCTTCTTCACTACCTCACTGAAGTTCTTCACGATCAACTTGTATAGGTCCTTGTTTTTGACATCGTCTGGTATGAACGGCTTTTGCGGATTAGGTTCTCAATTGACAAGCCGTGTGGCTCATGCTTAGCTACTTACCTTATCATTGGGAAAGTAAGCTAGTCTTGCATCTTTCAGTTCTTCAAGAATGGTTTCGATATTCTCCTGAAAGTATTGAAGGTTTCCCGCCTTAGGTCCGATGAAATAAGAACTGATAATCTGGTGAGTGCGCTCACGCTGCTCAGGAATACCGGCCGACATGGTTGGTAAAAAAATCCAAGGTATAGCAAATCAATCTAGACAGCTTTCTCCATGAACACAATCCAGAACGCCTCGTGGGAAGCCTTCGCCTTTCCCTCTCACTGTTTTTTAATACCGAACAAACATATTCGAGTGCTAGTGTCTCATAAGGTGGCAATCAAGCACGGAAGGAAGTTGAGGGTGAATGTAACATTGCCAACCAGAACCTGTTAGATGGCGGAGAATATCCACACCGAAATGTCACGCAGTGCACTCACATCGTCATCTACGAAGACAACAACATTCATGGCCTGTCCAAGCCAGTTGAATCACACTCCCTGTATTAAGCTGTCTTCAGCATCATGCTTATTAAAGATCTTTCTCCCTGAACCTTGCACCCCTTGTTCCGACCGTCTGACCCCAAACTACCCCTTAGCTACATCCTTTAATTCAGCCGCCGCCGAAGTTCCTGGCGCGTGCGCATGTAACCTTAATCCCGTATCTTAACTGGATTAAGGTTGCGGTCCTTTCCTTAGACAGGAGTGGCTCAAATACCCTACGTCAAATCATCCTATGGTACCGTGGAACATGCCCAGATGAGGTAATCGTGCAGCAGGTTCAAATGGCTATTTATTTACTAGTAGTTATAGCTTGGTCCTCTGTAATCAAGTCCTGATGTTGGCTTTGTTCAGGTCGATCTTGCTGCGAATCACCTATGTGATCGCCGCGGGGCGCATCAACTCTCCCCTTCAGAAAACGATGCCTGACTCAATATTCATGAACCCGCCAAAAGAAAAATCCTTTACGTTACCGCTTAAACCCCATTCTATCAGCATATCATATCAACTAATCACTTCTGGTCAGATATCCGAATACATCTGTCCTTACGCAACTTCATGCATGACACGTGACATGCAATCGCACTCTCACCGCTACCCAGACACAAGCACATCAATGCATTAAATAGTTCATCGCAGTCAAAAGAGTTCATATCATCATACTAGAATACATGCGAACCCCTCACCTCGAACTAATAAACTGCTTCAGCTTCTCCTGATCGAGAATCTCGCCCTCAACAAGCCTTCCCGTCTCCACAACCTCCCCATTAACAGACTCATACCGCACCAGCGCAGGAATGTTGTTCACATTCCATCTAGTCCGGTAGGCATTTTGTGGGTCTTTCCATCTACAATACCCCAGGAAAGTAAGGCAAATCAGGTTAGCAAGAACGGACGCATAGAAACTTAAACGGATAAATAGTAGATAAATAGATAGGGTATATCTTACTCAGGCTTCTGTCCTACTTCAACAACCCCAACTTGCGGACCTTGCTCGCTGGAGAACGCTTCTTCAATTTTAGGCCATGCGGCACGGACATCCGGACACCACGCTTGTCCGGTAGCCGGGTCTGCGGACGAGATAAAGGCGAGGAACAGTTTCTTGTCGGTGGGGACCTCGAGGAGGTTCGCCGACGTGGGGAGCTGGAAGTTGGAGATGAGTGGCATTTTTCTGGTCTTTGCCGGTTTGAATATCTGGCTGTAGATGCGGAGTAATGATGAGGGGATGGGCATTTCAGCTGTGCCTGCCTGATCTTACTAAAAATAAAAACTGTCATTTTTCTCTGCTGGGTGGGCGGTGAGAGGTATTTGGTGGGGGTTCTGCCGGGTGTTTGTATAGTAAAGAAGATGGTGCAATTCAGGTGTCTCGTTGCGCATTCCATGCTGGAGGTAGATGAAATACCTAGCGATGCCAATAGCACAGTCCCCAGTAGTTGTTGAAGTAAAATAAAAATGGAACAAAGACGAAAAAAAATTAGGTGAGGGTCGATACAGAAATGACTCTCGACCAGCTCCGGCTCGGCGCGGGATGTAAAGTTTTGGAGCAAAAAAGAATGACCAGACTGGGGCTCGATCCCAGGACCTTATCGGTGTTAACGATACGTGATAACCAACTACACCATCCGGCCATGCTTGTTGAATTTTCTGTCAATTTTAGCTTTAAGAAGCTAATATTTCTTGCTTCGTCGAAAGCATTCATGAGGTATAGGAAAGTCAAATACGTCTGATTAAGTTGTATAGAACCCCAGATTATGAATCCTGTGAGCCCAAAAAGAATCTATAATGCATCTAATGCACTTGCTTCTATGAACTGTATCATAATGGTCATGACAAATAATTCTTCTAGTCCCTTTCCACAATTTCCACTGGCCCCCGTAGGGAATATATATAGGCTCGCTTAGCGGCACTCGGGCAGGTATTTTTGACCGGCAGCGAAAAACTGTTTCTACCATGTTACCACTCAGAACCCCGGTTTGAACCAGATGCTAAGGCGGATCTGAACCCAGAGTAGAAGTGATTATATACACACCCCATAAGCCGTCCCTTAGTTCCGCCAGCCACGGAAACCGAACTAGACAACGTGTTGGGCGTGATTATACCTCCAAATCGCCCTCATGGGCACTAGCAATGCTGTCGCTGCCAAAGCCATCACCATTGCACTAAACAATTGCATACCCAAGAATCCATTGCTTCCGCCGTACCCCTCGAGAGCACCACCAATAGGCGCACCAATCAACGCACCCAAACTAACAGCAAACCACTGCATGCCCATACGCGTCCCAATGACCGATGGGGTAGGCGAAATGACCGGATGAGCCATCAATACCGGAGTAACGGCGATAAAGCTGCCGGTGAAAATCCCGAGGAAGACAGAAATGACAATGCATCCGGCGACTGTGTGAACGCCTATCCAGCCGAAGAGGATGACTGCAGAACCAGCCATGCTAGTATACAATACCTTACTCGGGCCGAAACGAGAAACCAGCAGAGGGCAGCCTATACGGCTGATACTGGAGCTCGCATTGAATATCGAAACTATATAGACGCTCAGGTCTGCTGAAGTGTGCAGTGTAGACTGGGCAAAGGAAGGTAGGAGGAATAGCGGGACGAAGTAGGACACAAAGAAGAGAAAGTTGACAAATGCGTAGGCATTGAAGCTCCACTCCTTTAATGCATGCCAGTGGATGAGCCGGCGTGGTGGACTGGGTTTTGGATTGGTCGTGGCTATCAGCAGCGGGACGGCGACACCGGAGCAGGCTATCTGGATAAAGGCCAAGGTGCGTGCTGTCCAGGGAAACCCGATCAGTGGCTGCAGCCGGATAAAAAGAATTGGAAAGACGGTTCCACCTGGGTACAAGTGTGGTGAGTGAGAGTGCATAGGCAGCGGGTATTTGCCGATCAGGACAACGCACCAATGCTGGCCCCAGATGACAATAGGCCGACGGCAATGCTGCGGCGTGTGGTGAAAAGGGTGGAAGCCAGTGACAGGGCGGGTACGTAGATCAAGCCACAGCCTATGCCGCTACAAACACCCTGTGATAAGAACACTTGATAATACTCTGTAGATAAGCTCAGCATCATGAACCCAATGACGTTCAGCAAACAGCCGACAGTCATTAGCGCGTGCAGATATCCCTGATCAAACAGTGGCCCGGCAAGAACACCCGTGGAGATCATGAAGAACCCTTGGATGGTGCCTATCCAGGCGATGCGTGATGGGGAACTGGAGCGCAACAAGTCAGACTCATAATACGCCTGGAAGGCCCCAAACGCAGACGAGTATCCATAGGTAGTGGCGAAGAGTAGAAAGGAGGCAAAGACAGCAGACCAGCCAGCGACCCCTCCATTTGGCGGAGCTGGAGCAGCAGCAACAGTATCATGCTGGTATTGCTGGGGACTGGAACGTCCAGACTCCTTCGATTCCATTGCAAAGAAAGTAAAATAGAACTTTCGATCCCATATACAGAAGTTTTGTTGTGAGCCAAAAAGTTTATGTTAGGTGACAAGATATGCGATGAGAGGAGACGGTGAATAGAAGAACCACAAGCTCTGTCCCTAACTTGCGACTAATCATTAATCATCCGTAGAGGCAAATATGTAATAATTTGAGAAAGCAAATATAGTCGTCATGATGTGGTTACACATGATAGTATTCCTCAGCTTCTCCGATCAATAGTTCTGCAGCTACCGACAGCTATAGACCTATCGAAGCCGAGCTCCATTGACGGTCAGCCAATAGAAATCCACCATGAGTACAGTGGAATCTGAAATCGATCGCGCAGATCATATGCAAGGCAGATCATCTGATGAATTGGCTATGATCTGCGCGCAGCAATTATGACTGATTGGAGCAGCGGTGAAGATCGTGCTGAAGAGTGCAGGTAGGTATGCAGGATAGCTGTTCAAGCAGGCTTAGTGGTGTGGCAATCGGGCCCGATAAAATGAATCAAGGTAGACTTGCAGCAAAGTTTCCTGCATTCAAATGCTATCTTTCTGAGGCTGGTGAAACTTTAAAGAAGGAGCACTGAGCTGAAGGAACTTAATGTATGCATATCTAGCCGGAAGGACACGTGGTGAAAAAAGTCAGATATACGATTAGAAGTCAAACTGGTAGAAAATGTTTAACTAGGTGTGACGTCTGTACTCTCTAGTTGTATTGCTCCCTACCACCGAGTTCCTATGTTCGCATTGATTTTCTTATTTCCTGGCAGTGACTATAAACCAAAAGAAGACTTATATACTAGTTTCAAATGCTCGAGACCATATTGTAATCCCCAGCATCAGTCTTCTCTTTTGCGTGGTGTAATTGTAACGTGAGGCACATCACCCGCCACCGGCATTGGCACCGTCGCCCTCCCTTTGGGAATATCAACTCTAGGAAACGGACATTTCTCAATCCCACCAGGTATGCCCACGTCATACCGACATACCACAATAGCAACAAAGTACATCACAAGTTGAGGTGCCATTATTTTACCTCCGCACTGATGGGTGCCATCCCCAAAAGGCCTGAAATACCGCGAGTTCGCGAGTCCCGGATTGTCGAGGAAGCGCCGATGTTTAAACTCCTCTGCATCAGGGCCCCAATGAGTTTTACTTACTTGGATGCGGTTATAAGGGATAAGAATATTTGAGCCCTTCCGTAGGCGATAGGGACCAATCTCTGTATCTTCAGAAATATGACGGAATACGTGTGTGCCAGAGTGGAGACGCATAGTTTCCTCAAAGGTGGACTTGAGGATTGGGCAGCACTCTAGCCGTGCTGGGATGTCGGATGGTGCCACGGGCTTGTTTCTCACAAATGCCTCTTCACATTCTTCTCGAATCGTAGCTAATAGCTCTGGGTTATAAAGAACTCTGCACAAGACCCAGAATGCGGCAGTGGATGGATTGTCGAGCATGCTGTATGGTTTGGTTTAGTGATAACATTCCAAGTACTGATAGATGGGCAACACACTCACCCCCAAAAAACCCAGACATACATCATAGCCAATTCTTCCTTTGTAACAGCTGCCGCGCGGATTTCATCTTCGGTCATAGTCACGAATTCTGCACAGTCCAACTTCTTTTCTGTGGGCAGGGCAAAGTATTTGGCAAGAATACACGCTAGCTTGTCGCTGGCAGCATAAGCCTTTGGGGCAAGTATTCTAGGACGTCTCGTGAAAATGGAATAAATATTCGTCTGGAGAAGGAACATGGTATCTACCACCTCTGGGAACATCTCCAGACACACTTTTCCAAAGGCTCCGTCACTAACCGTCACGGTAAAGGCATCCACAGTCCATTTGAACAATGAAACCTTTCCCGGCTCAGCAAGGGATCTTCGCAGTGAATCAGAGGCAGCCAAAGGGGTGAGAGTCTTATCCATCTGTGCAAGTATGGTTAAAGTAAGAGGATTATTCTGCGGCTGTGCTCGGAGACCTCTTCGCACATTTTCTGTGATTGCGCGAGGGATCGGCTCTTGCCTCTTGGCAGTTATCGTGGACCAGAGGCGAGCTCTTGTTGGACCCGGGACACCGGATGCTGCCATCAGGATGTCAAGGAAATGGTCGTTTCCTATCAGTTTGGTTTGCTTGTGAATCTCCGATATCAATCGTACATCTTGGACCACGTATAGTGATCGACCACCGACGTGCAAGCGGAACGGGGTATCTTCAGTTTTGAGGTATGGCCTAAGGCTTCAGTGAGATCGGAACTGCTACACTGGCTCCGAAGAACCCTTACATTGCGCTGTCTATCGTCTTCTCGATATTCCTTAAGAATGAGAAGGTGTGGCCGGCGCCTATATACACTTAGCGATGTTTTCGAAAAGAGATGTGTTTAGCATGGCTGTAGCCCAACTACTTGCCTGGTATCCAGTAAGGAATTAAAGGGGGTTCTCGACCATGAACATGTCTACCACTCCACTGCCTGATCGCATGCCATAAGCAGTATATGACAAGCGCGACACCAAGCAGTAAATAGCTTCTAGAGCCAGAAACAATCCCCACGAAAGACATGGTCGTCAATGACTATCCTTGAAATGTGGGCCTGGGGGGCAAGAGGAAAGGCCGTTGACTCTTGGTGAATGCCCAGGCGTTGCCATACTCGTGAGCCAAATGGAAAATTGAATGCTTACATAGGAATGGGGGCCCCATTACACCACGAGAAAATGTCCGTGACGAGTGAACGTACCAAATCCCGAAACTTGTTTTATGTTCCATAGATCATGCACGGGTGGATTGGAATATGCAACGTGACCATTCAGCTCCTCATGCGACCTTCAGCCCCAGAAGATATATGGCCAATGGAAGGCTCGAGCGGTGCTGTTTGGTCTGCACGTTGGGTAAGCTCACGCATCTACTACAATGCGCCACGTGCGGGTTTACCGGATCATTGAACAGACCTAATTGGCAGCGAGTTGGGAAAAGCCATACACGATAAGTTACTTGATGGGTACCAACAGAACATATTGCAGGCCAGCTGAGACCGCGAAACCGGTAGGAACCATGCTATCTGCGCCTTGGAATGAATGGAGTCAACATCTATGCTCATCACTACGGTTGCTTTCTTCAGCTATCTGTATTTTGGAATGATTACCATCAACATCCTTGCTTATCACATCCGTTGCTTTTTTTCGGGGTTTGCAATTAATGAACTAGCTGCTCTAGTGGTGTCCGGTGTTTGTCCGGCTATTGTCACACGAATTAGTGTAGGCCGGACGTGGGGGTGGCAAAAAAAGGAAGGAAAAATATTGACCTACGCAGGACTCGAACCTGCAATCTCTTGATCCGTAGTCAAGCGCCTTACCATTGGGCCAGCAGGCCAACTGTTGAATTATCGAATACATTTTTTGCTTAATGTATCATATCAAAGAAAAGGCATAACGTTTTAAAATCTCTCAGCTGCAAAAACTTGATCCTCTCGCATGTCTGGATTTATCCCTGACATTATGGAGCGACAGGAGTTTTCACCCTAAGTCTGAACGACATGCTTACATATGTTACTTTGCTCTTCTTTATGGATTGAGAGAAGCTAATTCCTATCGAATTTAGCTTTATAATCGTCCTTCATGCCACTCATTATTTGATTTGGGGGGTGTGGAGACTCGGATTAATATATTTCAGCAACTAGCCCTAACCATTATGAATATTAGTATTAGTATTAGCTTTCTGTCACAATGAAGCGGCACGTTAATTGTCATCCATTAGTAGTATCGTCAGCAATAGCTATTTCTTAGTCCACATTGCGACAATACCCAGCCATTTATCACTAACCAGGACAAAACCAAAGACGTCATCAAAGCCCAAAGGAGGAAAATAAGGAGGGACGGGATAGACAGGAAGTAACAATGCTGCAAGACTCAACATTCATTGAAAGAGGGTAAGTTCAGCAAACCTGGCCCATTTGTCCAAGTGTGATTAACCTCCATACTATATCGCTTGCTGCGAAACGGAGACTCTATTTCAAATGTCATGCCGCGCAAACTTGCTCCTCAAGCGGAGCTGCTTCCCACGCCAGTAAAGAACAAATGGAAATGGCACAAAAAGACAGGTCAAACAGCCCAGCAACGTACAAGCCCAACCTACCCCAAGATGATGAAACATAGCAGCTGCGAACAAGGGAAAGCCGGCTCCAAACGACGAACGCATGAAGTCGTTGCCGGCAAGCACCGATGCTGCATACCTTGGATAGGCACGGGCCAGGTAGCAAAATATCGGGTTAAAGATCAAGCATCCACCCACTGAGAATAGCGCCGCAGCAGCAATCGGGGCTATCCAGTGAACAGACTCGAAGTTACCGGTCCATCCAAACCAAAATAGAGAGATGGGTAAGCAGATGCTGCCTACACAGGCTGGAGGTAGCTCATATTCTGGTGGGAATGACTCGTCGTTGTCCCCAAGCAGCTTCGACTGGTAGAAGTATTTCCATGTGAAGTAGCCCGGGATAGCAAAAGCTACAGTACCTGTTATAATTCCTAGGAACGACATTCCGCTTTCACCCGAATTGAATCCATGAATTTCCTGAAAGACGATAGGGAAAGCCTCGAACCATATGTAGAGGATACCGTAAACGAGGGAGATGTAGACGTTCATGACGAGAACTATTGGCTCTAGAAAGCACAATTGGAATGGACGAACTAGAGCTTCATACACGATATCCTAATATTTTGTGAGCGCTGGCTTAGGATAGAAGAACTGCATACCGATAGCATACCGTAGATGGAATTTGGCGAAGCTCAAGCTCGGTCTCGGAGTAAACATCTAACTTGCTCAATTGGCGCATCCGCCGTGCGCGACGATAAAGAATGTTTGGACCATAAGTCTCCGGCAACAAGAAAAATAGTAAAACAAGAGCAAGCCCAGAGACCCAGATCAACTGCCAGATTGTCCACGTCCAACCATTGGCAGATGAAGCAAATCCACCAACCAGGGGCCCAAGAACTGGTGCGGCGATGGCAAATGCACCCCATATGACGATCATATAGTCGCGAGCCCTGGGGCTCCATAGATCTGCCATTGAAGCGCCCCCGGTTGCTAGGGCTGGCGAGCCGATTAATCCAGTCAGAAAGCGAAATGCCAGTAACATCCCAAAGTTGTTCGCATATACGACTGCGAAGTTGAGGAATACAAACACGAAAAGCGTCAGCACGTAGATTGGACTTCTTCCAACCATGGGAAGCTCAGAAAGAGGCGACCATATCATGGGGCCTGACAGATAATTCAAGTGTTAGTGAGTTGTAGTGTTATTTCTGAGGCTGTCAATGATCTTACCGATGCCATAGCCTAGCACGAACAGTGTAAGGCCCAGAGTGGCAGCTACATTGCTGACTCCAAATTGCTCTGCTACATCGGGAATGCCTGGTGAGTAGATAGCCGAGCCGATGTAGATTGCAAAAGTCAAGATCCATACTAGGCAGCTGACTAGGAACTTTTTGATAGTACTCCAGTTTTGCGGATTCTATCACCTGTCAGTCTCTGGAACCCTGAAAAATACACGCGAATGATAAGCATAATACCTCACTATCACCTGGTCTCCACCCTACGATTATAGGCCTTTTGTCTTGAGGAGCAGGTACCGGCCAGGATCCTCGGTGTGACCGGTAAGACGCCTGAGACATGATAGTTTCCAATCTGTTGGGCTCAATGATGCTTTCATTGCGAGTAATATCTGGCAAAGCGACCTCCTCTTTAGCCGCGACATCAGGCGGTTCTTGCATGAAGGATAAGTCCAGGTCTCGTTCTTCAGGGTACAGCAAGAGCCGCCGACCGCTCAAGATTCGGACGAGCTTCCCAAAGGCTGTGTCTCTTATGAGTTCTTTCATTGCAATTATTGTTAACAGCGTGAATGAATTGAATACGACGTCCATTTATCCGGGTGCAGAATAGAACTGGATAGGTACATTATTTGAATGAGGGGCCACGACAATTGTGTCTGTTCGAGACCACTCCTGAACCCTCATTTTAGTAATAGTCAAACAACAATCAAATTTTGCATGAAGCCCATTGGGTACTTAAAACTAAGCTACTAGCCTATCATATAATGATGAATAAATGGCGGCCTAGACCGGAACATAGCCAGAGCATACCGGCCGGAAGTTCCATCGGAAAGCCGAACATCTTGGACCGACACAGTATTTTTCGACGTACTAGCGAGAAACACTACTCAAAAGACTGTATGTATGTATAGTAAAGAATGGTCGAACATATCCTGGATCTTGGGTTTTATGTTTGTCCTTTTTTTTTTTTTTTTTTTTTTTTTTTTTTTTTTTTTTTTTTTTTTTTTTTTTTTTTTTTTTTTTTTTTCATTTCTCTCTTTTCAGGAGGGTCGCATTCGGGCGGATCTGCATGTGGTCTGTGCCGACCCTGATATTCTTCTACTTCCGCTCGGTCTACCGAACAAAGAGGGCTAGGTTCCGAAAGTTTCTCTTCCGCTGGGGAAATCGTGCATAGAATTGTAGACGGCTGGCTCCATAACAACAGGATAATGCAAATTTCTCATTCTTTATGTAGAAGTATCTCAAAGCAGTGCCAAGCCGAACTGGCAATACAATATCGTAGGAGCCGCAAGTATGCGATGGCCCATGCTTATAACTGCAAAGCCTATATTTCACACACAATTAACTGGGGTAGCAAAGATAGGTCTATTGTTTTTGATTCATAGATTCAGTCCTCCTAGCAACCTCACGATGCCTTAGTCTGGAAAGAAGTGTACATTCTTCAACACGGGAGACGAGGATTGGTTCATGAAGAAATAACGTTCGCCTAAGCAGCAACAGTGTCACTTGTTGGACTAGATTAGGGTCAATCCTTTCTAGGGCATAATCAAATAGAGGCACAAAATCAAACTTCCCGAATGGCCCCCTCGAACAACTGGTTCGACGGAGCAGAGCTCTTATGACGCATTTTTGCTGCTGTCTCAGCCCCTGCAACCGGTGCTCGAACTTCAAAGCTTCTTCCGTGGGCCGGCCTCTTCCCACCAGGAAGTGGATATGGAAATGGTAGAAACTCTGGCATAAGGCCCAGCTGCTTGAGGACAGTGGCTTGGTCCCAGGTGATGTGTTCGTGGTAAAGGCGATCTCCTCGGATGTTGACCACTGCCATGAACGGGATCTCCAGCTTGCGGCCTGTTGGAGGGATCCCAGGGATTCTGGAAGGTACGTTAGCATAGCGGTATGAATAACTATGAATGTGTAATGCAAGACATGAGAAGGTATCAATTACAACCAATCGACTTCAGAATCATGTGTGAAAGTCATTATAAACTCATCAACTACCCGATCAATACCGATAGTCCGACTTATCAGTTCATTCTTGGTATCTGGGGGGTTGTTGAAAATAAAATGGTCGCGATAGAATCTGGTGAGCTCATCACGGCCAATCCCACCCGTCATCTTCAGACAATCTGTCAGCCGGTTGAATTGAGACACTAATGACTGGGTTACATGCTACTAACCGTTGGGATGTGATTCACATAGGGCTCTTGCACCATTGTTGCCATTGTTTGCTCAACTGATCGATTGTCGAATTCAAAGTAAGTATGTTCTTCCCAGATAACCTCCAGGTCGAAGAATGGGCCATTCATGTGCTTTTTTAGGAAGGTCAAGCTTCGCGTATGTGAGACTCCCTCCGTGGCATAATCGAATGCGGTAGAATTTGGGATGGCAAAGAATTGGCTTTCTATGTTTGGATAGTCATATTGCGTTGTACTGAATGCTCTTTGTAATGGTGTATCCGCTTTCCCAGCTAGATGGTACATTGTGGGAATGTGGCTCGAGATCAACTGAGTTGCATCGCTTGCTGCCGCGTACACAACAGCTGCCGTGATTCTCTCGATGCCGGGAAGAGACTTCAGGCCTTCCCATAGATGAAAGCCATATGCTGCGGTCTGAATAAGCAATAGTCCTGAGTGCGAGACCTAGAGTGAGAGCCTCACCTATAAGACCAATGATGTCGTTTGGCGTGCACTTGTCATGTTGCGCCAATTCCTCTACCGCCTGGCACAACACGGTTTCCTGGCTGAGGGCAGATTCACATATCTGGATGACAGTATATCCCTCCTCAGCCCACTTTAGGGAAGGCGGAGGGGCAGAGTGATCCTCGATTAGCTGACCCGAAAGGCCATCAGGAAGGACGATAATCATACCAGGGCCAACGCCTCTGCGAGTAAGAGGGGAGAGAAGGAAAGAGTTTGGCCGTGTTCTGTTAGAATCGCCAATAAGTAATGCAGTCATGCTCGTACAGGTTTGATCCATATCTGCTTGGTGTTGAAGTTATAGACAAGATCCGGGGGTAACGGGGTATGTTATGTGATCTGTTAAGTAGGTGACCTTAGTGCCTCTTAAGTAGTCGTGCACAATGTCTTGGTTATCGCATTTCCCCGCATGTATCGGGGAATAGCTATTATTTTTGTCTTTTCGGCCGACAATCTGGCCACCTTTCCTGTCAATGCGGGGGATCTCCAGGCAAGTGGTTGTAGCGTGGCTCTCTGACTTGACTTATCATCCCCTCCCCTCAACTGCTTCGGATACCAGTGCATAAGCTCCGAGATGCGAGAGTGGCGTGAGGGGGTTACAGTGGCTCCAGCGGCTTCTAGCTCTGCAAAAGAAGGGTCTGCTTCAAGGGAGATTGGTTGGTCGGCCTGTGCTCCGCGGGATGCAGATCGATCTAGGTCAACATCGACCACTACTTGTGTGGAATAAAACTTGTTGCTGTTACTAATTAATTCAATCGCCTTGACCAGTCCGCCTACCAGTCCGCCTGCCAGTACAGAGCCAGCTCCTTCATTCCCCAATTATGGCCTTTATTCAGGGTTTTGCATTTTCTTCCCGCCGAAATGGTCTCGGTGATAATGTGAAAGCGCAACATGCTCAATATTGTCGATTTCGGTTCTGAGTCGTCGAGTATTTCTTGCCCAGATGCCACCTTCGGGGCTAGGATCGAAGACACGAAGGATAGGCTTACAAGGAGTAGAGATATCCCATGCATGGCACAACAGATGTTGTCCATGCGCATTTCCATAGTGGCTCCACCACGCTCCGTCCACGAATTCACCAGCATGAGGGGAATTCCCATAAACCTACTTGCCACTTTTACAGCTGCATTGGGACTTGGGGAGATCGGGTCGAGTTCGTCGTTGACGATAACATGGATCTCGAGGTCATCAATTTCAGCAAGCATGATAAGGTCTCTACTCCGAGCTTCTTATTGAGGAATGGTGTCGGTCTAACAAAGGATTTTTGGCATATATTAGTGCATTTGAAACATCATATGAAGTGCCCCGACGTCATAGAAGGCCCATGACACGCATATACCCATTAGGTTCGGTTTCCGATCGTAGAGGGTAATACATATTGGACTGTTTGAAACGCCGAGAGTACATCTGCGCGCAGAATTGCTCCGAATGGATTAATTGCAGTCATAGATCATTGGCCATACGCAGGACATGTGGAGCTACTGAATAGGACGGAGTACACTGAAGCTCAAATTGAATCGCCAATATAGAAAAAGTATTTGTGTGTCGGGGCAAGCTATCGCGTCCATGTGCTCAGTCCGGGGAATGGCGAGCCAGTGTAAGAGACCCAGTCGATTATTATCTACGCCAATGCTTCTCGGAAGATTACAAGTAACAATTAGCAAAAGGGTGTAAATCTGTATTGAATATACCTCGTTCTTTCACAGGAAGTAGACGCAGAGAGGCGATGGCAAGTTTCGGAGGCGTTTACCGCCACGCTGGTCGCGCTTCCTCCACACCGCACTTTCTCATACCACTGTCCCTTAAAACCCGCGCAAACATGCAAATGCACTCGAAATCGGGATTGTTCAGACGCCAACAGATCATCTTACTACTTAAACAGTCCGCAGATGTGTTCCCATTGAGCATAAATATGCGGCCGCGAAATATTACGATTATTACCCCCGTGGTGATTGCTTACCCAGCTAACCCAAGCTACATACTGATTAATTTTATTTTTCCCTATGATTTAGATTAACTCTGATGGTTAAAAGTGAATTTCTTCAAGTCATAATAGTCGGAGATCAATCTCAGGCCTGACCCTGGCCCACTGTCTTCATTATGCGAACATCCCACATATTGATCTTGAAAAGACCTCCGACCCAGCGCCTCAAGTAGGGGCACCAATCGGCATTATGCCAGACAGGGCTCGAATACTTGATCAACTTGGACGTTGGAAGAAGATTGAGTATGGCCTCGAACCACTTGCAAGACCCATTCTTGTCGACCACGGAGAGTTTCAAGTGGAAAGCTCGTACCCTAAGGTCATGCGCAAAAGGTTTGTAGAGTATTCCGGGAGAGGAAAGGCTAAGATTTGGATTGAGGAATACCTAGGTTCAAGTATCCCATTGCATTCATCGATCGACAAAGAATTCTGCAAGGAGTATGCCTCGTCTAGAACGGTATTATCAAGGTACTGCCATTTATCAGAACTAGAGTCCGCTCCCGTTGTCTTTGGTTGGTCTTCTTCAGCATTTGTTGGCTGTCGAATTCGTCCTTGGTTGTAGGGGTCGGTTCCTCGTTGGTGGACTCTACGTCAATGTCCTCATCTGATGGACCTGTTTGTTCTCCCATTTTGCCGTCAGCTATCTAAATCCCGCAGGTACAAACAGTTCTGCAAGTTCTCTATGAAGGATATGCTCATCCCGAAAGGATCCGGCTTTCGGAAAAACTAATACCTATTGAGATATCAGACGATGGGGCTACAGTCACTACGGCTGATGGAAAGATCCATAAAAGGCATATTTTTGTTGGAACAGATGGTGTGCATAGTGGTGTGAAGGCCGAGATCTGGAAGGTTGGCGATCGATTACAACCGGGTCGAATCACAGCTCAGGAAAGAACTGGTATGACCAAGGTTTATTGAACTTTCAGCGAACGATTCACTTACATATCTCTACAGCTCTAACTACTCAGTATATTTGTATCTTTGGCATTTTATCACCGATCGAAGGGATGCCACCGGAAGGGCAAATCCATGTGCTTGCATCCGGCTGAGTATCACCATCGTCCATGGAAAGCGTGGCCGACTGTACTGGTTCCTTACGCAAACACTAGACAAAAGATACACTTGGCCGGATTGTCCACGATTCGCAGATGATGGCATGGCAGCAGAAGCAGCTAAACTGGATGGGTTTCGGGTCTGCAATTATATTACATTCGGTCACATCTGAAAAGCATGGGAAGTTGCAACAACGCCTCCATTAGAAGAAGGCTAGATGCGGACCTGGTTCTGGGGTAGGATGAATTGATAGGTGATAGTGTGCGCAAAGTAATTATCTCATCGTTGTATACTTCTTGTATGTTAGCTCGCCTAACAACAAACGACGCCGCACAGTGGAGAGGGGGCCAACATGGTGATAGAAGACGCTGCAACGCTAACGAATCTGCTCACCCGACTCCTCCGGGACGGCAAAAGGCTAGCAACTACCCAGCAGATTGAGAACCTATTCAATGACTATTATAAGATCCGGTTCGAAGAAGAACAAAGTCCAACCACGACCAATCCCTTTTAATGGTCCGCCTTTGCACACTTAATGGTTTACGACGTACCTTGATGATGCGGTATGTCATCCCACATGCTCTCTGTCTACCGGTGCACATGATTCCGAATTCCTGGCAGATGCAGAACTCTGCGAATTTCCCCCAGTACCAAGCGGGATCGGGCCTGGATGGGAGAAGTATAAGAGAAAAGAGCGGAGATAGATAAAGCTGATTCAGATGTTGTTTGGTATATTGGTCGCGCTGTTCATATGTCGGTGTCTCCCTTCGTGATCAATCAAAAGCTTGCTTCAAGTTGATGGGAGCCTTTGAATACTTCATATTGGGTCTTGATAGATAATATTGGTTGCAAATTCATGTTACACAAAAGTAAAATCAAACAAATATCCAAGAATTCGATCTTCCCACAATATGGTTTTCAGTGAAGTCCTTTTGTAGAGAATGCTTATATCTGCCTGCCTCAGACGATTGGTGCCGAATGACTTGCAGGGATGGGAGATTCCAATTGCATTGCTGCTCGAACTCCAACAGTGGCTAAACAACTATCAAGATAATCACATCATGGCCTTTGTCGTTTGTGACTATATGTATGATCAGGTTCAGTCCTCCCAGTTATATGTGCTGCTGGAACAAATAATCACAGCCATGAACTTGGACACTCTGTCTCTGTCTCTGAGATCTGTGGAGGTAAGACCATATTGATTCCTTTGCCGTTAAACTGCGGAGACTGGCTGAGTACGGTCCGATCTCTCACCTCAGCCTGGACCTTCCGTCTTAAGGTCGGAGTAAGAGCCCGACTGTAGGTCTGCCACAGTCGAGGCAAGAATTGAACGTCTTGTACGCAATATTCCACTACATCTTTCGAAAGGGGCCGAGAATTGAAGACTTCATACGAGCCCCCATGCTGGGGTGAGAAGAGGGTCTTTCCTCACTCTTTCCTCGCTCTCCAACTGGCCTTCTCAAAGGGGGTCATGGGCGCATCCCGCGAAATACACTTGGCCAGCCCGGCCAAGTATTTCCCGGGACGTGCCCTGGTGCCCACCTCCATGACCTGCAGGTCATAAATGCCTGCCAGTTTCACCTGATACTGATGGAACATGGCAACGGAGTCATTGCGGACATCAAAGAAGACTTTCGGAATCCCATCTGACTCAAAAATCGACCGAAGAGACTTGCCCGTAGTTGTTGCGTGATCAAATGCTGTGGCCCCGAGAGTATGAACATCTACTAAGTAGACACGATGTTGTGGGTCCAAGAATATTTGGACAATAGAGATCGGGCCCTCTCGACCGAGGTTTATACCTTCTAGATCGATGTATATAGAGGGGGGAGTGACTGGAGAGTTCATCAAGGCTTCGATAACCTCGCATATACCTTCGAGAGTATCAATAAACGAAACCGAGACCTCACTGCGCGAGGTCGCGTTCTCTGTTGAAGGTATTTTTCTGGCCAGGACTTTGTGCTCTTCCTTGACCCGATGATTAACCAAGATTTCACTCTCCCCTCTGTCCTTGTCTGTCCCTACCGCACCAGTAGGTTCCTGTACACCTGTGGACAATGATTTTCGTTATTATTGCCAACAAACACATAGCAGGCACATTTACTCACCAGACATGATAATGATAGGTTTCGTAAGGAGGTAGTAGGCTCCCAAATCTATATGAGAAGGATCTTCTGATAATGTTCGGTTGCCCGCGCACCTCGTATCTGGACAAGGCCGAGCAGCATCAGGAACTGAAAGTGGCCTGGGACCTTTTATATAATATGATTAGAATATGATTCACCCATCATTAGAAGCGCCGAGACTGTAGTCACCAGAACTGAATATATGTCGTTGAAAGGATAACAGATGGTAACAAAGAGAGAAGTTTAATCTCGTTCTGAACCATCCAATGGTCTTAAACATTGTGAATTCCAGACCCGCGTTGCTAGGATACAAGGTTCAAAACGAATCACCAACTTTCATCGGCCCTTCTCTAGAGCCTTGTAATATCACGCGAGGAATAGCCTTTGTGGAAAGGTTCTGAATGTATATATGGTTGAAATATATAACTTCCTTCCCCAGCACAGACAGAATATAGGCAGTGGTGTGGATGAAATGCGCAACCTATAAATAACAGGTCAGATTACACAATATGCTTTTGAGGTTGTATTGTGATCTGGAAAGCCTGTGCATGCTGTGCTGGGAAATGTGAATCTTCGATATCTGAGGTGCTAGTTCCTCGGCGTAGAGTGAACAATGTCATTGTGAGCTGTAGAGAAAGGAACTCCTAGCTGATTGGCCCTCTGTTTGCAACTCAGCTTTTTATAGTAATTCCTATCATCTGTACCATTCTCGGTGAGGTATTAGATCTTTATTGATAAAAGATTGAGCGAAGGACATATTCTCACCTGTAATAATGGCCATGTTCTGGTACCTGCCTTCGCATAGCCAGAATCTCCTATATATATTAACGATAAACATCATGTTCAAAAAACCGAGAGTAGAGTCAGATTGTTGGCCCTCTGGGGTCTTAAATAGGCCCTCGAAAGAAAGAAGATCAGAAAGGTGAATGCTGCAGACATGGTCACGTAGGCGGAACAGGATCGGGGGAAGTGTTTGACTATAGTGAGTATTTTAACATATCAGAACAGTTCCAGAAGCAAAGCACTCATAGTCAGTCGCAGCAAATGAATGCTGGCGGATACTTCCTTATATTTTACGGGAGTACCTATGGGATGAAAAACAGCGGTGGATAGCCGGCTTAAAGTAGGCGGTTTCTTCACTAGTAAAATCGAGTCACTGGCCGCTCAAGCAGGCTATTACTCCATACTCAAAATACCGCCAGCTGCGATTTCACCCTCCGGAGGCCTTATGAGATTTAATATACCATTGAAACTATAAACAGATGACCAGAGAACTATAACTGTTCACAGATGCCAAAGATCTATCAATTCATATCCAGGCTTAGACAAAGTCCACCAACCCAATATATGGAATATCAGTGTATCCTTGGTAATTGAATGAAAAGCATGGTTAGGCGTAATCGCCCTTTGTTAGTTCGGACATGACGTGTCTTAGACCACCCATGCCTTTTTCAAGAATGTGAATAACAACAAGAATCATCTTATGCCCAAAGATTCGAGGCCACCAGGAGATGGGATCAAATTTCTGAGATGGTTCAAGAAATGTTCGCAGATTGTCCTTACTCGTACCAGAACCGTTGTGGAAGCACCCGACTTTTTCTTTTTCTCTTTTTATATGTATCCATGTGTGATGTTTATGCACAAGTGAGTAGTGTCATTTCTGGGTTCACTCCAAGACTGTGGCATGGAATACCTCATATGGCGGAGCACATCATTTGGGAAGAGCTGAAAATTTTCATTATCAAGCCGTCGGTTTTCAGTGTAAATCCTGTGACTGAGCAGAACTTCAGTAGTAACCAAGCCTTGGGGCGCCAATGCACCGAGCCCCGCCAAACCACAAAGCCAACGTCTTCGATGCAGTTTCCATTGGGGTTAGCTACATGCGTTTGTTGATGTGCATTTTGACTTGCCTGTGTTGCTGGTGGAGCCCTTTACATCTAATGTAATCTTTCCATTCAAAAGTCTATTGACCAAATCAGTCCTCATCAGTATCTGCAATGGTGAACGACAAGAAATCTCACCCGTGCCAAAGCCCCGTCTCCTATTAGAAAATGGATCTTTGTTGGCCTTCACCTGGCAGATGCACCCCGGAAATACGACTCTCTCCACGATGACTAGCCTCTCAGCTTGTTTCTCGACTCAACGGCATACCCTTACCTGTGATTGCTGCTCTAAATAGATAGCCCCCCGACCCTACTACTGGATAATTGGTGCCATGTCTCTTGGCAGTGACATAAAGGAGGCGGTACACATGGCCTTTATCCTGGAACAGGAGCTGTCGGCTGATCTGGAAGCTGGAATCGGAGTCTACAATACGGTTCTCAACTCGACTAACATCCTTTTTGGCATTTGGTGTACAACGCCACAAGCTCCTGTATCCGAATATTGGCTTTCTGGTTTGTCCAAGGTGACAGTCGTCGCTCCCCGCTCATCCAGGCCGATCTTGGCTCTCCTGAGTCTCTGACCGGGGCCCTGAAAGGCTTCCACACTGTCTTTCTTGTCACCAACTACTGGATTATTATTAATGCCGATATTAAGTATCCCGTTCAATGTCCATATCTCTTTTATGACGTCAGATGGTATACGGAGAGGGGTCCCATCGTCTGGCAGGCTGCAATATAACCTTTGTAATCCAGGAATACCGACCAGTGTTAGGGAAAGAGAAGAACAAGACTATTATCCCGATTGTAACTGATCATGTTACGCTGCAATGATAGCGTAGCCTAGTTACTGCTCTGTAGGGCTAGTCCTATATAATCCCACACGGGATGCCTGGTTTGCCATTCTACCTATAGTGTATCCTGCAGCAGTGAGTACTATTGCCGTACTAAGGAGAAATGACACGGGATGATAAAACACCCATCCTTTGCTTAACATCATCCCGTCTATCTCGGCTCTGATTTCGGATATTGTACGGCAAGCTGAACAAAGCTGTGATCGTACCCTCCTGCTGTTCTTATCTACATTCAGATGATGTCAATGTTCATTTTTCGAGAGGTACCTGTGCTTTCGAACATTGCTCTTGTTGGGCTTTTGGCAAGTCCTGCATACAGGAAACTGACATTCATTCTGGTCCATACTAAGAAGGTCATACAATGAAACTCCAACAATTTATCCTGCAGCAAGTACCCACAGCTTAACGAACAATATCCTGGATCTGAAGCCCAACGTCTGCCAAGAGCTGAGGGATTCGTGCAACAGCCTGAATGTCCCATCCTCTCACCTCATCTGGCAACTGCTCCCAGCTCACGATGTACGGACTTTTCTTGCCCATGATATCCTTTTCTGGTCCCCAAACCCATCCATCCCTCAAGCGCTCGCAGTTCCACCTCGCATGCTCCTGCTCTGCCATGTTGATAATTTCCTCTTCCCTTAGGCGTCGGACTAAGGGGTGAACGTATACTTCCGGCTTTGGCCGAATCTCACATCCCATGAGCTGCAGCTTATCGGCAATATGGTCCGCTTGAAGACGATTTGATTCCTTTAAATTTTCGCTAAGGTCGTCCCATGATGCCATGTTGGCTGCTAGTAACCTTCGCTGATCGTCTCGGTAATGCTTGTGTATAGCCTTGGCGATGTCGTCACGGTAGCGATCTTCCATCCTGCCGGAGTTTAAAGCGAGGAAGACAGAAACTGTCATTGGATCCTGGGGCAGTGAGAGAAGGCCCTTTGAATGCTTCCAGCTCTCATCGTCTAATATCTGATCTGCTTTGCCCAAGCTCCCCTTTAGAAGGCCAACCTCTGCTCCAAGTGCAACAGCCATGAGATATTCGAAGCCCGAGACCCTATCACCCCCAATACCGAGAACCCTCACTTTGGCAGTATCAGTCCCTGATCGTAGAATGTCGGACCACTTTTGCAGCGGGAGCCGTGGAGAGTAGTCTTTCTCATCCACCGTAATGATCCTTTTGTAGTGACGTATATCGTTGGGTATGTTGTAGGGGACACCACGAGGCACATAGCCCACTAGCTCGATTTTACCGGAAAGGCTGCGATTCTCAGTGAATACCTTCCCAATAACCTTGCTTATGCCAGAGGTTACTCCTTCAATTATGAGAGTGCCTCTAAACTGAAGAAGGAAAGGACGGAGTATACGTTCATGTAGTTGACTGAAATGCTCATCCAGATCCGTCCTTGGTCCCAATATTATCACTACCGGCCCAGTGATAGACTTGAAGTCGTATGGCGTGTCTAATTTCATTCCAAACCTCTTTGAGAATAGACTTATAAGTACCTGTGCTTGTTGTGCGGTCCGCCGCAGTCCCTCGGGCACTGCATCCGATTCCAATGACCTCAATAACTTGGCAGATTTTGTGGTCACATATTCGGTGTTGGTTATGTTCAGTCCCTGGCAGTAGAAAGTCAAGGCGGGCTCCCACTCCTCTAGAAGCGCGTGGAGGAATCCCGTATTGTAGTAAGCCCATGGGAGATTAACCTTGACGTCAATTTGCCCATGCGATCGCGCAATGGCCCTCCTGATAACGGGACGAAGGTAGCGGATGATTGAGGGGGACTCATTGGTACTAAGCTCTAGACCCAAGAATCTGCTCAGAACTCCAGGATTGGAAGAGTCGATGGAGAATGCATCCGAGTAGTGCCTCCGTGCACTGTCGTTGTCCCCGCAATCTTCGAACGTGCGCGCAAGAGCGATGTGAGCGTCGATATCCGATGGAGCAAGGTCAATCGCTTTCTGCAAATCCGTCTGCCCGTCGACGTATTCTGTACAATTTGGCGGATGTAGGTTACACCTCAAAACACCCCGTTGGAGGAAGACCGCCGCGTCTTCGGAGCCAGGGGTGCCTGCAGCGGCAGTGGATAGGATTTCGACTGCGTCGGTCCAAATATTGCGCTTATCAAGCTCCACCGCTAGAGATCCGATCCTCACGGCCAGGTCAACCCTCTCCGACGACGACGCACGATCCGTGTGGAGAACAAATCGCAGGAGGTCAATCTGTTTCGTGATCTCGTCTTGGCTCATGTACGTTCCATAATTGCCCATGTACAAGGACAAACCCTTATGGACTCGTGAAAAGACTTCGTCCGATTGCTCAAGCAGGGCTGCGGCACAGTAAACCTCACGTTGGAGATCAGTGGGCATCTGAAAGTCTGGCTTATACGCATACTCGTAGGAAACGTCTGCCCACGCATGCTCTAGTAAAGTCCGTACTTGTACCTCGGCGCGAGGATTCTCCATGCCGCAGAGCTCCTCAAACCCGGGTTTGAAGTCCTCCCTTCTGAATCTGACAATGTAATGAACAGACCGATATCCAAACTCCCTGGCTTGGAGACGATGTGTATGATCGACCGAGTTCTCCGCATCGATTTCGAACCGATCTTTGAGGGCCCTGACAACTGCCTTGACTTCATCAGTTGTATGCGTGATGACTCGGCCCCCGCACAGGTCTGTGTATTCGGCACAAGGGTCATGATGCGGCTTTCGAAAGATCTTTTCTGCGAAGCTGGGGACGGACTTTGGTCGGGTCTGTACAATAGCATGTGGAGCAACTCGCTGAACAAGGTGCTTAAGCTCCTCTTTCAGCAGTTGTGATAGTCTGTTATATAATCGATAGCGCTGTGCGGCATATGTCGTAATCTGCCGCAATGCGGCCTTGTTGGAGTCCGCCATGTTGTGGTAGATTGAAAGCTACGCTCCGATCTCTGCTTATCAGGAATGATGTCTACCACTATGCACGCACTTTCAATCAACTACAGCAAGATCCGGGACCTTATAGAGGTCACTGCTGTCAGTGATTCCATTGCATACAGCAGCTAGGCTTCGGGCCATGGTTCAGACAAGTGAAGCTGGGTTGTGATATCCATGATTTAGATCACCCAACCGCCACGAATATGTCATTGCGTGCAATGCATACGAACTAGACGAGGATTCTAGGCCAGCTGAGTTTGGCGGTAACCAATATATGCTGTGCTATTGCATTGGACTGAATAGTGCTAACGTTTGACCAATTTGACAGTGCTTTTACTTGACGGGAGAGATTGATCATAACCCGAGCGATTCTCTGCCGACCGCAAGAAGAGCTTCACTCTGTACTTTTATTCGTATTCCACCAAGCGCCAACCATAGGTCGTTGTAACCCCAATCGCCGGTATACGACACGGGTCGCGACCCATGGAACCATCGGATCTAGACTCCACACCAGAGCTTATTTTCAGCTATACTGTTGCTCCTCGAATGATACTGCCATCAACCATGACCAAATCCATGTACATTTTACCCGCGTACCGATGTATCCGCTTTTGGACATGTAGGACTCAGGGCCATGGGGATAGGTGCTGAGACGCTGGGTAGAAGGACCCATACACGCCCTATTTGAGTCAGCAGGGAAGGCCACGCATACCAAAAGGAATACGCATGTTGGAAGCAGAATATGGACGAAGAATGGAGAGGATGGTGACTTGCAGGCAGCTGGCCAGGCAGCTGGCCGGTCAGCTGCGACACTCGTTTATATCTACTTTTGTATGACTACGCTTTGCCCTTGTTGTATCTAGTGGTGTTAAGCTACGGCGACGACCTTCCTACGTCGTAGCATGCGTTCTTTTACGTGTTTAATGCGAGTTTGAGGGATTCGACAGCGTTCGGGGCCATATTCCTGCTTCAAACGGTGAAGCACCTGCATAGCTAGCATCTTACTTAGCGGGCTCGATCAGGTATAAGAATATGAATTGAATTGAAAATTGAATTGAATCCGCTTTTGGCGCTCAAGGGTCGTAGGATATGTCTCATGACCACTCACATATTTCGACATCATTACAGTTCAAGGGCAGGCTCTGAAAAGCCCACCACGAGCCCCAGACGATGGCAGACCAACAGAAACCATTTAGTACTAGGAGACAATAAAAAAGTCTCCTTTGATATGTCGTCATCTTCGCAGCCTGACTACCCTAGCTTGATCAATTCTTTGCTCGAGCAACTCAACAATGCTTCCCTGGACCCCGTTCGCGCAGAGAGTATGCGAAGCACACTGGAGCAGTTAAAATCAGTGGTTACCATCCTGGAGCCTGGAGAATCATCTGAAGAAGAAAGTGTGGAAAGCTCAGTGGAACGTATTCGGAATCTCAAAGGTGCAGAGCAAAAAGTGCTAGATCTGACCCGTCAAAAACCTAGATAACAAAAGCGCGGTGCTTCAGGAAACTCGACCGCTTTCTCCGTTCCACTCGATTAGTTAGCTTTGTGATCATTTCGAGTGACGCACTCCGGAGGATTTGACCCGAAAAGTGTTTTCAGTTATCAGTCTCTTTAGTATGCTGCCTGGAGTCCTGCGCAGATCTTTTAATAAAAAAAAAAGGCCTTATTGCATCCATTCCACCGACCAGTATCAAGTATCCAGAAAAGCACCTAGTCGACCCCTGCGGGGAGAGGCTGCATCTCATTAGACAAGCTGCAAGCAAAATAATAACCAGGGTAGTGTGTCCGCCTCCCCCCTGCCGATGCCTACAAAAGTATCATTCGTTCAGTTCGCTCCGGGGAGAAGACCCCCCTTGCATATAGCCATGAACACAGCACGCTCCAACCATATGCCAATTTTGGCTCCCTCGCCGAATAATAAATGACACACTGCCGCTCTCGAAGACTGCGACTTAACCACTAATTCTACTGCCTTTGGGAGCCATGCCTACATACCCGTGGTTTGTATTGAAGATGGAACGATTGTACGTGTGGTAAACCGTTCGACCAAGGAATGAAGTCGGCGAACCAGGTATACTCATTGAGAGTGCGTAGTTGTTAGATGCCATGAGTATGATATTTCTAGCCCATGATTGAGAACGGCAGCGTCGAACAATGTCTATAATAGGCTTGATTGACTGATACCAGTTCAAGAAATCTTGCTTCTCTTGCTGGGATCCGTGTGGGTGATGACCACATCGCATCGCTTGCCAAAATACGTCTAGCAACAGCTCTCTGTTGCAATGTTACCTCTGACTCGCCGCCAACAAAGTCCACAGTTGCAAAAGCGATTGACGTTTCTGGATATCTTGTCAAAGAGCCCGGGCACTGAAGGCTCACGCCACTGCTGGGGAACAGACATGCATCCATCGTTTACAACGCCAATGTCTCTAATAGAGTCTAGGATAATCCTTTGTACCCCGAGGCTATTCCCATAATCCGAGAACGCCGGCGTATATATGGTATTGCCCGACGCTCGGAACTCAGTTGGATCATTATCGAAAGGAAACAGATAGGCAGGACACTTGGTGGGAGAAGAGTCAGATCGAGGGAATCTCCTATACTCCAGCAGCTGCACAGAGATAGTGTTGTCCGGTACGCGCCAGTCCGGGACCCAAGATGGGAGACCCGGACATCGCGATCTTATCATGCCCGGAGGGACAGCAGGGTCATAGACTCCCGCTAGTGTCATGATCTCGAGGCTTCTGTCTCTGTGCAATAACTGCGTGGCCAGCTCTTTGTACACCTGCGGGGCGGAAATTTCATACTCTAGCGCAATCTGCAACCCCTCTGTCCCCGTACCGCAATCGGCTGCCAAACCATACAAGGCGTAAATCTTGTCATGTGGCCTCTGAGTCACAAAATCAGAGGTGGTTTTTGAGTCATGATGGTGTCACGATGTTGCTTCTATAGCGATCATGGAAATCCCACTATCTTCATTCACTAAGAAAGCTATATAGGAAAAGGAACATGATATGATTAAAATATAATAATTGTTTATGATGAGAGCGTTAACCTGCCTATGGTGTTCGGTCGCCGATCACTACATACTTTTCAGGCAGCAAATTATCGTGGGGAATCTACAGAGAATCAGGACAGGTCGCCTGTAGGAAACCATTGAGCAAGGAGATCCTCTAACGATATAGCACGTACCAGATCGCACTATCTTGAAGGGTGAAGATTATCTATTACACGAATCGCGACATGATCTAGTCCTGGCCGGTGATGGACTCGCGATATTTGTTGTCAAGACATAGGGAGAAACGTATGTGAATCCGATATATCTGATTTCAAGAACATGGCTTGGTTGGGGGTTGGAAGAGGTGGTGGTCGGAGACCACGTAGGAAGACGAGATGGCAGGGGATCAGGTGATGCCTGCCTGGCTGCAGTGAATGTCTCAACATTGGTTACCCCTTCGCGAATGCCATATATTGCATATCAAAGACCACATCATCTTGAATTCCACCCATATCCGACCGCAGAAATTGTATCCAGGTAAGTTTTGGTACCACATCTTGTGTGAAGACCTAGACTGAATATTTTCCTTGAGTATCAGGCCTAGTCATACCATGCTGTCTTGTCTGAGGACACCCAAAACGTTCATATATGAGATGCAGATCCAAGTCAAGTCAACCACAGTGTTCTGATTGGACATTCCCAACCTGCGCCGTTAGAAAGCGCCTGATCTGGCTCGGCCTCGTATTAATTTTCATCATATTATTCATTTGAGTCCCGTCCATAACACTTGACAATATTCTGAACCTTTACACAATCCGATATACACATGTATCGCTTAACATGCATCTTTTAGACGGAAAACGAAATTCTTATCCACCCAAAAGTAATTCCTATAACCTCCAAGCACTACATAAGTATACTGCATGATCAACTAAGCACATACGACCACAGGGTGTGGAAAACAGGGCTTCCCGTCCGCTCAGCCGTACTTAAGCCACACGCCGGGAGGTTAGTAGTTGGGTGGGTGACCACCAGCGAATCCCTTCTGTTGTATGTTTTTTTTCTCTCTCTCTCTTTTTTTCATAGTCCATTATCTTAATTACTTGACAGCTAGCTAGGGACGCATTTCTTTGCGCCGCTTAGGCCGCCAACGATGAGGTGGAGTATCTGAATCAAGTCGTTAGGAAAATGTACATCTCGCGATATTGAAGTAGTCTAGCCGCTTCCAAAGGAAGCGTGGTTAAAACTTGCGCAAAGTTAAATTGATAATATGGGCGCGCTTTACGCCCCAAGTTTGGTGGGATTTTGGGAATACTCTACACGCGCTGGATCCAATATTAGTGGGTACGACTCTAAAGCTTAATTTCTCCCTTTCTATGTTAGTACCACATTCTGAAATGATTGAGACCAGTCTAGAACATTGGCAATATCCTCCTATATATGTTCACACCACAACGAGACAAAATCTTAATTAGCTGCCTAAAGCAGTAACCAGGACAATAAAGCAACTCCTCGTTCGTATTCATTGCGGTTACTGGAGTCGAGCGAAATCATAAGCTCTACCGCAATTGTTTCCCGGACTTTCCTGTCTAAACCTCTTCAGACCCGGATTTGAATCCTGAGGGGTTCTGGGATCCGAACTCTCCCACCCGATGGTGACTCACACTCTGATCAACAAGGCAATTAAATCTAACTTGGCGTATATTCGATCTAGTGATAAGCGAACGTAACCTTTTGGAGCAGTGAAAGGTGGAGTATAACTTATAAACTAGCCAGGTGCGGAAGTCGAGATTCCTCCTATGGCTCGAGACGACAAACCTTGGACTTGTCCAGGTCTTCCCCCGTACCACTAAATCTTTCGGTTTGGCCCATGTCTTTCCTTCCTAACATGCTAAAGGACTCCTGCCGTCAGCATCTTCTGGTTAGAAAAGGGATTGAGAAGCCACGTTCATGCGCCATTATACTCTACGTGGCTCATACAGACACGAGATCATGGATCATCTGGACGCGAAGGGTGTGTATCTTAGTATCTACATTTACCAATAATATGTGGTGTGACAAGTGGGATGCGGACGTCATGTGGTCACCAGAGAAGAAACGGAATGTTAAAGGACTGTACTCAAAACAAAGATATATGTTCGAACACTCTACAAGCGGAGAAGCAAGAAGCAAAGAATGCAGCTAAATTAGTCTCTTGTATTGTTATCTAAGAAGATCATGTGCTAAGCAATGCAGGCGGTTACGACTCATGCAAGATCGTCGACCCTGGAAAACTCAAATCAATTTAAGCTTCTGAGAAATGTGGGACGCTTCTCAAGTACCCATAATTTGAAATGTTTGGCCGCTTTTTGATGTACATTGAAGGCTCTGACATAACCTCTTATGTCCTAGTCTACTGTTGAATCCCCTTTTTATATTTCTTATTTTCGTAACTCAACCGACACCGAGAAGAATCCAGTATCATTGACCATTACCTATTCAATTTTTCTGCGACTTCTGATCTGCGTAACTTTGTAACACTCCTGCACTATTCGAGGCGCTTTCCTCCAGGTGTTAAGCTCCGTTTTATTCTGGACACCGATCGATGATGATGATAGTACGGTGTTGATATCGGACTACTCAGTTTGTGCTCCATCCAGTAATATAGCGTTAAGGATACTAAGCTAATTACTCCCTCTGGCACCTCTCCAGTTCTCATTTTCTCTCATATGACCCGATAGTTCTAGGCTTCAAGAGCCTTTCCGTTTCCGTATTATCCGAGTTCTGACAAAAGTGAAAGATGCATCATATGGGTCAATTACGTCTCAGCGAAAAGACCTGTGATCTATTGTAAGTGCTTGCAAATCTAAGATGATAATGATGGAAACGGTGCGACCTCACCAAGAACCAAAGTACAGGTCGTGATATAAACATTCAAGCTTATAATATAAACTATCTTCCACAAGATTAGAGCTTAGTTGATTACTGACATAGATTCCCGATTCCAAGCAATGATAAGATCTTCAATTGATCTGTCCTTAAGAGTAAAACTTTCAGTTCTTTTCTTTCATGTTTTAGTTGTTTTGTAAAAGGGAGTCTGCTGCAAAGTGACTTTGCATTAGGTGTTGTTTGTGTGATCTGCGCTTAGGATAATAGGGTTTTCGGCAACGCATTATTTACAGGAAACTGGTCTCGTGAAGCCGCGTTCCACCTTGGCAGAAAAGCATACGTATCGGCCTGAAGGCAAGGATATGAATAATGCTCCATGCTTGCAAGCTGAAACTTCATGAGTGAACGAATAGCAACTACTGGAGCCTCCTGCCTTTTATACTACACTAGATAATTTTCCAACTCAGGTCAACACTCCCACTCATCTAACCCAGTTCTATGCACCCTACACTTAAAGCTATTCGAACCGAGCAAATAGTATGATTTCACCGAATCCAGCTAGTTTAGTATATGGGCGTCTAGCTCTAACCGCAACGAATGTGGATTGGGTTAAATCTTTCTCTTGTATCGGCTCTGAAAGTCAAACTTTCTTTTTTGAATGATGCAGTACAAAACTCAGGCCTGCTATGTTAGAGATTAAGCTCTCCGGGTCCTAGGTTGGGATAGCGTGACTAGCATTAACCGCACAGTCGACCAAGGTTGAGATTGGACTTGACATCAGAGATGCGTGGAAATGATACTGCTCTTAGAATTGAACGGTCCAGAAGCGGTCTAACTCTTTATTTTGTTCTGGATACGTATCTGAAACCAAGAAGGGTCAATATCATCGCGACTAGCTCGTAACCAGAGTGCCATGTGACCCTGAACCAAATTTTCGAATTACCCACATCGGATTTCGCCAGCTCTTGCAAAAGAGTTTTTGGCAGTAGTAAATCAGAGTATACGCCCATTATAAAAGACATTGTTTTGTTTTGCCTTCAAGTCCCCAGTCAATGATTTATCTTTTATCTAAACCCTTCCCTGTGTCAACCAAGATAGCCCTGTGGAGCACCAAGAACCCCTCTAACAGCAGCTTCAAAATCTTGATCATACATTTATATCTATTCTACCACTTCTTTCAGTATCGCCGATTATGCAAGGCCAGGGGGCCTTGTCGCAAAGCTCTGTGGGTGTCGGAGTGGAAAGTCAGGAGAATGGGGAGCTAGTTGCCACGCAGTCGACTGCCGCAAAACAGCGTACGCGGCCAAAATCAGTATTTATTTCTTACAGTTCTTTGGATCGATATCACGCCTTGCATCTCAAGCGCCTACTCGAAGCAAAAGGAATCAAAGTCTGGCTTGATGTTTTTGACATACAAACTGGGGGTGAATTCGACTCGGACCTGTTTCAGGTCATCGGACAACAGGATTTGTTTTGCCTACTATTATCTCCTAAAGCTGTACAGTCAATGTGGGTCGAAAAGGAGATCCAGACTGCCAAGGCCAGTCCAGCGCTTTGTATTCTTCCAATTATCTTGAGACCATGCAATATCCCTCCAGAGCTAAAAGACATAATCGCCTTTAACGCTACAGAAGGACTAGACCGTGATAGTGTTCGCGATCGACTCTTCCGGGCAGTATTGGGTGACTTTGATATCGAAGGGTCGGTGATACTTAGTGAAATCGAAAGTGAACTTCAGTATAACAAATTTCTTCAAGATCAAGCAGAAGAAGCCCTTCCGGAAATCAGGCGAACGGTCGACGCATCGTCCGCAAGCCCGATACGTCATGTCAGACTAAATATATTCCCAGAGACACTCCCTGAAGATTCTAATATCATACTGGAGCTGAAACTGAAACTCGACACGCTCTTTCACGGAACAATGTCGTTCTTTATTGCAAGGTACCGAGAGGGTCGTACTTGGCCTGAAGGATACGATTTCAGAGAGCCAGACTATAATGAATTCTTTCTGGAAATCAAGCCCCGTATTGACGTTCAATTCAAATGGTTTGATCGCATTGTCCGGTTGAAGTCAATTGATTACGGCAAGGATTGGGAAGATCACCCCGAGACATATTACATCGAATTTGATGGGACGCAGTTCAAGCCACATGAGGATCTAGCGTTTCCTCAAGTGTTTGAAATTCCCTGCCTACGCACGCTTATCAAAGATCACAGTTCCTTCGAGCTTGTCTCACACAACTCTTTAAGCAAGGCATCAACGCTTGTTTCTGAGGGCACTGATATTGCCATTGAGCTAGTGGGAGAGGTGGCGCAGGGCGAGTGGTTGCATTTATATCGTAGCCACATCACGAAGGATATACAAAACCTCCAGAAAGCTTCGTACTTCTCATCACCAAAGATGAGTCCGATATTTCGTGAGGCATTACTATCCCGCTGCCCTGTGACTAAGGACGGGAAGAAAGGAGACACCTACAAGGAGCTCGAAGAATCGATAATTGCATCCATCGAGAAGGGTGAATACAGTAGTGCGGATGAAATGCGCCTAGCTGGATGGTATCTCTTTTACAAGGCCTCCATGAGCTTTGGACGAGAAATGTGGAGAGACGCATATGAAGCTTATGACAAAGCCAGCTTGGCTCTACAGCCACTTGTTATGTCTCAAGTTCCGACGATGCGCGATGCGGTATCCATGTACATGTCTGTCCTACGTAAGGTGGAGATATTTTATCGACAAAAAAGTTTTCAGCATGCGGAGTGGATCATTCCTGCTCTCATGCGAGTGGCTCGATCAATCAGTGAGTCGGATCCCGAGGAGCCAGATTTCCAAAGGATATGGGCAGACGCTCTACTCGCGGAAGCGAAGGTAAATATGGCGCTAGAGCAGAAATACCTTGCCCTCGAGAGCCTCGTCAAGAATGTCGATGTCCTCCATCAGTTATACCGGAAGGTGCAGCTGCCATCCCGGCACCGAGCATGGATAGCTGCCTTATCATATGCCATCCGGACGGTCGCTATGTGGCAGATCTCAGCGGACCAACAGTTGAGTGCGTGGAGAACCGATCTGCGAAATGAAATCGGGAACAATGATGAAGCCTTCGGATTACTCACACGACCACCCCGACCTCCTAGCGAGCTGCCTGTATGGCTTCGAGACTGTACACTCCAGCAATGGCCAACTAAACCAATCAAAAGTGCCGCTCTCCGGTATGCATTGAAACTACCCGAACGGTGGGACAACTCCTTAACCGTCCGGGGCACGTCGTACGCGATTGAACACATTTACCACGGTACACCGGGCATTGACGCGGAGCGGTTGATGATTGAATTCCTAGAAAACATGAATGAACATGGCGACATAACAAAGGCCGTGACAGTTTACATGGCCCTAACAGGAATGCCTGTCCTGTACGACCTGGTAGCCCAACCGAAGTTGCTACCGGGTACCTGGCAGTACATGGGTCAACTACCAAGTCTCATCACAAGGCTAAATGCTGATGATGCTTGTGCGTACATGGGCCTGGCCAGTTTCCAGGCCTCGTTTAATCTACTGGGGAGGATTTATGTTGTAGTGGTTCGGAAAGGAACATTTAGGTGGAAGATCACGCTGAGTTTTCAGACGGCTTGCTTGCCTAGTATGCCTGAGGACATAGTCAACTCAAATGATCATGTCCGTGCTGGGGCAATTCTCGGATCTTTGCAATTGCAAGGCCCAGAAGATACAAACCTGGCTGAAGCGAGAGGTAGCCGGAGAGAGAGCTCTCGCAATATGGGCTATTTCACACATTGTTGCCTACCCAGATGCCTCCCGAAACCATGACCATTTAGGGGCGGCGCCCGTACTGCTCAACACGAACAACGGAATAGCTGAACACCAGATGGACCAGGTTGAACCAATGAATAAATGGAAATCGACGGGATAGACTGTCCGGAACATTATGCGCAATCTACTGGGTACATCCGTTATCTTACCGTCGATAACGACCGTCGTCCGGCATCGAAAACCACCACAATCACAATCTATAAGTAATGAAATCCATAAATGAGCGGGCTACAGAACCAAGCGGGCCATTTTACATGCTTTTTTTTTTTTTTTTTTTTTTTTTTTTTTTTTTTTCTTTTTTTTTCTTCCAGTCTCTTCTCCTCCCCTCTTTTCTTATTCCCTGCTTTTAATTTTATCTCTTGGCGCTTAGTTTTCTCCTTTTTTTTTTTTTTTTTCTCTTTTTCTTTTTCTTTTTTTCGGGGGCGGGGGGGGAAGTGAAATCAAATAGTATTTACCACCACTAAAACCATTCTTGTATTGCTAAAATATCACAGGTGGGATATTGGGTGGTTAGGCAAGAGGATATAGCGTAGAAAGAGTTTATGGTGCTCTCGGATGGTAATCTGAGGGCTAGGTATATGGTGTTGCCCGAAGTTGATGGGTGAGCCGAAAGGGTCGAAACCCCAGCCACTGGCTTCTTTGATTCTACTTAGTGTTGTTAGTTTTCCAAGAGGCTTGTGATTGAAGTCTACTGGGATTAGTACAAACGGATTGCTCATAATTCATTGCTAGTTGCTGATACAGGAAGTATGGCGAAAACCTTTCTTACTAGCATATCTGATTTCAACGCTATCATTCAAATCGAGCCGTATCATCTGTAGACTAGTCCCCAAACACTGTTCCGTACAATAACGGTAGAAGCAGGATAGGACTCCTTTCGTCGATCTACGTTACAGATACCGAGCATTCCACTCTGTGCACGGGACGAAGCACTTATTGTTCAATTGACACCACTGTTCTTCCTTTCGCTGGCCACAGCGGTGCCAAATTATAATTGTACCCTGATCACGTGTCAAAGACCTTGAACATATGTATAGAGCTCCCAATCTGCTCCGCACCAAGAGGGCATCGGTGAGAGAGATCTACGTGATGCAGAGAAGACCGGCCATCTCTTTTCTCAACTATAGTTGGATGGGCGGGAATAGAGGAGCGTGGATGACTACATGGGACGAAACGACAGATTATTGTTTCTGGATTAGCGCAATATAACACGCGCACTTTGATTAGGCCAAAAACCAAATTCTGTTGCAGGGAGGTCTATGCTGAACACAGGAGTTGACTGTGAGCGATTTCCCGCCCCTCCGACGGAAAAAAAAAAAAGGGTCGTTTGAATTTCATTTGTAATATATTACATTAAGAATTACCTGTGTTCAGGATTTAGCAACTCAGAATCGTTATCATCACATCGGCCATCCCTATGTATTGGAGACTCGGTATTCCACAAATCCAGCAGGATTAAATTGGAACAATCACCCCAAACCAGTGATTTGCCTGCTTTAGATATAAAATATAATTCCTTTTTCATGTAGCCTTCATCAAGCATCTCAAAGATCTGTCCCCGCGACACATTCATAAACGTAGGCGTTGTCTACAGACCGATGACTGTCATTCTCCCGGCGTAGAACAAACAAGGGCCCACCTCCATACGGCACAGTAACTATGTCACCTATCGTCACATCAGCTGAAGCATACCCGCTATAACTAGCCATTCTCCGTAGTGAAAAGAATCCGCCCTTTCCGGATTCCAACAAGAAACAGTAGCATAGTATAGCAAATTTCGAAATTTTCTCCCAGTTGTGAATTTTGGGATTTACATTACATGGCGGGATTTACTGCCAGGTTGCTTCTCAGTGTATGAAAGACGGAATCATAAGTCACTCCTGTCTCGCTGGCTTTAGTTTCGGAGTCAGCAACTGTTTCCATGGATGATTGGCTCATTGATTTCAAGCAAGATTTTAAGGATGCTTATTTCACTTATTGGGAACATTGTCATTGCCGGTAGACACTCGGTGTGTTGAATTTCGCGTACTGTGAGGATTCGTTTATCCTTTTAATCGACCAGCCCGACCGGTTGCGCTCACAAGTATTTCATTCCAAACGTGTACCCCAGTAACTATGTGCCGATCAAATTGCAACGTCTCTGGCAAAAGTCTTCTGAACGCTTCCTATGTCGTCCATGTTAATATCGCCAACCGGTCACACCAGCCACGCGCAGTAATCAAAATATGAAAAGTACTCCCCAATGTTGCACCCAAGATAGAGAATAATTTTGGTGCCTGGGTAATGATCACATGTTTTTGATCTGGTCCTCTTGAATTACTTCTCGGGGATATGAAGGAAAGACCGAAGAAGCTGGCGGCAAACCTATTTAACCTACTATATATGATCTCCTCTGGCGCTGTCATTCAAGGAATATGGACGAGAAATATCTTTTCCGTGGTCAAAGTGACAGTCGATGGAGACAAGTTTCGTCATTGTATCGCGGTGATCTGAGATAAGAAGCTCGTAATGCGATTCACACTCCACCAGATCTGAGAGAGATCCTTGAACGCCTTTGCCGAACTCAGACATTCCTGGACAAACTGCAAACCACTCGATTTAGGCATCTACCTGACGTAAACAAACTTGCAATTGCACAGCATTACGGTATGCCAACTCCTTTGCTTGACTATACCCGCTTCCTCGATGTTGCTGCATTCTTCGCCACTGGAGCTGGTTCCCAAAGTCGAATTTTCGCCAATGACATTGGAGTCATATGTATTGTTGATCCGAAGCAACGTTGGGAACCCGAGGTTCCCGAGGGAGCGATTGATATGATTGAATCATCTGGGTCTTCAAATTGGCAACATAGACTCTATTGACTTTAGAGAAGTAGTAGAGCGGGTTGGACGTATCGAACGCCAGAAAGGTGTCTTCATCGAGGGGTTTGACGGCTACCTTCTACAGCGCTTGACGACGAAAGTTATATATTTCCGGCAGACGGAAATCTTTCAGGATACCAGGAAAGGGATTGATAGAAATAATCTCATGGATCATGATCAAAAGTTAGAAGATATTGCTGCTCAATGTCGAAGGTCTCCTAACAACTCTATGAACCCCAGCACAATGTGCGAGTTGCTCGGACGCGTCAAATTACCAGGTGATGACTTCTTTGGATCGAAGGGACTCTACTTGGGTCAGAATCTCAGAAAGGCACAATACGTTCTGTCTGAGATTCAAAATTGTGAGAATATCGTGGGAACAGGCTTTGTGAGAAACCTCGCTGAAGTGCTGAGTCGTCGATTCAGTGAAGCCCGAATCACTTCCCGAACATCTGGCGCTGCAGTTGCATCGGTGCAGCATATATCAAAGGCAGACCTCAAGTCTTCGGAAGACGGATATCGCTTAGAACCAAGCGATGTCCAGCCCACGATTTTGGAATTAGCAAAACTGGCTCACATGGAGCCCTCAGATTTTGAGAAAGTTATAGCCCCATATAGGCCCAAATATGTTGACTTCAAGTACCAGGACTTTGACTACAGAGGGGACAAGCGTCAGGCCCTTGCAGTTGCAGCCGCAATATTCGTGATTGGACTGGAACATATGCGCACTGCTGGAGGAGCAGAAGCACACAGATTGTTTAGCGGAGTCGAAGCAACTCTTTTTCACATCCAACGCTAAATCTTATCTTACTGGAGAGCTGCATATATTGAGATTCTGGCCAGGGAGGTTCGACCTTACTTTGCTTACAGTGTTCTTGAAATCAGCGAGAAAAGCGTCTAATCAACGATGAGGTAAAAGTAATGGAGCTACGGAACTAGCATCTGGACCGAAAAGTTCCCTGTGATTTGTAGTGAACGCAAAAGCAAACCAGATTGCCGAGAATATTATATGCGATGTTCCAAAAGATGGAGTTGGTTGAGTGAGTAGATTTGATAGTTTATATTGTCTAACATGTATCATGTAGACCTGTAAATTCCTTATTGCAGTTATTCTTGCCATTTTAGACAAGAGATCACGACAATTTGGGAGGAGATTCGTATACTCAAGGAATCGGAGTAGACTATGGTCGAGGTCCAACATGAATTTCTGTGCTTCAAAGTACACCGGTTTCGCAGATTTAGTAGCGCCAAGTGACAATAACAAGGAAGCCACACACCGCGTCATATATGATCCAGATACTGGCGAGGGACAGATGGACTTGTATGCCACTTGGGAACTAGGTCAACAAGATGTCAGATTCAAGACGCATACTAAATGTTGAGAGAGTATGCAACTGTGACGGTGCAGGCCCGGTCTTTGTGGAAAGGGGTGTGTCATTCATGCACCTAGGCCAGCAGAATCGGAATGAGAGCCACTCAGCGTCCTCTGCTTGATTCTGAACCGCGGTCTGCGTGATGGAAGTTGGCACTCTTCTTCCACTCTTGTGCTCTTTCCTTGTGTGTCTTCTCTTGCGTTCAACTCGTTGCCGCATCAGGAGAGCTCGTGACCCATGCGTTATTTGTCAATGGCAAGATATGCAATGTAAGAGAAAACCTAGTCTAGACAGTTTCGCTTGACTTTAGGCGGTATGTTTCTCGAACTGGACAGCCTTCATGGGCGTGCACTTCCCACGCGCCAATCCCATACTCTAAGGGTCGCTTATTCTTCCCCTTACCATCTTTGAGTAGATTTTCCGGCCTGTAATCTTGATTGGTCTTCATACGGCGAATAACTGACCCGTGAACTTTAGCCTCCTTTGGAAGGTCACGTCTCTCCCCAAGGGGAAGAGGCCACCGAGTGGGTTTCCAGGATCCATCGGGTTGCAATGCCAATCTCCGAAACGGCAGATACTCCGCTACTTTCCACGTTACAACGGTGGGCCACGAGACACCATGGTCATACTGTAAGAAGTCATGTACATGTCCGGTCGTAGATGCCCTTCGCAGTGCGGATTTAAAGCTGGATTCGTTCCCTTGATCACCTCTGTAATCTCCATTCGTTCGGCCTCCGGTGCTTGGCTCCAGATGACCCGGAAGATCACTATAGCCAACTGAATCATCAAAGCAATGAAAGAGCTTCATCTTTTCGTGATCAAATCGAAGCCCCGCACGCCGCGCCTCCTGTACCATCCACACCAATGGCACATGGCTCAGTGCTAGGTCTTCATCATCATCCAACTTTAATCCGCCGCCAATATCCGAATGACATCCGGCGAACCACACCTCCTCAATGTCTTGAGACGGGCTTTGGATTTCGTCAAGGAGACCATCCTTAGCTTCGGAGAGCGTACTAGCCGGGTTTTGGGGGTCTGCTTCCATTTTTTGTGGGTGAGCAGCAGGGGCTGGTCGATAGAACGCCTCTCCTGTGCAACGCCCTTGCTGCTCTGGGTGATCCGGCATCTTGCGCCGCGTCGATCGCCTGTTAGGGTTGGCATCTGAGATTAAATCCTGTCGAAACTTGGCACGATGCTCATCGATAGAAACGGCATGCCGAATTACCCTGGCCGAGGTTTTTGCCGTAAAAGGAAACAGAAATTTATTGCGATTCACTTCAAATCGTGGGATGCTGTTGACAGTGTCAAATAATCCGAGGAACCGAATTTGCGATACCGGACGACAGAAGGTCTCTCGTAGGGCTTTCATGTACTTATATAAGTCATCCTTTTCTGTCTGGCCAGCGTCGACGCTGTTGGTACATTTTGCCCACTTCGAGAAGGTCGTCCAGACGTAGCGTACTTTCCCTTCATTTCCTGGCTCTAGCAAACCAACGTGGTCTACCATTTCCGCAAGCATGCGAGCAACATACGCTCCACGGCTAAAACCAAAAATGTATATGTCATCCCCAGGGCTGTAAAAGCGCATGAGGAACCTATAACCGTCCATGACATGTTCGTCAAATGTTGTGCCTGTCGCAGAATCCTTCATATTCGAAAACCATCTCTTTAGTCGATTCTGGCCGGCATTACTGACCTGCCAGATCGAGGTGGTATGCGTCCCAAACCCCGGCTGATAATAATGAAATTGGCGAGGGTCATTGCGGTTCAGCATCTTTCATCAGTGTAAGAGTAGCCTGAAGAAATTGATTCATGTTCTAACCACTCACTCTGTAGATCTTGAGGATATTACTGTCCGCTTCGTCTCCGCGGAATTTATATCCGGTGCCATCGAAACAGAGAACAAACTCTTTGTTGTCCGCGATGGCGGCCCGCTCCATATTAGGTGTTGCTTCTGTATTCTAAACAGTCACGCCACTCTATCGAATGTTCAGTGGCACGTCGTTCTTTTAAAGCTTAGAAAGGGATGTTGCCAATGTAGGAGTCACCCACGGGTAGCTTGTGGCGAAACTTACCTGTCGGTAAATCCAATGTCTAGAATCACTTAATTTCCAACAGCCTCATGCATTTCCTGTAGCCCTGGATTAGCATGGGCCCCATAACGCAATATGGAGAGAGATCTGACGGTTCGATTGCCATTTGATAAAATTTTCCGAAGATAGATACATATCGGCTAGTTCCGGTCTCGGAAGTGTTCGGTGCGGAATACGAGAGCCAGAGATTGGTCGATGATGTCGAGATGACCGCGACACAAACTCAAAAAGTGTATTCTTCTTGCGTTGAACTACAAAGTTTCGCACAAGTCCAGGTGGATAAAGAAGGGCTATTTATCTAGTTTAAGTTTATCCGGACGGCTGAAAAGGTCACTAATCGATCTCGTAAACATGATTAATGGTTGAAGATCTCTTATTATTGGCCATCTGCCAGTTCGGGCTCTATTGAGCTCCTGCGGGGCTATGCTTTCTGCTCCAACCTCTGAGGTCATGAAGGACCTTTTATAACTGGGAGAAGCATTATATAACACTAGAAGACAGATATATTGAGAATATTGACGGTTTCTGCCGTCACCTTTAACTTATACCTTGTGAATTGCCATCCTCAAGGCACCATGTCACCTCTGAACGAAGCCGCTTGGATTCTGAAGCCCAGAAGTGATCTGAAGCGATTCACTGCGGCCTACAATGCCCCTTCGTTTGACGAAGTTGTGATCGAGGTGCATCAACACATTGCATGGAGTTTTACTGTAGAAGTCGTGTAGCTAATAAGTGTGATAGAACCGCGCTGTTGCCATACAACCTTTGGATGCCAATATCCGGGCCCAAGCATACGTCGACGTGCCCTACCCATTCATCTTGGGCAATGGAGTTGCCGGCATTGTCCATGAAGTTGGATCGTCAGTCACGAGATTCAAGAAGGGCGACCGCGTCGTGTCTGATACACCTACTTACCAGCTCAAACAAACTAAGTACGGGGGCTGGCAGAAATATGTCGTGAGTAATGAAGCCACAACCGCTAAGATCCCGGCAAGCACGACTTTTGAGGATGCGGCTGCAATACCTTTCGCGCTCTTAACAGCTGTGTCTGCGTTGCACTTGCACCTGGGTATGGAGAAACCAGGAGCAAATTGCAACAAGAAAGCACTAATCTGGAGTGCTAGCGGATCTGTGGGGGGTTACGCTGTTCAATATGCCGCCAGTGTGAGCATAAAATAGCTCAATGGTATTATCCGGTGAAAAGCTAATAAGGATTTTTAGGTCGGTTGTGAAGTCATAGCGACCGCTTCCCCGCGGAAATTCGACTACGTTCGTGGCCTTGGAGCCTCTACTGTTCTCGACTACAAGGACGATGAGATCGTATCGAAACTTAAGAACCTCGGGCCCTATGATTATATCATGACGGCTTCGGGTGACGCCAAAGGTGCAAACGCTATAAGCGAGATCCTGCAACCAAACGGCGGGACATTTGCCTCTGTCCGCGCACAAAGTAATGAAATGAACCTGGCCAAGAATGTCCGTTTAGTTTACGACTTTTTTAGCATGACTACCCAGAAGCCGGAAAATGGTGATTTTACGGAATGGTGGTATCATGACTACCTCCCCGGAGCTCTGGAAGGAAAAGTGACCCCTACACCCTTGGAAAAGCGAACTGGTGGCTTGAACAGCATCCAGGAAGCTTGTACCGACGTTTTGGAAGGGCGCAGCGCGAAAAAGCTGGTTCTAAATCCCCAGGACGCTGATAATTGAGCTGTAATATAGGTATCAACAATTTTATCACAGGCCGCCTTAGCTATCCTAGTATCTATCTTTATATTTGACTGTAGTGGTGGCTGTCCACAGACTTTACTGCTTCATCTTAAAAGCAGAGGGATAGTCCGACTAAGAATTGCGTTATTCTCGGCTCCATGCGAGAGCGTACAGCTAAGGTGTACCATGGCTTCCCCTATTGCGATTGTTCATGCATCCGCCATCCATGCCTAAGAAAGCTCTTGGAATATCATTATCCCGACGAGATCTCGCCACTGCGTACTAGCGTATCCTTGGAATAGCCGTTGGGAGGTACTTTGTAAAAGGTAGAATCTCCTAAGGGGACGCTGCTGTTGCAACCAACGCCCACCCGCCATGCGCATGTTTATACCGAAACCGGTAGTAGCATGATCGTGTGCACCATGGTTAACTAGACTACATGCTAGATATAATAACTTTACTGGAGGTGAATCTAGTACATATGACCATATGGTGTTGAAAACAGGGCTTCCTGTTCGCTTAGCTGACCTGGCCGTCAGGTTACAGTTAAGATTAGGTTAAAATATAATAGTCAGATATAATCACTCTACTATTAACTATATAAATATCTTCCTACTCAGGAAAAAAATTTTTTAACCTATTTCTTATCTATCTTATAATACTTCAATATAATCCGGCAGTATTAGAATTATATATAAATAACCTTAGATTCTAAAGAATCTGACTAGAGAATATAAAATCTTCTATAAATTTTATAAAAAATATAATAAACTTATAATAGAGAGTAATAGTATTCTAAATAATACGACTCTATTCAATATCGCTTTGGTCCGAAACTAAGTAGTGAAATCACTCGGTGTTAAGAATGGCTAACTGGTTAATGAATAAGTAGGGGCTGTAAATTATACCATGGAAATATTTTCAACTAATTTTAGTTGGTTGTTACAAGTTAATTGATGCATTGTCATTGTATACGGAAGATAAATTACAGGGTATGTAATCCAAAAATTTCATAGTATTAGCGACAGGTGCAATCATATTTATGCTGACCACATCCCCTCTTTCCAAACTATAATACCTCATTATATCATGTTTAGACACACTTTAATGTTCTTTGGCTAAGGTAGTAGATTGACTTGTGCACTGTTCTCCCGGCTAGGCCTGTTTTGCTTGTACATATAGATTAGCGGTCAGCAGGTGACGAGCTTATATAAGAATTCAACGTAAATATAATCTACTGTGAATACGTTCAAGCAGAGAAACAACCGCAGGCAGCTTGCCAAAGACTAGGATCTGTGTTACCCGCGGGCTTCGGGGGCGATGTCCTACACTTTTGGCCATGGGCGGAGACTTTCCACCAAACAAGATGTTGGGTAGGCCCGGAGCAATATCCCACCTTTCCTTCTTACAGTACAGCGCCATTTCTTCATGCGGATCGGCCTCTAGGCTAGCACTAGATGCAAAGAGTATATGTTCTTGAAGCTCGTCCGTTATCTGTGGATTTTCTGCTTGTCCGCTGCAAGGATGACGCCAGGGTATTCATACGTCTATGCATGCTGCTTAGTAAGAAAGTTAAAAAGCCCGCTCCTACGTCGTTGCAGGGATCTGCACAAATACGCAAGATCGCGAGGTTCTCAGGGAAAATTAATGGCTGGCATAAGCGCATACCACAGATTGTTCGGACCTGCAAGGGAGTGTGCCACGTCAGGATCTTGTGAGATTGAGTCTTTGATCCACAGAAATGTAGGCTGGTTTAGATTACGCAGTCTATGCGATACACCTCACTGAATTTGTCGCGACCAACAGCAGGAGCGTCGATCTGCTCTTGCTATGGTTTGGCGAGAGATAAATAGAGGAAGTTGTACTCATGGGCAGTATACACAATTCAACAGCACTGAGCATTTCCCATTCCGCTCCTCCCTCTCTCTATTTGCTATAATCCAACTTCACCAAGCCCAAGATGACTATCACAAGCACGGCTCCGACTAGCTTCCGGCGCATCAGTGCCAAAGCCCCAGTGGAGAAGATCCTGGAGATGTTCCGCGAGGATGGCGGGCTCGTGGTGGAGGGTTTCTTCACCCAGGAGCAGATTGCCAAAATGAACCGCGAGATCGACCCCCATCTAGCCAAAATTGCCTGTGGAACTCACCGCAAGGTCGACGAGGAGGCGTGGATCACCGAGTTCCACGGGGAGAACACCCGCCGCCTCAGCAATCTACCCACCCTCAGCAAGACCTTCCGTGACGAGGTACTCAACTACGACCTCCTCCACCAGATCTGCGAAGCGGTTTTCCGCAAGGAGTCAGGCGACTACTGGATGTGCACTGCACAGGTTATCGAGATAGGCCCACACAGCAAGGCCCAGCAATTGCATCGGGACACGGCTGAGTTTCCCGGGTTGACCAAATTGGGTCCCCGAATGGACGAGATCCAGATCAGTTTCTTCACGGCGTTGACCGACTTTACCGCGGAGAATGGCGCGACCCGGGGTATCCCTAAGAGCCACTTGTGGGAGAACTACGAAGACTGGGGCCGCGACGAGGATGCGGTGCCTGCCGTCATGAAGGCAGGAGATGTCTTCTTCTTTACTGGCCGACTGTGTCACGGCGGCGGCGAGAACCGCACAGAGGACTTCTGGCGCCGCGGAATCTCGCTTTGCTTTCAGGCGAGCTATCTCACCCCCGAAGAGTGCTACCCCCTGATTATGCCCCGCGAGATTGTGGAAACCATGACGCCTCTGGCGCAAAAAATGTGCGCATGGCGCTCGCAGTATCCGATTTTGGGCGGAGGGTTGTGGCAACATAACTACAGCGAGGTGGCTGACGCAATTGAGCTGAAGGCCAACCAGCCGCTAAAGCAGTAAGGAAATGTAAAAACAGGCGGAGGATGATCAAACTAGCTGCAGCATGAATATGTGCGTGCTGGAAAGCGACCAGCTTACAAGGGGGGTTGCGCTGCAGGTTCTTGCCCTGACCGCTATCTTGATATGCTCCATCTACCTAGTAGTCAATCTACTGTCACGGAATTGAATGTTACCACTGTGATAATAGTTTTACCTTGCTTTAATATGCTTAGGAATTTGGTGGAGTGTGATTTGTAGTATGTCGTAGAGACTCTGGTCAGAGATAAACATACCAGGCCTGCCCGCCCACCTCCTCCTACTTATCGTCTCGTCACCGAGCTTCTTCTAGGTTTTCTACAGTCTTCTTCTCTTTTTACCATCTGTCCTTGCTCTTACATCAACAAGCAATATGGTTGGAATTCAACAGCCTCCGCCAGACTATGATATGGTCATTGTAGGGGCCGGCTTTGCCGGCGTTACTTTGCTCTATCATCTTCGTAAACAGGGTCATCGTTGCCGGGTGCTGGAGGCGGGGTCAGACCTGGGAGGAACATGGTTCTGGAACCGCTATCCTGGGGCACGCGTCGACACGGAGGCACCCTTTTACGGTCTGTCCATCCCCGAAATCTGGGAAAGCTGGCAATGGAGTGAGAAGTTCCCCTCTCAGCCTGAACTCCGACGATACTTCGCCCACCTGGACAAGATACTCGGGCTGAAGGAGGACATTGACTTCCACACCCGGGTCACGCATGGTCAATTCCGTGAAGACCGCTGGCATATCACGACCGCGAACGGCCGCCACCTCACCAGTCGTTTCTTGATCGCCTGCCCCGGCCCCGGCACTGTACCACACATCCCGTCGTTCCCGGGGCTCGACTCCTTTCAGGGAACAGTGACGCACTCGTACGAGTGGCCAGAAGAGGGCATCGACCTGGCCGGAAAGCGCGCCGCGGTGATCGGCACGGGGGCGTCAGGCGTGCAAATCGTGCAGGACTGGGCCAAACACGCCCAGCATCTGACCGTCTTCCAACGAACCCCCAACACCGCGCTCCCCATGCAGGCTGAGAGCTGGGCCCCCGACGCAACCCTCACACACGCCGCCTTCTGTAACTACCGTCATACCCACTTCAGCGGTGTCAACTACCAGTTCACTCCGACCAACACCTTTGATGTCGCTGACCCGGCCGCACGACAGGTCTTCCGGGAGTCGCTGTGGCAGCGCGGCGGCTTTCCCTACGTCTACGCGAATTACCAGGACGTGATGACCAACCCGGCAGCCAACCGCGAGATGTATGACTTTTGGGCGTGGAAGACTCGTGCCCGCATTGTTGATCCCCGCAAGCGCGATCTCCTCGCCCCCCTGGAGCCCCTCCACCCCATGGGCGCCAAACGTCCGACCGTCGAGTTGGACTACTACGACCAGTTCAACCGGCCAAACGTCGACCTGGTCGATCTCCGCTCCACCGCCATCCGCTCCTTCGAACCCAACGGCCTCACTACTACCGATGGCCGCTTCTTCCCACTAGACGTCATTGCCCTTGCTACCGGCTTTGACATGATCACCGGCGGCCTCACCCACATGGGGCTTCAGAGCGTCGACGGCGAAACCCTCTACGACCAATGGCGGGGAGATGGAGGTGTGAAGACCTACCTTGGAATGTCTATCCATGGCTATCCTAACATGTTCTTCTTGGCGGGGCCGCAGGGCCCGTTGTCCTTCTCGAGCGGGCCCATCGGCATTGAGGTGCAGTGCCAGCTCATTTGCGATGCCATCCAGTCTCTGCATGTTGGAGGACACACCATCTTCGAGCCCACAGCTTCCGCGCAGGAAACTTGGAGTCACCGGGTCAAGGCCATGTTCGATGGGACCTTGTTCCTCCAGTCCCCGGACTCGTGGTTCTTGGGTGGGAACATCCCCGGCAAGAAACGGGAGTTATTAACTTATGCGGCGGGGTTGCCCCAGTATCAGAAAGATTGCCAGAAGGCCTTTAGTACATGGGAAGGGTTTGTGCGGAGGTAGAGTATCCTAAGACGCATTATGCAGTTGTTTTCCTTGCGAGTAACCTTGGCGCAACCCCCCCTCTTCCCTTTTTCTTGGGCCATGTCATTTCTGCGTTTCGCAATCTCATGTCTTAAACTGGATTTGACATTGTTCAGAAATAAAACGTATTCTGGGCATAGACATCTACTACACTCCACACCATCCAACAGCTCATAGCCAGGTGTGAGAAATTATATAATCCTCTAACTATGCGTCCTTAAACTCAACCTCGCCGCCAAAACCCACCAGTAATCTCCGTTCCAGCAGCCGAAGACCTTCCCAGATACCCAATTTTTTGTAGGTAGCGCACATTTAGCATTACAGTCCGCGCCATGACCTGCTCTACCTCCTCCCACTTTTCCCCGGGCCCCCATGCAGATGTAGGAGGCATGGGACTACTCAGCAACTCCGTTCCCATCGTCTCAATGACATGTATAACAGGCCAACACGGATGCGCCTCCCCAACTGCAGCCATCGACTCGTTCAGTCGTGACAACCAGGTCGCATATGTCGCACTCCTCTTCAGAATCTTTGTCTTCTGCTCGTACCCATCCTCTTCCAAGCCGGCATTCACTGCATCCCAGAAGGTGTCCACCCGCAGCCCGCTGAAAATCATCTTCCTTGTCTGTAATCCTCCGGGGGCAGCGGCAGCAGCCGTAGCAGCAGCAGTAGTGGTAGTAGTATCCAGCGACGGCGAGGACCAGAATAGACCGCCCACTGCCGCGTCCGCGACAGCATCAGCAGTTGACACGTAAATCCAAGCCTCCTGGGGCTCCGGCTCCGGATAATATTCACCGATCAGAACGCACGCACTCACCAGACGCCACAGTAGATCATCGAGGTTAGCGGCGTAATGGTGGCTGCGAGGTCCGCCGATGATGAGAGCGGGATTGAGGATGCCGAATCTAGAACTGGGAGTAGTCACTGATTTCGCTGCTGCCGTCCCAGCCACGATCTGCTCGGCAATCAACTTGCTCTGCCCATACCCATTCGTTTCCCGTAATTTGTGGCGCAGCGTCACAGGATCGAACACCACCCTCGGATCGGCGGGATCCCATTGCGCGCCGCCGGAGATGTATTCCAAGCGCGTGATGTGCGGGTTAGCGGCGACACATGCGACGAGCTGCGCCGTGGCAAGTACGTTGGCGGCGCGGAGCTCGGTGTAGCTGCGGTGCCAGTGCACGAGGGCGCCGTTGTGGACGATTGCCGTCACCGGAGGTGCTGCTGCATCTTCAGACGTGTCATGGCTGCTGCTTGTTGTCCCTTCTAGCTGGCTCCATGCGGCCTCAGAGAGTCCGAGTCGTGGACGCGCGAGATCGCCAGACCAGATTTGTACCTTCGGGGCGTGGATCGGCTCGTCCCACCACCCGGCAGTGGTGGCGGCGGCTCGGACGCGCTCGAGGCCAGCGGCAGGATCAGGGCTGCGGACCAGGAGATAGACGGTTTGTACGCGTGAATCCGTCAGTAGCCTGTGGAGGATGGCAGTTCCCACATAACCGGTCGCGCCTGTCAAGAGCACATGGTGGTTGGCGGATGCGGAAATTTGCGGCGGGAGAGAAGGGGAGGAGGAGCCAAGCGCCAGTGGGCCTGGAATCCCGCTCTGGAGATCCGCGAGCATTAGGTCAACCTCCTTGTTCTGTTCCGATGCGGCATCGCTTTCGGGTGTCTCGTCATCACTCGGGCCATGCTGCAACTGATGCACCTCGCGAGCGAGCTCGGTGAGTACCATGGCGCGTGGGATGCGACTGAGCGGCAACCGGACGCCGAAGGTATGGTTGATGGCGCGCACAAATGAGACCATGCGGATGGAGTCCAGTCCGGCGGCGATGGGGGCAACATCAGGCGGATTATCGGAATCCCAGCTAGAAGCGAGCACCGGAAGCGAGAGAGCAAGCAACTGGCTCAGTTTTCGGGCGACAGTGTCGGAGGCCGGGATTGTCGCTGTCGGAGTACTTGTGCGCCAGGCCGAGAGGTCTGGTTGCTGCTCCACCCATTGTTGGAGGCCCTTGCGGTCTGTCTTGCCGGTCAGAGAGAGAGGTATCCGGTTCACAAAGAGACAGATGGCTGGCACCATGTATGCGGGCAGTAGGGCGGCGAGATGTTGTTGGAGCGAGCTATACAGATCACGCCGATCTTGGAGTTGCAGTAGCCCCAAGTCATCACGACAACCGGGACTGCACTGGGCCACCAACACCAGCTCCGAGCACCCACTTGTCTTAATGATCATCGCAACGGCGGCCTCCACCTCTTCGTGCTTCCGCGCGGTCGCTTCAATCTCCCCGAGCTCGATCCGTTGGCCATGCAGCTTGACCTGGTGGTCCTTACGACCGACGAAGATGACCGACCCGTCGGCGGCGAACCGCGCCAGATCTCCGGTCAAGTAGACCCGCGAGGCCCAAGGTGGAGAATCAGGAAGAGATGAGAGCTGTTTGTCCTCCTCCCATGGGGCAGATTCCAAGAATGCTTTGGCCTGTGCACCGGGATTATTGAGATACCCCCGAGTCACGATCGGGCCTTGGATGGCCAGTTCGCCCACAAGCCCCAGCGCCACCAACCGGCGTGGGTCATCCGGGTGCACAATCACCATACGACAGCCAACGGGGAAACCAAAATTGAGGGGATCGGCGGCGGCATGCAGCGGTGGGGTTAGTGCCGCAGTTACACAGCATTCACTTGGCCCGTAGCTGTTATGGAACTCGAGCGGAGAGGAGCTGCGGCGGCTGCTGCTGCTGCTCGTCCAGCGCGCCAGCTGGGCAGCAGTGACAGCCTCCCCGCCCAGCCGCAACTCCTTCAACGTCGGAATCTCCGCTGGGTCCAGAAGATTGGCCACCGAAGGAGTAATATCGATCACATCGACCTGGAACCGGCGGATGACGGCAGCCAGCTCCGTCAGGACCTCGTCTTCACGCGGGATGCACACCACCCCTCCCACCAACAGCGGCCCTAACATGTCCGCAATCGAGGGATCGAAGCTATAGGTGGCCACCTGCAGCATGCGCCGCCCACGTTGGAACATCCCCTGTTGGGCCTGAGCCTCGAAGGCGGTGGCTACCTGACGGTGCTCGGCCAACACTGCCTTCGGGATTCCCGTCGTCCCCGACGTGAACACAGCATACGCGGCATTCTCGGCAGTGACGCCAGACGGGAACTTGGGGGGAAGAGGGTCGGTGGTGGAGCGTCGTAGCAAATCAGAACGTCGTTCTGGGTCGAGACACAAAACCCGATCGGCGAGGTCCGTTACTTTGTATTCTAACTGTCGCGAGCAGATGACGAGGGGCGCATTCACCACCGAGATCATGGTTTGCATGCGCGCCACCGGCAGGCCACTGTCCAAGAGAACAAAGGCTCCCCCCGCTTGCAGGACAGCAAGTATACTGATCAATGACCAAATGGACTTCTCGTGCGCGATGGGTATCAGCACCTCCGGGCCGACGCCCGCCGCCTGCAGTTGGTGGGCGAAATGGTGGGAGACGGTGAGAAGCTGACGGTAGGTCAACTCCCCATCCCATGCTACAACAGCTAGGCTGTCGTTCCACTTCCCCGCAGCGGCGTTCTGCTCAATGCGGGTATGCAGACATTCCGTGACTAAGCGGATAGGGGTAGCCTGCCATTGCTGCATTGTGGCGGTATCGGAGGGGGACCAGAGCTCAAGCTTCGAAACGAGGGAGTGTTGGTTGGCGGGTTGGGCAATCCAGTCGAGGACGTGGATGAACCGTGCAAGCAGTTGCTCCGCCTCCCAGCGACTCATGCAGGACTCGGTGTATGTGAGCGTGTGGCGGATAGCGCCGGGGCCTAGGAAGCACTCGAGGGACAAGGGGTAGTCCATGTAATCATCGCGTCGCTCGGCCCAGATCTCTTGAATGGGGCTACTACCATCGTTAGCTTCGTCATCGGGCTGGACGACGAGGAGACTCTGGAAGCGCGTGGCCTGCGCAGGGCCAGATTCGCCCAGGGAGGCGATGTGTGACAGTCCTACATGCTCGTGGGGTAAACAATCGCCATATTGCGATTGAGTAGAGGCTAGACACGCCGCGACGGTGGTAGAGCTTTCATCGAGTTGTAGACGAACCGGAAAAGTGGCAATGGTCGGTCCGATAATACGGGCGATGTCAGCCCCCTCAATCTCTGCCGCGGCGCGTCCGTTGCTCACCACGCCAAATACCACATCCGATGTCTGGTTGTACCGCGCCAGAACAATTCCCCACGCGGTTTGGATCGCGGTGGCAGCCGTAGACCCCAGATGCTGCTGCTGGGGACCCCAAAGAGACTTGCCGGACACATGGGCTTGGACTCTCGACTCGTCCAGAGACAGGGCGCGAGGGAAAGCTTGGCCATCGAATCCGCGAAGATACTGTTTCCAGAAGTCTGTGGACGGGCGTAGGTCCTTCTGCGCGAGATGGCTCGCAAACGCAGAGAAAGGGGGGTGGGGAGGAATTCGGGGACTCGTGAGGTCGCGGTACGCTTCCACAAGGGCGTTTAAAATCAATCGTTGCGACCACGCGTCATAGACAGCATGATGCACATGCCAGCGGAGGCGTCCGGGCTTGATCCAGCAATGAACAAGAGGCTTTCCGAAGGGCAATCCACGGCTGGGATTTGTGGTGTCCTCAGGCGTCGTGGCCACAGCCTGGGGATGCAGCACCGCCAGATAACAGCGACCATCCAGAAGTTGGATGATGCGACTGCGGAGGACCTCGTTGGCCTCGACCACCCTGGCCCACGCTGCTTCTACCTGTGCTACGGACCACTCCGGGGGAAATTCAAAGGTTTGTTCCGCCCAGTATAAGTCCGGTTGCTGTGCGGTCAACACCACGAGACCCGTCTGCATCGGGGTGCACGGAACGAAATGGACTATTGCAGATTCAGGGACCTGACATTGTTGCACAGCCTGCGAGACCACCTCATCGTGTTGAAAGGCAGGAATTTGGATGAAACGACCGGAAGACGAGACAGGGTCCGCAGGTTCTTTTGGTTGTACTGGTTGGAGCGGTTGTTCCGCTGCAGCCTGGACCATCTCAGACAATCGTGGATGGCGGATCATCAGATGGACTGTTAATGCTATTCCTGCCTGTTGGGCCAGTCGCGCTACTTTCAGCGCATCAATGGAATCGCCCCCCAAGGCAAAGAAGTTGGAGTCGGCGTCCACATCTTCCTCCTCTAGATCGAGTATCCGACACCAAAATTCTTTGACCACATCCTGGTACGGTGAGCCATTCACAAGAGTCTCGCCGATGCTCCCCATGCTCTGTTGCACAATCAAGTAATGGGTACCAAGATACTGTTAGAGAAATCAAGGGCGGCAGTCAAGACCCCTACTCGTCTTTTCGGAAAGAAAGTCTTGCTGGAAAGGGAGGGTTCATCATAGGGAGATCTTATATATAACTTTATACATATATATATGTACTTACTACACAGAATCGAAGATCGGCACGCACGCTCAAGGAAGGGGCCAGCAATGCATTTCGTTTAGGCGGTGAACTAGGGATTCTCTGACTCTCCCACCTTGATAATTTGGTCCTTACAATGGAGCGCTACTAATTCAGGCAACTAAAGCTCAGAAGTATGGCCGACTAAATTTACAGGATCCAGTGGATGTGTTTTCAAATAACCAGGTTTCTCTAGCTTCGAGAAATACTTATCTAATCTAAGTTAATCTATCCATCTCAGATGCTAACTATGAAAAGAGTGTCCACCTCTTGGGGTACCACCTGGACCAGCCGTAAGCCCGCCGCCGAAATCAATCCTCTCAGCTCCGTTTCTGTCCAGACCCGAAACATCGCCGTGTCGATATTCCGCTCGAGGAGCGTATCCTGACCTTTCCAGACCTCGATATGCCGCACCACGCGCCACACGTTCCCCTCGACTCCATTCTCCGTCACCGTCTCGCGATACACCACGCCGGGAAACTCGACGCTGGTATGCTCACTGGGCGGCAATGGGTCCGTGATGTCCTTGTCCAACCCCCGCTCGGGGTGGATGAGAAGCTTGTTCACCACGGAGATCTGGGCTTGCCCGGTGCCCGGGGTCAGGAGTCTGGCCACTTCAGCTAAAAACTGCTCCGGCTGGCCCGGGAGGTAGAAGTGGGAGATACTGCCGAATCCAATCGTAAGAAGATCGACGGTCTTCCGCGTTGGGTGCTTCTGTCGGAAGATGGGGAGGGCAGACATCTCCAGCGCGGACCCCAGGAGCCAAGTGATGCGCGCACACCCAGTCTCGACCGCCAGGGTGGCGTTGATCGCACTTGCCCGTGCGAGCATGTACGGCTCGATATCCAGGCCGATGAACTCGACATTGGCAAGGGAGACTCCGGGGGTTGCCGCTGCATGACGACTCATCGCCTGGATAAGACGGCCGGTGCCGGTGCCAACGTCCAAGACGAGCAGTGGAGAAGAGGGTTTGGAAGAGGCGGTCATCCGGATGAGAGAATTTGCATTGTAAGCGGTGTCGTTGCGATTCCCAGTCCAGATGTCGTAATACTCGGCCAGATAGGCGGAGTTGTAGCAGGTGCTTTCCCGCTCGGTGGAACCCATGTCTAAGCAAAGACAGACAGACACAGAGAGAGAGAGAGAAAACGGTACAGATACGGCCAAAGGGGCAACAGGAGGCGAACTTGGTTGTGAGATGGCAAGGAGTCCGTTCACAGAACCCGATGCAAGAAGTCGAGAACAAATAAAGGTGCGGGTGGGGCGTATTTCCTGCAGATGATCGGCCTAGATATCGATCCGTGGGTTGCCTTAACAGATTGGGAGAAACCACCTCGTCAGAGATCTGCAGGATGATGCACGATGTAGCACCGTGGCGATGCAGGGGGTCACATTCTCTGCTTAGACTCTTAACTCGCATCTGCATACATATATGAGGTGTTTTCACAACCCCCCCTTTCTTATGTCTAAGTTAAACGATTAATGCGATAAATTCTGCGTGCTGATGTAGCTTTCGGAAGGCAGTCGCGGGTCTTCCAGTTTATTTTAAACACTCTCGTTCAAGTCTTCCTCTCCTTCCTGAGCCCGAGTTCCATTCAAATCGAGGCAACAGGAGCAACAATGACTATCTTGAACCTCCCCCCAACCGTCTCCCTTGCTGGTAAAGCAGCCATTGTGACTGGCAGCTCCCGAGGTATCGGAGCGGGTATCGCCATCGAACTCGCTCAGCGTGGCGCCAAGGTTGCTATTGTTTACCACTCAGACAAAAGTACTCCGGCGGCTCAAAAAGTAGCAGAGAAGATTAACGCGCTGGGTGGTGTCGCGTCCTTGGTGCAGGTCGATTTGTCGACATTGACTGCCGGCCGTGATGTGATCGAACAGGCGCTACAGGGACTGCAGGTCGAATGCATCGACATTCTCGTCAACAACGCAGCAGCATATCCCCCTTTTCTTCCGGTTGCAGAACTCGACGGGGCATTGTTTGAACAGTAAGGGTCGCTCTCCAATATCTTTAACCCTATCTAGGGTCTCACCACGTCTGACGAACGCGCCTTTACCTAGTGAATTTATGGTAAATGTCCGCGCTCCACATCTGCTTGTGCAGGCCTTGCTCCCTTACCTTGCGAAGAAAGATGGCCGCGTCATCAACATGTGAGTTTTGCCATTCTTTTCTGTCTCTCCCAGGCTGATAGGCCCTTGTAGATCGTCCGCTTTATCCCGCATGGGTGCTAGCAATCTTTCTCTCTTCGCGGCAACCAAGGCCGCGTTGGAATGTCTGGGTCGTCAGTGGGCGCATGAGCTGGCCTGCCCACACAAGATGACAATCAATAATGTCGCATTGGGAGAGATTGACACCGCGGTAGAAGGGGGAGATATTCCTGATGAGTTCCGTGATGCACAAGTCGATGGGCCCAGCGCAGCCAAACGTCATGGCACTATTCAGGAGGTGGCCAACGTCGTCGCGTTTCTGGCTAGTCCGGGGGCCAGCTGGATTAATGGAAATACGGTCTCCGTGAGTGGAGGCCATCTTTACATTTAGAGAAACAGAATAGATAGTAGCAGACAACTCTGAATAGCTCAGGGACCAAGAGACAAAGCAAATGTGATTTCCTTCGTTATTATGTCGACTCTCCCTGCTCCCAAGCGCGATTATATTTACAGAAACAGCTAGATAACAGCACTTACCCCTGATTAGTTTGGGAAATAAGGATTAGAAGCAAATATAATTTCGTCCTATGCTTAGCTCGCGACTACGACTATAATTCAAGAGATATGTACAAGGTAATACTCGATTCTAAGTACCTCGGAAACGAGCATTAAAGTAAATATATCTTTAGTCCCTCCACTCATAACTTTCTCGACGTAGAGGTATAACTATATTAAGAGGTAGCTAAATAGTACTACTCAATGAGCGAGTTAGGAAACAAGATCAAACTAGTAAAGGTCATGTCATTCCTATTTATTCCTATGCTGATGACTTTCTCTGCTCGCGAGCGCGAAGCTCATGACGCTGCACCTTCCCTGTTACCGTTCGAGGCAATTCAGTCTTGGAGAGGAACTCGATGACCCGGGGACACTTGTATGGGGCGCTATGGTATAGGCAATGCTGCCGGAGTTCCACCTTGAGCTTGCGCAGCGGATGCTGCTCGTACTCCTCGTTTAGCACCACATACGCCTTGATGATTGAGCCACGTTCTTCATCCGGGATGCCAATGACCGCCGATTCTAGCACCCCCGGATGCATCTGTAGAACAGCTTCCACTTCGCTGGGTCCAATGCGATACCCCGAGCAATTAATGATATCGTCTTTCCGCGCTTTGAACCAGAAATAACCATCCGCATCCCGGAACGCACGGTCCCCGGTCAAGTAATACTCCTTACCCTCGGCGTTGCGCACCGTTGGTCGCGTCACAACCCCCTGTTCGTCGACATAGCCATTGAAGACGTCGTAAATAGAGTCTGCGCAGGTAGACAAGCACACTCCCAGAGCTCCTTCTTCCCCAATTGGGACAGGCTCTGCCGTCTCTCCTAAGATCTCCAGCGGGACACCAGGCAGAGGTCGGCCCATCGACCCTGGTCGTTGATCATCGGTGGATTCCGTGCAGAGGAAGACTGTCTCCGTGAGACCGTACCCATTGAGTATGGGGACACCCCGAGTTACCTGTCGCCAGGCCTCGATCACAGACCCTTCAATTGCCTCTCCGGCACTAATGCTGACTTTTAGGGATTGAGGCGCATGGGTGGCCGCAAATTCCCGACTCACGGATGTGACGAGTTGTCTGTAGGCCGTCGGAGTAGCACAGAAATTGGTAACAGAATAGTCGTGCAGGATTTGCAGCGTATGAATGGGGTCAAACACCAGTCCGGGGGTTTCATCCACAAGCAGGGCAGCTCCGTGATTCCAGGCAGCGAAGACTGCCCACGATCCTTTGACCCAGCCTACTTCGGAGAGACTCCAGAAGAGACAATCCGGATGGAGTTGACACCAGTGCTCTCCGGCAATTCGACTGCTCAAAGCCAGAGAGATCTGGCTGTGCTGAACCAACTTGGGCTGTCCGGTGGACCCTGAGGTAAAGTAGAGTACGCAGGGCGAGCTCGCCTCCGAATCGATAGTGGTGTCTGCGCCATTCACTTGGCCCATGGAGACCAGGGCTGGATACCCAAGTGCTTCGGAGACCTTTTCATCGGCTCCGACCTGGACCAAGTGGCGAAGCGTAGGGAGACGGGACCGAATCGACAAGACCTTATGGATTTGGGGGAGGTCGCCGATGAAGGCTTTAGCACCAACTTTCTGAATGCGATATTCAAGATCGGAGGCAGACAGTGCGCCAGCTACGGGGCAGACCATAATGCCACTGCGAATAGCCGCACAAAGAATCTCATAGAAGTCCCGACAACGTGCGGCCGAGATGACAATGGTATCGCCCTGTCGGACTCCCAGTGCATACAAGGCGGCCGCAACTTGAATTGAACGCTCGCTAAGTTCACGATACGAGACATCGCGGCGCTTTCCCTGTGTCACCAGAACGAGAGCGGAGGACTCTGCTCTCTCCTGGCTCCATCGATCGATGACTTCTCGGGCGAAGTTGAACAATGTGGGTTTGGGGCCAAGCTGAAGTCGGGTCATCTTGCTGGCGGAGAAGGATAAGTGAGGAGGGTAGAACCAAAGGCCGATGGGAAAATTTATGGAAGCATTTCTCTTTTCTGCTCGTGATGCGTAATCTCGAAATCCTAATCTACAAGGCCATCGAACAGAGATACCGCTTTTGTTCTCAACATCACCCCTTAATCCCCTTGCATGTGCAAGTTTACCATTCACAATGCTAGAATTCAATAGAGATAATCCATCCACTATAGACATCATCTACCCTATCGTGCTGTACGTGCCGCCGAGGAGGAATCCTGTTTTCAAATGCCGGTGTCTCATACTGCCAGCGAGTCCGTAGATCATCATGTAATACAGACCACTTGAACAAATCACCATGAAACATTTGCACTGAGTTGTGCTCAGCATAGGGTGTGGAACTACATAAAAGGGGGTTGTAGTAGACTCGAAACAATATCTCAGCCACCGGCGCACCACCGATTCCATCATCATCATCATCATCATCATCATCATCATCATGCGTTTTCTATGTCTGCACGGTATCGGCACTGGAAATGCCATTATGGAAGCGCAGCTATACATGATCAAGCGTCAGCTGCCGGGACATGAGTTCGTTTATTTTCAGGGAGAGCTGGAAACCCCACCAGCGCCAGGTCAGAGGCTTCTTTGAGAGAGAATGGGCTCCGTGTTGTGCAAGGCCGAAACTGACCGTCACGACGAACTAGGAGTCGAGATGTTCTTTCCGGGGCCTTACTACTCCTACTTCACCGTACCCTCTCCTAATGCCGTGCTTGAAGTGATCAACCGTTTGGAGCAGTTCATTGACCTGCACGGCCCCTTTGATGGGATCCTGGGATTTTCCCAAGGGGCCGCCTTGGCAGCTTCCTACCTTCTCCACGACGCCGACCGGTCATGCCCGCGCGCCGAGTTCAGATGTGCGGTGTTCTTCTGCGCAATCCAATGTTGGGATGTCGACAGTCCCGGGTTTACCATGGACAAGGAGGGGCACTGTCGTGCAATTGGAGCGGAGGAAAATTCTTCAGAGCTCCAATGGAAGACGGACGAGGTTACGAGTGTCTTCAGCGCTGCTAACCATCCCCTGCTTCGTCAGGATTGGGATGAAGCCACACCGCTACTGTGGCCATACGGGAAGGCTCCCATGCGTTCGGATGCATTGGCCCGCATTTCGATCCCGTCACTGCATATTGTCGGAGCCAAAGACCCTTATCGGGCCGAATCGCTTGCACTGCAAACACATTGCACCAGGTGTAATGCCCAGATGGTGGAGACAGCGGCCGGACATGAGATCCCTCGTGATCCGATTCTGGTACGCAAGGTTGCTCAATTCCTTCACACAGCCCCCAGTTTAGCGCGAAGGTATGATTTAAGCACATGCAGCTAGAGTCGAACTTTATCGGACTGATCTGCAGCCAAAGCAAGGTGACACGGTTAGCTAATATCGGTCTGTAATATCGGTCTGGAGAAATGGCCTTTCCTCATGTTCCTATATTTATTCTTAAATTTATTTATTTATTTATTTATTGATTTTTAATTTTTTTTGTCTGTGTTTCTGAATAAGATAGACGAGCTTGACTTACAGTTTCGGCCGCATTTTTGCATAGGACTGGATGGATTCTCAGTTTTGCCTATAGAGACGACGCTGCCCACTCCGAAAGGGGATGTGGAACTTTCATTCATTGTCCATGATAGAATAAACTTGTTCATTTTTCTTACTTCAAGATCTTTTCTTCTTTTCTTTTCATTTCTAAGTTTCTTCCAGTCTTTCATGATGAACGAACCCATCGCCATTATAGGCAGTGGATGTCGACTGGCGGGTGGGTGTGATACTCCCTCAACGCTTTGGACGCTTCTCCAACAGCCCTACGACGTCTCCCAAGAAATCCCCCAAGATCGAATTCCCCCGTCACACCACAATGCCTCCCCTCGGGGGTATTTTCTTTCACAAGATGTCGCCAAGTTTGACGCTTCCTTTTTCAACCTGAATCCCTTGGAGGCGCAAGCCATAGATCCCCAGCACCGACTGTTATTGGAGACTGTCTACGAAGCGCTAGAGGAGGCAGGAATGCCTATGGAGAGATTGCGTGGCTCTGACACTGCCGTATATACGGGAGTGATGTTCCATGACTATTTGGCCCTCAGTAGCCGGGACCAGGAATCAATCTCCAAGTATCACATTACAGGGACTGCGCCGAACAAGGCCTCAAATCGAATATCCCATTTCTTCGACTGGCATGGCCCGTCCGTGACGGTAGATACCGCCTGCTCCTCCAGCCTGGTCGCCCTCCATCAAGCGGTGCAGCAGCTGCGGACAGGAGGATCTCACTTGGCTGTAGCGGCGGGGGCCAACTTGCTTCTGGACGGTCGCCCCTTCATTGGGTTCAGCAATTTAGGCATGCTCTCTCCCACCGGCAGCTGCAAAATGTGGGATACCAGCGCTGATGGGTACGCCCGTGGGGAGGGGATCCTGGCCGTGCTGTTGAAGCCACTTTCCCTCGCCCTTGCCGACGGCGACAACATCCAATGTGTGATCCGAGAGACTGGGGTGAATCACGACGGACGAACCACTGGGATTACCCTGCCCAGCGCATCAGCTCAGGTGAGCCTCATTCAGGACGTTTACCGTCGCGCGGGACTGGATCCCACCCAGCCCGGTGACCGACCTCAGTACATTGAGGCCCATGGCACCGGCACTCAAGCCGGAGATCCGTTGGAGGCAGAAGCACTGGCCACAGCATTTGCGCTCGCATCTACTCTTGACCACAGTGAGGTCTGTCCAGTGCGGGTAGGCAGTATCAAGACGGTGGTCGGTCATACCGAGGGCGCTGCGGGCCTGGCTGGTGTCCTGAAAGCGTCTCTGGCCTTACAGCATGGGAGAATCCCACCAAATCTAGGCTTTCAACAGCTGAACCCGAAGGTCGCCCCATATTGTACTCATTTGACAGTCGCGACCAAGGCGGAGCCATGGCCCGAGCCGCCATCACCCTCCGCTACCCTACGTCGAGCCAGCGTGAATAGCTTTGGGTTCGGAGGCACCAACGCCCATGTCATCTTGGAGTCGGTGGGGCTGCAGGATATCCCAGTTTCTGGAAATTCCTCGCAGTTACCAAGCCTGGCCTCACCCTCCCTCCTCCCGTATGTCTTTTCGGCTGCTTCGGAAAGGTCGCTAGTGGCGATGCTCAAGCGATATGACCACCACCTGCAAGGCCACCCGTCTATCGACCCAAGGCAGTTAGCGTCAACACTTGCCAGCCAACGATCCGTCCTCCCGGTCCGCATTCGCTTTCCAGCGTCATCATTGGAGGTATTACGAGAAGGTCTCGCCAGGATTCTCGCCTCCGAGTCCCCGCAAGCGGGCCACCGCTCCCCTTTACGAGAATCGTGTATCCTCGGCATATTCACGGGTCAAGGCGCCCAGTGGCCACAAATGGGTGCGGGCTTGCTCGCCGCGTATCCGCCGCTGACCACATTTCTCGATAGCTTGAATGCTGCATTGCAGTCTTTGCCCGAGGAGGACCGACCTGCGTGGTCCCTGCGCGAGGAACTGCAGCGACCGTCCGAGGAATCGCGGCTGGACGTCCCCGAGATTTGCCAGCCCGCCTGCACTGCGGTCCAATTGATGCTCGCTCACCTGTTACAAGCCGTTGGCGGGGTCTCTTTCACTGCGGTGGTGGGCCATTCCTCTGGTGAGATTGCCGCGGCCGTAGTCGCAGGGTATCTGCGCCCCGGGGACGCGATACGCATCGCTTATTACCGCGGCTTGCACGTTAGTCGCGTGCTTCCCACGCTGCCCAAGGAGGGCCGCATGCTGGCAGCGGGTCTGTCCCAGGCAGCGGCGGAAGAGCTGGTTGACACCGTTGTGTTTGAGGGACGACTGTCGGTGGCGGCAGTGAATTCCCCGTCCAGCGTGACCTTGTCAGGCGACGCGGACGCAGTGGCAGAGGCCAAAGCCTACCTGGACAGTTGTAAGGTCTTCAACCGCCTGCTGAAAGTTGGAACCGCGTATCACTCTCATCATATGCGGGCATGTGCCGCCGAGTATCACAACTCGCTGATCCAGTGCCAAGTGGAGGTCTTGCGTCCCTCAGGCGACAACGTTCCGCGCTGGTACTCAAGCGTACGATCGGGGCAGGCCATGATCTATGACAATGATAATGGTAATCACAATGGTGAAGGAACTGGCGAGCTAGCTGCGTCCTATTGGGTGGACAACTTGGTAAATCCTGTACTCTTTCAGCATGCGGTTTCAAGCGCCATCACACACCCGGAGATGGAGGTGAACTTCTGTCTCGAGCTCGGTCCACATCCGGCGCTTCAGGGGCCCGCCACGCAGACGATGGTAGAAAGCTGTAGCTCGGCGCTCCCTTACTCGGGAACCCTTCACCGCAACAAGCATGACGAGGTCGCGATTTCGGAATGTCTAGGCGACTTATGGGTGCATCTGGGCAGTGTGGGAGTCCCCAATCTCAAGGCCTTCGGGCAGACACCACACAGGCCGAGTGTAACGGACCTGCCAAGGTATCCTTGGGACCATGAGCATAGCTTCTGGGTCCCAGAGCCGTCACATCGCTCTACCAGACGGCTTGTTACGCATCATACGATATGCAAAAGTCCTGTCCACAGCTTGCTAGGGTCACGAGACGAGCTGATTGGGGCAGTTGACAGGGCTACCGCGTACCACTGGTCAAATGAGTTGCGTGCTGACCGGCTGGGCTGGCTCCGTGGACATATTCTTCAAGGCCAGATTATCTTTCCAGCTACAGGGTATCTTGCATTGGCCGTCGAGGCCGCCCTGCAGATGGCCAAAGGGCGACCAGTACAAGCGATTACTCTCGAGGAAGTCAACTTTCTCAAGGCCCTCCGGGTGGACGATGAGACTGGAGCCAGCATCATCGTCAGTCTGCATGTATCTTGGGATGATGAGCAGGTGGTGCAGGCAAGGTTCACAGTCGATGTATACTCGACAGAGGAAACGAGCCGATCCACCGCTGCGGCCACAATGAACATCACGGTCCAGCTGGGCAACCCGGACGAGGATCTTCTGCCCGAACTAGCCTCTTCTCCCTCACCGGTGATGATGACGGAGCTGGATCCCGGATATGTATACAGCCATTTGGCTGAGCTGGGCTACGAATACACGGGTCCCTTTCAGCGGATTTCCCGCCTCCGTCGATCACTGGGGCAGGCGCTGGCAGAGGTGGACTGGAGAAAAGAGGGGGCCGACGACCCAGTGCTCCATCCGGCGTTGCTCGACAATGCGGTGCAGGTTCTGTTCTCAGCCTTCACAGATCACCGAGATGGGAGCCTGTGGAACCTGTACATGCCCGTCTCGATCGAGCGGGTGACGTTCAACCTCCCCTACTGTAGCTTTGGGGGATGTGATTCCAAATTTACGGTAGAAAGCTACCTACACCAGGCCGACCCGCTCGGTATCTGTGGCGATGTCTCCATGTTCAATGCCGCTGGAAAAGGCGTCGTCCAGATGGAAAGGCTGAACACCATGCCAGCCTCCCCAGCCACGGCCGACAATGATCTCCAGCTATTCTCTGAGACTCGATGGGAGGTGGCCGAGCCGAACGGCGAGCGGGCACTCGGCAGTCGGCGAGCATCGCCGGCGATGCTGGCCAAAACCCTCGACTGGGAACGTGTGGCCCTGTACTATCTTCGTCAAATCAGCGGGCAGTTCCTCGACGTGGAGACAGGGATGCGAAAGACAGCGGACGATATTGAACCGCATCACGGAGCCTTCCTGGACTACTGCACCTGGCTGCAAGAGACCATCCGCACGGGCCAACACCCCTACGCTTTGCCGCAGTGGCTGCAGGACACGGCGGAGCAAATCGATCAGATCCAAACCCGATACTCGACCGAGGATATCGATTTTCGACTGATTCGGATGGCTTGGGAGGTCCTCCCGGCCGTCATCCGACATGATACGACGATGCTACAGAGCTTCATGGCGGATGACACCTTGAGCGAGTGGTATCAAAACAGCCTAGTATGCGCACCCGCCCAGGAGCCGCTGGGCGCTATCATCGCCCAACTTGCCCATCGCTACCGCCGGCTTCAGGTCCTGGAGATTGGGGCTGGGACAGGCTGCGCTACGCGCTCGGTCTTGCCCGCTCTCGGCGACGCTCTCGCGCGCTACATGTTCACCGACGTGTCGGCGGGATTCTTCGACAAGGCGGCGCAGCAGTTTGCCCCCTTCGCCGACCGGATGGAGTTCCAGACGTTCGATCTCGACGTAGATCCCATAGAGCAGGGCTTCGAGGAAGGGAGCTATGATGTGGTCGTCGCCTATGCGGTGCTGCATGTGGCGTCCTCGCTGAGGGATGCCCTGCGCCGGGTCCGGCGGCTGTTGAAGCCAGGTGGATTCCTGGTTTTGACTGAGGTGCTGGGAGATGGGCCTATGGCATTGGGGCTGATCTTCGGAGGCTTCACAGGCTGGTGGGCTGGCCGGGAGGAAGGCCGTCGCTACTCACCGACTGTCTCACTGGAAACTTGGCAGGAGCTGCTGGCGGCCACGGGGTTCTCTGGCGTCGATACGCACACTCCGCTGAAGGATCCCATTGCTTGGCCTATCAGTGTCATGGTGGCACAAGCCGTGGAAAACAAAGTTTGCTTATTACCAGAGCCAGTCGTGGAGGAGTTGGTCATCGTCGCCGCGCCCAGCTTCCCCGAACCTGAAGTTCTACAGGGAGTTCAGGCGCAGTTGAGAGCTCATACCCGCCACCTTACGCTCTTCAAATCCTTAGAGGAGCTTAATGGTGCTCCTTTCCCTACCAAACCGACTGTGCTCAACCTGGCTCACCTGGACCCGGAGAGTGTGAAGCCATCGGAAGGGGCCTGGCAAGGGCTGCAGGCTCTTATAAACTCTGCCCGGCATATGCTGTGGATCACTGATGACTACCGCGCTGGTAATGCTTCATCCGCTCTCTCAGTTGGTTTGGCGCGGTCTCTGCTTCATGAAATGCCTCATCTGCGCCTGCAGATGCTCGATATCAGCCGCAAAACAGACAAAGATACGGCCGTCAAAGTCATCTTTGAGAGCTTCCTACGCCTGGTCAGCACGAGTGACCCGGACACACTCTCCACCTTCGAGCCGGAGCTGGCACTGGATTCGACAGGCCAGCTACTGGTGCCGCGACTGCACCCCTTAAAGCCGGCGAACCACCGGCTCAACAGCTCAAGGAGGAAGATCTCGGCCCCCGTCCGTGTGGGAACACAAGCATGCTTGTTGGAATGGCAAATGGATACGTTCACTTTGGTCAAGAAGAGTTCCCTCCATTCGGATGACGAGGTTGAATCTCGCTCCGTACGCACGATACGTTCAGCATTGACAGCCCTGCCGACTCGTGTTGGGCCCGTATTCCTGCACCAGGGCATGGACTCTGTCACCGGCGAGGCCGTGGTGGTCGCCTCGAATGAGATCTCGTCAGTCTTGACCGCGCCGAAACTATCATCGATCATCGTGAGCCCTGAGACGAGCCATAACTCACAATACTTCAATCTGCTAGTCGCCCATCTTGTCATCGCGTCTGTTGTGGAGGACATTGCGCCTGGTACCAGCGTTCTGCTCTATGCCATTGACCGTGCTTCGGCCACGTATCAAGCCGTCTGGACCTGTCAGCTCCAAGCGAAGAAATGCCAGGTGCACTACCTGACAGGCAGCAAAGAACTGGCCAGTACCGCATCGTGGACGTACTGCAATCCGCGGGCTCCCAGGCGAGTTCTGAACGCCGCTCTTCCCAAAAACCTTCAGGCCGTTATTGATCTCGCGGATAACAAAGCCGCAGCCCGGGCACTGGACTTTCTGCCCGGACATTGCCAACGATATGTACTGCCCTCGGGGGTCGCTGATATATCTTCTCTGCCCACTCTTCCTCCACTAACAGACCTGACGGAGCTTCTCCGGGCCGCTCATACGGCCGCGGAAAGTTATGTCGTGCAAAACATGGGCACGTATTATCCCGAGTACGAGGTGTCCGAACTCCTCAACTGTCGGCCCGGGTCACTATCGGGGGTGCCCATTATCAACTGGTCCTGCCCAACCTCCCTCCCCGTCCACTACCAACCCATCGATGCATCCACTCAGATCCTGCGTCCGGATCGAACGTATTGGCTCGTTGGCTTGACTGGCGACCTCGGCCAGTCGCTGTGCAGCTGGATGATTGAACATGGCGCCAGAACAATCATTTTGACGAGCCGACACCCGCAAATGCCACCAGACTGGGTCGAAAGACAACACCAAACTCACGGAGCCAACATTATTTCCATAGCTGGGTACTGTATCCCTCTTTCCTTCCTTTTTCCACAGAGTACAGGTCGAACGACAAGAGGATTAGACTAACGCAGACTCGACACAGAGATATCACCTCCCGACCCAGCCTCCATGCAATTCACGAAACAATCACGAAAGCCTACCCCCCGTTGGACGGCATCGCCAACGGCGCAATGCTCATGCGTGAGAAATTCTTTGCCCAAACCACTGCAGCCGAGCTCTACGAAGTCCTGCGACCCAAGGTCCAAGGTTTGCGCCATCTAGACGATCTGATCGGCGACCTACCCCTCCAATTCTTCATCGCTTTCTCTTCTATCCTCGCCACTCTGGGCAATCTAGGCCAGAGCGCCTACACCGCGGCCAACGTTGCGTCGGAGGCCCTGATCACGCAGCGGCGGCGACGCCATGTGGCGGGCTCCGTGATCCAGATTTCCCGTATGACGGACGTAGGGTACGTGAAGCGACAGCGGGAGCAGTACTCGGCGCAGGAGATGGCGCGGCTGGAGGCGTACTGCCTGCCGATGGGGGAGCGGGAGTTGCATGCGTTGTTTGCGGAGGGAATTCGAGCAGGGCGACCTTTACCTGTATCCTCATCTGATGCAGCCCAGGGGTCGGTGATCACGGCAGGGATACCACAGGTCGATATGACAAATCCAGAGAATGCAGTGAGGCGAGGCGTGACATGGGCAACTAACGTCCGCTTCTCGCACTACTGGCAACATCAAAATCCCTTGCGCCGTAAATATGGTGACCTCCAGGCTGGGAGGGACGGGGAGAAGAATGCGGCTTCGACCCGAGCGCGGTTGGCACAGTCGAAATCGAGGGAGGAAACTCGGACGATTATTTTTGGTGAGTTGAACCATTACTACACACCGTGCCCTTTTTTTTTTGGCTTGGACCCTAACTGGGCTATTTTGTTTTGGCGTTTTAGACGGTATCGTCTCCAAAGTGCGTTCTAGTCTCCATCTCCCTGCCGATCAGCCTGTCCTGGAACCCACGGCACTGGTAGATCTGGGATTGGACTCGTTGATCGCGGTGGACATCCGGACGTGGACCATGAAGGAGTTGGGGGTGGACGTGCCCGTGTTGAAGCTGTTGGCGGGGATCACCGTGGAAGAGATTGTCCGCGAGGCAATGTCGGAGTTGGGCGATGTCACTCACGCAAATTAACAAACAGTAATTTATGGCCATCGATACAAGAGCGAATATATTTATAGACGTCGCTCTGAGTCTGGGCATAACGTATTTAGTGAGCCATATAGGCCAATGCAGGAAGGACTATAAGGGCGTTTCCAACCTATATCCAGAGGGGGCAGATTGCCTTGAACATTCCCATTCAAGTTAAAAATTCCGATTTGGAATTGGTATTAGGACAGTGATTGCAGGCTTAACTTACGGGAGAGAACACCAACTACTCACTAACTATGCCCTTATTCTATTCTCTCGACAGCCTAGATATATGTATTGTACAGCGCACCTTGAATGCTGATTGCGGGTGTTATGAATTTACTATCTCTGCTAGCTAACCCATTTGTCTACCAAAACGATGAGATCTGTGTTGTTGACCGAACTGGATTGGTCGAAGCATTACGGGTGTCGCCATTGGCATAGCTGTTAGAGGCTTGCTCGGTAATTCTTGATGATGCTCAAGCGAGGGGCATCTATTGGAGATTATCTCAAACCTACGGGGCAGCTGTAAACTTAAAGGCCAGTATTACGAAGGATAAACTAGTTCAAGGTTAGGCTGTATGACGGTAGGTTGTTCTGCATAGCGACACATACAATTCTTAGTACCGCACTTTCCGTAGGTACTTTTAGACCCAACCATCGTTCGACGGTACGTATACCAACGGGGCTAAGCTAATAGGGACAGGGAAGCGATCCTAGGGTTTGACAATTAGGCTAGTCAGATATCTTCAATACTATTATTATAATAATTCAATAAAATTAGTATCAAATAATAGCGGCGAGAGTTATGAGAAACTTATCAAAAGATGAGGCTTCTAGAGCCTCGCATTATGATATAATTTCAAAAATTCGATTCCTGCGCAAGTTGTTGTTTTCACACACAGTCATGACATAGTCCCGGCTAGCCCAGTTCACTCTTTGTTATCACGCTCACTGCCACAAGCATAATATTATCCCTTACGGGCTAGCAGTTTTTTTACCTGCCGTCCTGTCCTACTGAAGGGTGCCTCGTTGTTTGCTCCAGCTACTCAAGCTAAAATCATAGCATCATCCTTTTATACTTGTTTACCTTGGCTCGAGTTTCGTGACAATAGTGGAGTGCTGATTAATCACTTCACGAAATTGGGGTGTGGTGGTGGAGGCCCCGGTGGGTGGCCCGGTAGGTGGCGCAGCAGCTACATTCCGATTTCCCGGATTATCAATCAGTAGAAATAATGGGCGGCGAATGGATTAAATATAGAGCATGCGCTCTTTCCAGTAGCTGCTGTGATCAGGGGAGGCTGAACTATGGCTGCAAAATCTGACAACACAAACTCCAATTTTCCTCTTGCAGGGAGCGCCAGTGATGGCTGGTCGACGGAGGAAGAGGCAACTGCTACATGCTACTGTGGAGCTGTGCAATTGGCATTTGTAAGTGCTCCCCAACACGGGCAGGCCAAAGCTTTTCACCTGGAAAATCGTCCTTAACTATCTCTTGCTAATGCCATGCGCAACCCTCAGCCAGCGCAAGCTCCTGGTCTTGTTGATACATTCATCTGCAACTGCACAGATTGCCACAAAATCACTGCATCCATGTTCGCGACCAACTTTGTTATCAAAGACACGTATTTAAAACACTTACGTGGCAAAGAAATGCTCACCATCTATTGCCAGTCGAAGACCACTATCACTGGCAAGGCAATGACCAACTTCTTCTGTTCTGTGTGTGGCTCGCTTATGTATCGCACGAGTGAGGTGTTCCCAGGACACAGCATTTTGCGTACTGGAACGGTTGATGATTTTAGTCTGCATGAGACGAAATTGAGGCCAAGGGTGGAGATATTTACCAAGGACCGCCCGAGTTGGCTCTGCGGTGCAAATGGTGTTGGACAGTTTAAGGCGGCACCTCCGACGCTTAGGGATACCCCCATTCCAAATCCCTGAACTGGAAAGTTACAGACGCTATATGTACCCCTTCTGTTATGTACATAAAGTAATATTTCACATCTGGCTCTCTTCTGCAGCATAAAAAAAGATTGTTCTGCGCTCTAATTCGGTCCATGCGCGACATGAGCGGGAGGTGCGCGTGAGGGTTGACAAAAGTGTTGAGGCCTAGCTTTTAGCTCTCAGATCTTAGATTCTTGGCGACTGCGTCCTGCTGCCTATTAAATACCCACCCCTTGATCGGAAAATCAAACCTGCCTGCGCAATTACCTAACTATCAGTTTTGAGAGGCACTGTATTCTATTCCAACCAGATATCCACGTAGCTCCCACCGGGCCTCCCATCGCTCTCCGTTTGCTCCGCCCACTAAGGAGCTAACAGCATCCCACTAGTACTCCATTTTTGTGAATTAACAATACAATACTAAACTGGCGTCGTGGGACTAGAGTTAGGATAGTAATTGTCTGAAAGATAATAGAATCCTTCCAGCTCTTATAGGTGGCCTAAACAATAGAGTTGCCAGAACAGAAACAGCCATACATACAATATGCGAGAAATCTCGAAAGGCGGCTTAGGTGGCTCCTAGATGTTTGGTTCATTACTTTTCGAAGGCCCGAGAAGAGCGCGAATAGCTGTGGAATGATTCCAAGAAATAAAGATGTTAAGTAAAGGGTAAAGTAGCACATTGGAAATCTGCTAGATCGGAAGTTATAGGCACGCTTATAGTCTTTAGCAAAACAATTATGAACTTGTTGATGAAAAATTCAACATTCCTATCTTCATCTATAAGCTTAAGGTCAAGGTCATCTGCCAATGCTATATAGCATGAATATGCCGGTCTCTGAGGAGGCGTACTTTGAATCCTTGTTTAAATCGAGCAGTCTCGTAGTAACTTCATATCTACTAGCTCTTGGGTAGCCCTTCTACTACTTAGCTAAGCAATAACCAAAGAATCAGAAATTTGCCCAGGTATTTTGGGCCACTCAAAGCGCGCCGGCTATAAAATTTTTCATGATTTACACGTAATTCGATGAGAAATCAACGGGGAAAAAAGTAAATAAAAAAGTAACATTAGAGAAATTTCTACCGCCCGTACCATTGATTCGAGGCTGGCTCGAAGTTTCCAACGAGATGCTTATTTTAATTAATCAGAACACTGTCTCTAAAAAGCGAAACTGTGTTCGACGCGGATATAAGAGACTTCCAAGTATTACTGTACCATTCTGTACCTATCCATAATATGAAACTTCGGTGCTTGTTGCACTCAAGCACGCACGTACAACACTTGCCCCCGGGCGTCGCGAGCTGCTGCTCAGGCTTACGCACTCGCGCCTGTTGTTTTGCTGAGGCGTGTCAAAAATTTCTGGGCACGGATTTTGCCGCTCTTAAGACCATTTAGGCCTTCAAACAAGCTCTTGAGGCCAATAACGTATGGATGGCCCGGGAGCCAGCCCTCGCGCAGACCCCGGGCAAACGCTGCACCCCATGTCACGCCCATAAGCTTGTCGTTCTCGTCCTCATAATGGACCTAGCCAACCATGAAGACGAGGATTCGAATAGCATTTCGAGCGGCAGTAATGCGATGTAATGGTAAGGCATGTAACAGTTTAGCTGCTTCACAAGCATGGCCGATGGCGGCTTCCAGTACCCTCAGCTTTCCTGTTTGATTATAATTCTCGAACAAACAAATCGCCAGATTTTCAGCCGCCGCTGGTCAGTTTGTATTTGTAAATAGTTTATATCCAGAATATATATTAATACAGGTTTATTTAAATTTTATATCTATTGTATCTAGTACAGTGATGTGAAAAAGATATATAATATATTATAACTCTATTCCAGGACTAAGATAAAGATCTGAGGAGATCTGTAAAATAGATATGGTGATAAGATTATCTAGATAATAATTAAAAAATAAAATAATATGAAAAATATATAATATGATAGTAGAAGTATTTGGAGACTCTTGTCTCTTACTACTTGGTAGGAGAGGCTTATATTTGGCAGTAAATCCCGCTGCGATCGGTTGTTCTACCTGGATATTCTCTTGATTTGATGGAGCGGAAAGGTTGTTTGGTCCCAGTACTTGCGACATAGAATGTAATAATAAAGATTATTGGAGAAAAGTGTGAGAGGGGATAAAAGGGAGTTCGTTCATGCGCCAGGCAGAGGGAAAGATGGAGGAACAGAAGACATTTGGAGGGGCTGGTGGTGGGAAGAATCAGCAGACACCGTCCTGATGGCTACCTCACTGGTCCATAGGGCCGAGCGAGAGACCCTGACCAACTTATGCGCGTTTGGCTTTTCCCGCTCGGAACCAAGTAAAACGGGGCAAGAAAATCCGAGCCGCCTGCAGCTGCTTGCGCGGTTTCAGTATTTGCAGGGATAACTATCGGCTTATCTTAACGTTGCTCATGCTATTTAGTGGTGGGTGATGTCGAGCAACTTAAGAGCTAGATGGATCGGACCTTTTTGCAACAGGTATGAGATACATACAAGTCGACTACACTACGCTCGAGCAGACTGCACTTTCATTTCACTAGCAATGGTTGTCCTTATCTCGGCTAGTGGTATCGGCTATTTGCGCCATCGGAAGTATTCATTTAGCTAGTAGTCAACCGCAGTGGCTCTAGACTATACATCTTCTACCACGAATTTCATGAACTTACAATGCGCTAGTCAGGAAGGTCCATGACAGTTCCATTGCTGGATTTCTTTTACTATTAGAGTTATTACACAGCGCGCCTCTTTCCACTACTTTAATCTTTGCCTTTATTTCTTCTTTGAAAAGCTTTAGTATATCATCCCATCAAACCAGCCCCCAGAGGGATGTCGTGTCTTGCATTGTGCTCATCCGCCATCAAACCAAAGTGATACCAGAGTAGCTCCCCTCGTCGCTATGGAGGACAGTCTTGTTGGACCCATCCATATCAACCCTATATAGAGATCCTCCTAGGTCACTGAGGTAAATTTGCCGGTTTGCCCAGTCAACCTTCATCCCGATAAGCTCGTTAAAATGACGGGCCAATATCTTTAGATGAGGTTTCCCCGCGCCAACGGATGCCTGGTTCAATGTGTTGCCATACGGGTGCTCTCCGCGGTCAGTCCAATAGAGCGTCTCAGTATCTGTGTCGATTTCGAGGTCGATCGGTTCAGGCAACCCCTCAAATAGAGATTCAATATCTGTTCGGTTGGTAGCCGTCTCACCAGCAGGCATCTTGATATTTGCACGGAAAATGCGTCCCTGATTCGACTTAGAGGGACCCTTCTGAGACCAATAAATTTTACCGCGCGTTTCATCAATGGTAATTCCAACACACCAACGGGTTTGGTCATTCTGGTCTTCGGTACCAAATTCACCCCTGCACACCAAGATTTCATGGTTTTGACCATCGAAGTCGCACCGGTGGATGCGCATTCCCTCCCTATCGCAGAAGTAAAGCTTTTGGTTCGTGTCGTCCACAACAAGTTGCTTGGGTGTATGCACGGCGCCTTCTGATAGCACGACCTGTACGTCGCTGCCGTCCAAGTTGGCAGACATGACGGAGCCATCGTTTGCGGCCGGTCTGATTCCCATGTTTGTCCAGAAAATGCGCCCAACAGAGGGCGAATAGTCAATCCCGTCAGGACAGTTCAAGTTGGTAATGAGTGTTTCGCACTCTCCATCATTGGTTCGTCGGAGGATGCGACCCGACTTTCCAAGCGCCGAAAGATCCTGTACAATTGAACCCAGTCCAATATCGAGGAAGTAGACTGTGGGCAGATTCGAAGAATTAACTGCAGGTTGAGGAGGGTAGAGGCCGCCCTTGTCACTTTTATTGCCCAGTTTCCCTTGATTGACATAGTTTTTGCGTAGCCAGTCAACGGTCAACGTAGAACCTAATTGGCGCTCCTCGATATAATGGTCTTCAATGAATGCAACAGTATCCAGGCCAACCTGATCCATAAAGGTACAAGGCCCAGCCGCATTCTGAAACATCTCAACCCAGATCTTGTCGATCTCATTCGGTTCGGAGACTTCTTCGGCCAAGATGGTTATAACTTCGCGCTTAATGGCTGCCCAGAGGCGATTGAAAACGAAACTGTTGGCTCATATTAGCCTCGCATCCTGCGAAGAAGAGGGGGGGAGGGTTTAATCTGGGTCAATAGTGACTCACCCAGTGGACTCTCAAAATATCAATATGTTCCGCTAGAAATTTCGACTCCGTGTATTCAATCAAGCCTCTAGGGAACATTTGTAGGACCTTTAGATAAAAGTAGAATAATCAGTAAATCGTTAGCCATTGTTTTATTGCCTTTGGTAGAACATACAGACGGAAGAGCCTCCACCAAGGTTATCTTGACCTTGTCGGAGAGTTTGGGAAACAGTCTCTGTACATCATTTCTGAAAAAGTCCCTCATCTCTGCGGCAGTCTCGATACCGGTCGGTCCACCTCCGACAACCACCATGTGCAACTTTCGCTCAAGCTCAGTGTCATTCTGCTCCTGAGAAGCTTGCTCGATGCAGTTTATTACACGCTGTCTAATCTCACGCGCATCCTCAAGCTCCTTTAGGAAGCATGCGTGTTCCTTGACCCCAGGTATCCCTGCAATTCAAAGTCAGATATCGTTGCCATTAGAACTTTGCTGGACGGTTATAGTAAGTAGGGACATACCAAATGTAGCATTTTCTGCACCAATGCCAACCACAAGCAGATCGAACGAAACTTTATCGTTCGAGTTAATGTGAACAACCCTGTTTGCGTAGTCGATTTTCGAGACACTGGCTTTGCAGAACTTCACCGAACCATGCTCCTTGCTCAAAATCCTAGGAATAGGCTCCGTAAGAGACCGACCTTCTAGCATGCCAGTAGCACAAGATGGGAGAAGAGGCGTGAAAAGAAAATGGTCTCGAGGCGAGATGACCAAAACATTGTATCTGGAGGTATCAAGATCCTTGAGCAGAGACACAGAACCCCACCCAGTGCCTAGTACAGTTTTGCAAATGGTTAGTGAGCTAGTAGTAATTGGACCTCCATGTGAACTTGTGCTTTCATACCTAAAACAACTAGGGTCTTTTTTGACGGATCTGCCTCTACTATGGCCCGTGAGTCGGGGCGGCTAAAGATGCAATATGCTCCGTAAGCTGCAACACCACCAATTGCTAAGGCTATAGTCTTGAGACCTCTCGGGGTCCTTAAATTTCCTGAAATTATAGTTCGACATGAGGTGGGCTTTTCAGGATGCTTTGTTGTCAAATAATGTTGGTTGAGACGCGATAACATTGCTTTCCTCCTCAACGGCCCATTAAGTGGCCGTGCTCCTGAAATGAACCTTCCCCCACGCGATACTAAATGTTCCAAATGCATTAGGCTGTATATCTGGCCTGGTTCCCGTGGATTTTGTGAGAGGGGCGTGACAGCCACTTGGCCGTCGTCCGGGCTGAGTGAGGTCAACGCAAAAAATAAAATAAAATAAATACCAAAAATAAAAATATATCAATAACTAAAATAAATAAAAAATGGTCGGGCAAAAGACTCGGGTACAAAGGCCTTTGCAGAGTTATATACAGGCGTTCACTCATAGACGCCCCCATATTGTATGTACCTGGCTTAACCGACCTCGGGATATTCGCCGGAATATCCACTTTGGCTCGTTCCGCTACCCAATTCGGTGTTCCGATGCTTGGCATGCCGTGCCGGTCTATCTTAGCTTGATCCTGAAAGCCTAGTCGATCGTGCAAAAAGTTGTTATCTTATGAGGCAAAGAAACGGAAAGTGACATCAGTGATTTCAGGATAAAGAGGTTATCATACAACGTAAAGTGTAGCGAATTTCCATATTCAGACATCCGATGCTGACTTTCAACGAGCATACCTTCAAGCCCCTTGAAGTTGCGTTGACTTATATATTGCTATGTCCACATTGACAAAAACATTGAATACGTTCGATCTTCTCGCTAAGGTTCTATTATCCCTGCCGAGGAGTCCGAAAATGGTACGCCCAAATGCCATCCTTTTCAGCCCGATAAGCCGAAAGAGGTCAATGTACCTTACAAACATGCATCGCATTTCATTGCACAACAGACCAGAAAAGCCCCTTAAATCAACACAGCTCATACTTCTTGCTGGACAAGCGGGCTTTGCCACCTCAACTCCTTTATCATTCAAGTTGCAATCGCCACCAACAAAATTGACCCGGATCAAGGAGACAGCTATTGTCTGGAAACACCCAATGTCAGCCCATATACCTCCCTTTCACTTTTTTGTGTCTGCTCTCCTCTAACACTCGGAAAAGCTATACAGAAAAGGAGATTCGAAATATCACTGTAGCTCATCGCGAAGCCAAATGCCTTTCTGACAAGATCGCCTTGGGCTTGGTACGTTTGCTTCGATGGTGCACTGATTTCGTGACTGGGTATCGAAATCCTGAAAGGAACAAAGAAATCGCAGACAAGTTTGATATGACTGAGAGAAAATGGCTTGTTCGTTTCATTTTTCTCGAATCGGTTGCTGGGGTGCCTGGTATGGTGGGCGGCATGCTCCGACATCTGAAGAGTATCAGACGGATGAAGAGGGATCATGGATGGTCAGTACAAGGGAAAAAAATAATTATCTCCAAGTATTTAACAGTAGCTACACAAGAAGCTGCAGACTGACACAACCGCAGGATCGAGTCCTTGATTGACGAAGCCTACAACGAGCGCATGCACCTCTTGACATTCCTCGAACTGGCAGATCCAGGTATCGTCATGCGCTTAGTTGTCTTGGCCGCGCAGGGCGTCTTCTTCAATGCCTTCTTCGTCTTCTACCTTGTTTCGCCCAAGACATGTCACCGATTTGTTGGATACCTAGAGGAAGAAGCTGTCATTACCTATACACACGCAATCCGTCAACTTCAAGCTGGAAAACTGCCAGCATGGGACAGTTTATCAGCACCGGAGATTGCAATCAAATATTGGAGAATGCCAGAAGGAAAACAGAGAATGGTCGATTTGTTGCTTTATGTTCGGGCGGATGAAGCGAAGCATCGCGAGGTTAACCATACTTTGGGAAACTTAGACCAGCATGAAGATCCCAATCCTTATACTGCGCTTTATCACGATGGGAATAATGCTGGTCCCTCAGCGTCGCCCGATGCAGGGAAGCCTATTGGGTGGGAGCGAGATGAACTAATTTAGAAACTTTTTCAGGTGTTATTCTTTATGGAAATCCATTCTTCTACGTAAAGTTATTCTTTTGGCGTCTTTTTCTCCCTGCCAACAATAGTTCCGTATCTCCATTTCGTACTATTATCCAGTATCTAGCACAAATAGACTTCATTAGTATATCCACCTACGAGCTCAAAAGGAAAACTTCCAAAAATACAACTAATAGGGCATCCTGAACGCACCTCCTGGTCCTTCATCGGCTATATCAGCCAAGGAAATAGGCCAGTCGTTCCAGCTGAAGGGGTATGAATCAAGAGGATCCATGATAAGTCCCTCGGGACCAAAGTCGTAATTGAAGTCTTCCAACGAAACTTCACCAGTGGACCGGCTGGATTCAAGTCCTTGAGGCCGATCTACCTCACGCTGTGTAGACTTGACCTTTTCATTCAGCTGTTTCAAGGTTACCCGACACTTGTGAGCAATATTGGTAGAAGGCTCGCAACATTTGAGAATATCGTCGACCTGATCTAATAGATCATCGATTTCTGAAATTGGGATGTGGCTTTGGGTAATGGGGCAAAGATATTCCGCGATAAGAACAGTAGCAGCCATATAAATATCTTGAAGCGTGAGCTCTTTGTCTAGTTTAGGGGGAACCTTTGTTTTGCGATTCGGAAGACTGTACTTACAAGAGATGATGTACCAATGCGAAGGAAATGTGTTCCTATCTGACATGGCAGTCTGCCTGTTGTTCAGGTCCTTGAAAAAGTCAACAATATCTCGTGCCGAGCTGATGCACTTAGTGTGACAGCTTTCGGCCACTATCTGAATGACTTGCTCATCAGAAGGGCCGCTGGTCTTCTCGTGTGACCGATTCCTGGGCTTGCAACTCTGAAAGAAAAACGGTCGGAAGAAAAGTAATCTGACGCAGAGATATCTGACAGAGTAAGCTAAGGGTACTCTATTCCACTGCTTCAAAATACCTGTTCTCACCGAGCATGAAGTACGTTGGCAATCCGGGAGTCTGTTCGACCAATACCCACCTGCAGCTGGGGGGGAAGACCGGAATACCAAGTCGATAGATTGGACTCAATTCGAAATAAATCCGTGAGCTTCTGCGGAGCCAGGATATCATCTTTCTCCGTTGGGATTGATGCCCCAAATTCAGGAGAAGACGGATGCTCGCTGCTTAGTGGATAGAGAGACTCCAAGATGTCGCCAAGTATAACATGAAGATGACAAAATGCGCTATAGAAGTCGCCATTGATACTTGAGGGGGTATTTGGACGTAGCACTTGTTGGGTAGCAGCAGAAGTTGGCGGCACAGCAGATTTCTTGACAATCTCATGGCTGATCTGAGGTTTCGACCCAAAGGTCATGGCCGCAATCCTAGTAAGAAGTCAGGTTTTAGTTCAGTGTAGGTCGCAGGCTCCATGTACCTGTCCATAATGATACATCCAAACCACACTCTCATAGCAAGATCTTGCTCATGTTTGTTAGTAAGTAGTCGGCAAGATTCCCGGGATTGAACCCCTAAAGTCCTGGCAATTTGAATAGCTAGACCGATGTTCTGCACGAATTCTTGAGCCAAGTTCGTGTGCTGAAGGTACACGGCGGAGAGGAGGAAGATTTGAATGACCTCCAGATTATGCATTTCCATAAGATTAAAGGACATGAGCTGTTTTGCTCTGTCGAAGTAGACACTCGCACACTGAGTGTGTGTATAAACTTCGTTGGTGGTACCGATCATGGAAGATGTCGCAAATATGAGGTTGAGGATGCAATGAAATGCCTTTTCGTTCATGTCCAATGCTAAATCCCCCCAAACCATATCGTAGTTTGCGGTGATTGTGCCCTGATCTAACCAAGGAAAGATAGGATCAATGTGCTCCCAGTATTTTGTGAATAAGTCATCAGCCACCCTTCTAGTTGGAAGAACAAAAAGAGTCTCGTAAAACACTTTGTTCTCTATTAGCAGCGGCAGCCTAGGCAGCGTCTGAAGTGCCTTGTTATGTTTCCGATTCGACGCCAAAGTGCCTGTCGCTGCACTCTCAATTTGACGCACAAACTGTGAACCCGTCGATGCATCTATGAGACCCTCGCTAGGTAGAGAAGAGAACTCTTCATTAGAAAGGGATATTTCTGCGGGAGTCCCAAATGTCGAAAAGGGGTGCCGCGGAACCGAAGCTGTAGGCTCTGTAGTATCCGGTTGGGAACGGGCACAATCGAAGGGTTTGGACGACGAGGTTCTCGCTGCCTTGAGAGTTTCGATGAGCAAGAGACACCTTTGCAGTCGGTGAATACGTTCATAACCTACTCTGTTCTCATTCCCTCCTTGTTTGTTCCTAATGCCGCTGCTTTAGCGCTGCATCTCCTACAGCGGGCCCACAAGAAGGACTTACTCTTTTCGGTATGCAACAGAGGCCGGCTCAGGCCGATATATACATTCCATTGCACCATTTTTTCGTCTAGAACATGGGCCACACACTGGTTGAACGACCCATTGAATGAGTGCTTGTTCTAAACGGAACGAGAATCTGCAGGAGAGAGCCCACCTGGCCGAATGCCATCGCATTTGGTCTTCCTGCGCTTGCAAACGTTGCAAGCAACATTAATTTTATGCCGCTTTGTTTGCGGTTCTGACACGAAGCTATAGGGGAGACTGCGCTTACTCGTCATAATTTATTTCTACGCAGATGGGCAAGAATCGGAGGCGGAGGCGGAAGCGCCTGCAGATGGAAGTGACGAACTAGTCAACGCTAGTTAACGTAATCAAGGGTCGGACGGCCCACACGGTTGGGCGGCCCATCTGGTAATCTATACAAAAGATCTTTTTTAAAACATAAGATATCTCAACCATTAAGAGTCTGAATGATGTCCATCTTTATATACAGACTATGAATAATATAAAAAACTAGTAGATATCTTTCAAAATTCTTTTCAAGTATATTTAGTAGTATATTATATTACGATATCTGTATTTTATCTGTATTTGATAAAAGTATAATATATTCCATATAAAGAAAAAAGTATAAAAATCTGAAAAAGTTATCAGTCACTTATTCTTATATATATACTTTGCATATAAAGTTAAAGCTTTCTCAAATCCAGTATTGGTTGAGATGTAATAGTGTCAAAAGATATCTTTTATATAGGATAGCAGGATGGGCCGTCTAACCGTGTGGGCCGTCCAACTGTTGTTTTCAGTTACGGCGGTGAATGACTAATACATCCACCCAAACCAGAAAGAACCACCCATAACTCTCTGTAAGCAGTATTTGATTCTTCTCTATATCCTCGAGTATCTCGTAGATTTGATAGTCTTTCTCCATATCTGTGTAGGTTGTGTCAGAGTCAAAGTGAGCAAGGAGCTTATCCCGCACCCTCGGTGTATACTCGTTGATGCTTAACTCGTGTATATCAAAGCTGATCATGTCTGACTTGACTAAGATATATACTTTATATTTTATAGCCAGCTGAAGATTAGATATCTACTGATCTAGCTTTTAATATAAATAATATATAAACTAGAATGACCCACTTTAATAAAGGTAACTAAAATATATCTGTCCTGGGAGGTAGCAACATTCACCGCTGACATAGACTGGGCTTTACCAATGTAGGTGAATGAATAACCGACACGATCACTCTGGACCGGCAGGTGGCTAACTGGGGTTGATAAAATCCGTGACACCTTTCTCCTCGTGCTGCTCTTTACCGCCGCACCCTTGTGACAGATACACCCACACTGTGCCTTGAATATTACAAGCTGCGGAGATTGCTCACAAAGGTTACATCAATGTTCCGTCAAGCCCCTGCAAGGCTACTGCCTAGAAGGTGTACTCAAAGATCATTAAACGGCTATTCTGGCCCCTATCTTTGCAACGGGTTCATGTTAGACGGTGCTACCAAATGGGCACAACCATAGGGAAATACCATCACTCATCCACCTGAATCTGCGAGATCACTGTTCCTTTGAGGTAATCCTACCCAAATATCCTTACTGCCGGTCAATGATCTCTGTACACCACGATTAGTAATATTCCACTAATTTTGATAGAACCCAAACTATGACCATGGACAAGGATCTCAATATAATCTCAGAAAGCAACCAGAACAAAGCAAAGGTGGATCTGAAAGAAAAAGACATAGAAAAAGATTAAAGACATGGAAGATTAATAGATAAAACAGTCTTACTATCCTGATAATATAACCATCGGTAAATTTATCATTTATATTAAGAATAAGATGCCCCAGGAGCATCAAGATAAATAATAGAAGTTATAGAACATGGAGAACTTTACATATAAGGATATTTTAGGATATTTGAAAACCTATAGATCTACTCCGGAGGAATATAAAGAGTTGAAGAAGGAGACGAAAAAATCCAGATTTATTATCTATATAGACTGTGGCAATAAGGGCGAAAATAAAAACAAGGACAAAGAATACTTGTTAGAAAAGTCTTACGGTAAAATGATATGCTTTTCTATTCACCTAATCCTTTCTATATTACTAGTCTGATCAGTTACGATTTCAGTATCCGCGGTTACGCAAGAGAAGGACAACGAATGAAGGGTTGAGAAAAAGGTTTTCTTTCTTACTATTCTATTTGGATCCTAACATAACGAGTGTCAGGATAAGCATCAAATAGAGTCATTCTATATTTCCATCACAACTTTTATAAGTACTAGCTTTAGTTAACCATAGCCAATGATGCGTCACTATACCGCTATTCACTATAACCCTTGATTAGCATTGAGTTATGATGTGCACAGCAGCAACCTCTGGATCGTTGTGTTGTCATCCTCCATTATGGCCAACTACAAGGTTAACTAGTAGATTATTCTCGGATCTCGACACACTATAAGATTTGTCAAAAGGGTTGTCCTACCACATACGACCACAGGGTGTGGAAAACAGGGCTTCCCGTCCGCTCAGCCGTACTTAAGCCACACGCCGGGAGGTTAGTAGTTGGGTGGGTGACCACCAGCGAATCCCTTCTGTTGTATGTTTTCGATTTTTGTTCTACTTTCTTATTAGACAGCCAGACACGCATCTATTTGCAAGGCCTTGTCCGCAATCGAAGGGGTGGAGTGCCTGGTCTATTGATATCATTCGTGTGAAAACACCAGTGCTCTCACCTCCACGCTGACCCTGGAACATGAACTCCCTGGTGTGTTCAAAGGACTGAATGATGTATGAGGAGTATCTGCAGCAAGTGCGTCAGCCAGTGTACATCCAACGCCTCTTCAAAGCCACCGGCTTGAGAAGGATATGGACTGTTGAAAGGTAGGGTGTTCAACCACTCACATTTCACGCTATCTTCCTTCGTGTCAAACCCCTTAAACAAAAGCACATCTTGTGTCTCTTGTTCACTCATATAATACCATCGACGTGCACTATTTGCCTCATATTGTGGATAGAGCATGGTGCCGGTGTAGTTTCCGCGTATCATATCCGTCTCTATCAACTTGGTTGCGTCCATGGTTTGTCCATCACATACTGCCATGGGATGATCCTCTATTGGACCACTTACCGGTCGCCAAAGGCTATTTTCTATGTTAGCAATGACCATTCGATACAGCAGTCTGACTGATCGGTCGGTTATTGTAGAGTTTGTGAGCAGAGAAAAGCTAGGCTCATGAACCCCGGTACTCACATTATCAATTGGACTCGCCCAGAAAGAAGGTGTTGAGATTCTTCCGGAAGATGATTTCGTATACGCTCCATTGTAGGAGTTCCGATCTCATCTCGGGTCAAAAGTGTGTCTTGAAATGTCAGCATATACATTACCTACTCTCACCGCCGTGATGCACTGTAGCTTACCTATATGAACCTGTCGCGCAAACCCCTGCAAATTTGGGTTTCTTGTCCGCTTCTCTTTCGCGCTCTTTTTCTTTCTGATCTACCAAGCGTGGAGACTTAGCAGTTGTTGCATAGGTTTGAAGTTGTTGCTGCATACTTTCCAATCGAAAATCTTCACTTCATCGGCTCCGTTAACGTGTTCCTTCAGAATGGCTTCGCATTCTGGCAAGAAGATATCATTGATCTTCTGAGGATCCGAGTACTCATATGGCTTTGTGATAGCCGGCGGGGGGCATCTTTTATAGGCGAAACCGTTGATGTCAAGATCGAACGGAGGGGCGTCAATTAGTCCCCTGATATCTCTGATAGTCTCGGGATGATCGGCCACGTGGAAGACTAAATTAGTCGTCTTATCGCGATCTGCATTGCGCTTTCTCCGTCCGGAGAATACACCAATCCGATAAGGACGTGTATGGGTGTAGCTTGGTTGCCATTGGAGGTATGTCAGTCTTGCTTGAACATCTCTTGCCATAGTTTTAATTCCCACAAATAGAACAGGCAAAGCAGTAGACCAAAAAAGGAATGAGTAAATGGTGATTTCCAGTCTTAGTACCAACGTTACATACCACAATCACCTACCTGATTCTTACTTAAGTAATATGATTGAGCCCCCACTTACAGCCTCAAATGCGGAGCAACTCCAACAGACTAGCTAACCTCATTTAGACCCCGTTAGCCATGAACTATCTACTCAGTGAAATAACTCACTTAAGGTGCCAAGAATGTCTCACAGCCTCCGACGAGTCATCTCAGCCAGCTTTAGGGGCCGCGCTAGACATCCAAGCTTGAGGTAGTTCGCCAATAGCGGGAGGAAGTATCTGATCACATATTAGATAGTGGGTCTTTTACTTGGGCGCAGGAAAGTGACTTTCTACGTTGTCGCACTGAACCCTGCTCCGCTCAATCATCCAACTCGTCACCGTTGACTATCCATCTAGTCACAATTCCGATGCTTCAAGGATATATTGCACTTTAATGAGCCGCCCAATACTAGTGCTATCTATCCTGCGCATACATCTGGACATGCATGCAATGTTGACTCATGTTCTTGGTCATTCATTTATGTGCGAATACGCACGGACAGGACGTTTTAAATGTGGTGACTCTTCGATGTAACATCGCGTCTGATAACGTACTAGATTCAGTTCTGCTTCTTATTCCACCAGGACAAGACAGCACGTAGCATTTGATTCGTGGGCTTACACCTATGAGAGCATTAACGCTGTCTCCTACGTCTGAAGGACTGTTTCTTAGGCCACTTTCTCGGAAACATGCTTGCAAACTCTGCATTTCGCTCTTCTTCTTGCCACCTTCCAAACTACCTCTTCAGTTGACCGATGCTATTGCAGAGAAAGTTATAACCATATGTTTATTGCAAGAAACATGCTGAAGATGCTGAAGATTTGAGAGGAAACATCTATTCGACTCCATCTAGATTTCCACTACAACTTCCCCTGAGAAGGACTAAACCCTTCACTAAACGGATAATCAACATACCCCTTCGGCGACATAGGCGTATAAAACGTCGGCCGATCATACTGATTAAGCGGTAATCCCTCCCTCAACCTGAACGGCAAGTCCGGATTGGCCAGGAAATGTCGCCCAAAGGCAATAGCGACGCGATGTCTGGGATGCGCCCGAAGGGCCTCAGTAGCCGTCTGGGCCGTGAACCCGCCCGCGAGAATAATAGCCCCCTTATCCCTAAACGCCTCAAACAGGAACGACTCATCCTCCTCTCCAGACGCATCCTCCACCGACGTCGATCCTGAAATCCGTGGCCTCACCACATGCAAATAAGCCAAGTTCAACTGTGCCAAGCCCCGAACGAGATGCGTAAATTGCGGTCGGGGATCAGACATCCGCATTCCCTGGAAGGTACTCCAGGGACTGATGCGATATCCAGTGCGCTGGGGCCCAATAGCGTCCGCCACAGCCTGTGCGATAGCCAGGCCGAACCTGGAGCGGTTCTCGACGCTGCCGCCCCATTGATCGGTGCGGTTGTTGCTCGCTGACTGTGTGAACTGGTCGGGAAGGTAGCCGTTCGCGCCGTGAATCTCGACGCCGTCGAACCCAGCGGCGACAGCGTTCTGCGCCGCACGGACGTAGTCGGTGATGTACCCGGATATTTCTTCCTCCGTTAGGGGGGTTGGGGCGGGACTGGATTCGCTCATGGGGATGTCTCCGCTCGAGACTACGTGGTATCCGCCTTCTCTCTGGAGGACGTCTGGCTTGGCGGCTCTGCCTAATGCCCAGAGTTGGCAGAAGATGAAGCTGCCCTGACTGTGAACGGCGGAAGTGATGGTCTTCCATTGGGCGATTTGGGCATCGCTCCAGATTCCGGGCACATGGCCCATGCCGCCGGCGCGAGCGGAGATGAAGGTGCCCTCGGTGATGATCAATGTGCCAGGGACGGAGGCGCGCTGAGAATAGTAGGAGCGGGATATGGGGAGCGGGACATGTTGGGCATCAGCTCGATTGCGGGTTAATGGGGCCATTACGACTCGGTGGTGTAGCTCGAGGTCACCGATGCGGATTGGTGAGGTTAATTCAGCCATGATGCGGGGGTGCAATTCGCGGGATTCGAGGGTTGTGTGCGGGGATTACGGTAGTCTGGGTTTTGGGTGAATTGGGGGTATAAATAATCAATCAAAAATTTATCGGAGACTTTTGTAGTTGACATTAGCCCGAAATCATCGATCATTATTAATGGCTGCTTGGCCATGAAGTCATGGCAGGGCGGATATCCGCCGGCCGAAGCTTGTTTGGCTTTCCAAACTCTCCGAAGCGGGTCCTGATCAAGCCTGGCTGATGCACAATGATGATTTGATGATTCGGTCGAAAGCAGTTTGCAGTGGGGTTGATCTAAAAAAAAGACAGTTCATTTCTTGCTTGCACAAGCTAATCCCTCTCATAAGTAATGGCAGGGTCAATTGCGTGTTCGTTGACAACTCCCTTGGTTAGAACTTCAACATAGCCAGTTCGATTAGATCGATGCACCGGCTTGTACCATGGCCTATATCCTGCACAATAAGATCGCTCATGATACGACCTCTATCTGGACGACTGTTTAGTATTATGGACGGCATAATTCAAAGTCAGACATGATGCATAACTGGCTGCTGCGCGATTACCGCAGCTGGCTCAGGGGCTGTGCTCAAACTTTCAACTCAAATCACAAGAAACTCTTCTGGAGATGGTCGGTTGAGACTTTCAGAAGCGGTTCGGAAGTATGAGCCCGTGATGGCCTGACCAACTACTCGATAGTACGGTTTATCGCTCTTGCTGGCCACAGTGTCATGAATGCGAAGTATGACCGCGCGGTTCAAGAGATGCGGAATAGTGAGAATGTCATCATCTTCCACCGCTCCTGGGGTGATTCCGAAGATGTAGCGAAATTGTAGATACACCATAAACAACCTGTGGCCTCCAATATTTCGGCACTGTTCAATAAGAGGTTCCGTGTCAACCTCTCTCTCCCACATGTTCCCCTCGGTGACGACCGCTGGATCTAACTCCGTTATCTCCAGCAAACTATGTATCCCATCGTCGACGTGGTCTTGCGAGATATTGTGAAAAGCACCCCATGTCCTGATAAGGTGCTTTTGCATGTTGCGCCTATCATGGTTGTCGCTCCACCGCTTCTTTATCATCCGGAAAACCCCAATAAGCTGATTTCGAACTGTGCGTGGGTTTGTTGAAAATTGCAACACGGCATGGCATTTACCGAGTCGCTGAGCAGGGAGGTGTAAAATTGATCCATTATCAGATACTTTGGTTCTCGTATGCTCTGATCCGTCCTCGGATGGCCCAGGTGTTACGTACCTTATGGGCTTTGCTAGAAGAATGTTCCGGTAAGACGTTATGAATCGTGCGGGGCCTGGGCGATAATCCTGCACCCAGGAAGGGAGCCGAGTGTCCCATGCATTGGGTCCAGCGACAGGAGCCAGCGTGAGGAACATGGATCCCTCTTGCTCTATCATCCAAATCGTCGTCTCCAGCGCAATCTGCTTAAATGGCTTATGATAATCTGGAGGGAATGCCTTCTGAAGGTCCGGCATGACGCCATAGAGGCCATAGATTCTGTCTCTGGGATTCTGACATTTCCGATGATATGTTCTCTTGAAATGATGTCCTGGGGTTCTTGGATCTTCAAACACCTTACCTTCTCTAATGGAGGAGACTTCGTAGTCACTGCAAGCTTTCCTGAATTCCTCGCGGGCCTTGCTCCATAAACCTTTCAGAGATTCCACCTCATCAGCCGGTATGTTTTTATCTCTCCGGAGCCTGTCGACTCCGCTTGTCCACTTCGAGACTTTTTCGAGCTCCGCTAATATTGTCGATGTCCTGAAACTTAAATTACCACAGACAGTAAGTGGCTGACTCTTGGGCAGAAGATATTCCTGATACGTCCACATTCGAAACCAGTAAGGCCTCGTCATAATCTGGATCATGCCCTGTAAGGTAACGCAGTCCGCATGAATCATCTTCACCCTAGCCTTGTGACTAAATCTGCTCGCTACATCGAGCCACCACCAGTATAATGCCCGTTTGGTAAATTCCTTCTCCACATATCTCTCTGCCCATCCCACTGCCATCTCGATCTCCGGGGTGGCATCTCCCAGCATGACTACCACGCGAGCCGCCGTGGAGTATATAGTAGCCATCAAAGGTACCTGGGTATTCTTTTCATCAATGTCGCACTGGTTGATGCAAATAGCATCGACCCATATATCCCGACGCCCAAATCTACGTCGAAGTTGGTGCAGAGCCTTGGCCACGTTCGGGGTTACGTGAAAAGTAACACCATTGAGGAATATCTGCTCGGTGGCGTCGTCTGTTCCCCAAACGTAGGATAGGGCTTCGAACTTTGGGGAATCATTGAGTGACACGGTGTGGAGGGAACAATGGATCGCATTACTTGTGTTTTTTGAGGGATGGATGGAGAGCAGTCGGATTTGTTGTCGATTAGGATCCAGTGTATCGTATTGAAAGCTCATTTTGGGGGAAAACTCGTAAGGGAGAAAGCAAGTTTTGTGTTCTTGCGTGTTGTTGAGAGTGCTAGTAGTTATGACCGCGAATAAATGAGAAAGGGAGAACTGAGGTCGGCAGTTCTGAGCGATCGTCCATGTTGGCCTACAAAAAGCAAACATAAAGCCAGCCGCACCAACTAAGCTCGATCGGAACAGCCCCTCATGTGTGCCGACGTGGCATGCATCTGAATTTCTTCTACTTAGACTTAATTATTACTCTCGACAGTCTTTGGCAGATGCCCTACTATTATCCGACCGAAACCTTTCATTATATATCACAACAGTGCCATCCTGCCATTAATTACTGTCCATTCCAATTTCCGAAGAAACACCCACACAGTATCATAAACAATTGATGATCCGCACCCCATTTGCCTAATTACGAGCGTTTTCTCTCAACCCCAACTGTTGCTCAATAACGTCCCCAATAATCTGCTCCTCTGACCTCCACCGCATCCCCAGAATGCGATCAGCGGTGGTGGTATCCAGCGCCCAATGTCCCTCAAAGGGGGGGTTCAGCTTACACTCAACAGCCGGATACTTCTCCTTGATGAAATCTGCCGGATGCTCCCAGGATACAGCTGGCCTGGATAAGATGAACTCTGTTCCACTCTGGATATCTTTCTCCAGCACTTTGATATGTGCATCCGCGACGTCGTAAACATGCACCCAGGCATTAGCGATTCGAGTTTGTCCCGAGGTAATCGATAACCAGAAGAGGGCATTCATCCCACTGATCTCCTCTGGGGTCTTCTGGATCATACTCGGTCCCAGGACAAATGTCGGGTGCAGCGTGATTAATTTATAATGAGGACTATTTTTTTCCAAAAACGAACGTTTCGCTTGGTGCGCTAGCACCTTCGAAGCAGCGTACTTGAGCGCGTGGCCAGAGAAGTCGTCCGGGAAGGACATGTTCATGTCTACGGGGATTATCTCGCCAGTGTTGTCTGTTCTGCGTTAGTGATCATTCAAGGTAGCTGTCTGCTGTACTACTTACCCTTCACCGAAATATCCTTGGTAATCAGAGCAGTCACAGGAGCTAGCGCAAGCACAGAAGACATTACGATGACTTTCTTGATCTGAGGAATCTCCAGAGCAGCATACAGAATCGCCTCGGTGCCTCTGACAGCCGGCTCAATGTAATCCTGCTTGAAGTCGTTTCCTCCGCCAGGGATTGGAGAGGCAAGGTGAAAAACGTAATCTACATCCTGAAAAGCATCCTTGAACGATTCCCGCTGAGAGATGTCGGGAACAATGCATGTTTCAATTTTGTCGCCATATCCGGGATAGAGCTCTCGTAGAGTAGCTTCTTGTTCCGCTTTACGAATACTCAGACGCACGCGATACCCGGCTTTGAGAGTAGTGGCGACGACCTGTGAACCGATGAATCCGGTTGCACCGGTAATAAAAACAAGAGGTGTAGTCATTTGGCTGATTGCAATTAATCGTGATCCTCTGAGTGATGGCCCATCTTCCACTGAGTCCAGCTCCTAATTTATACCTTGCAAGTGGTAGCAGTAAACAAAGAGCATTCCAGCGCATGCTTTGTGACTCCATGAGCGGCGATGACGAAATTCAGGCAAACATTCTGTCTGACTGCAACCGGATGGTTCACTAATCTCATAAATCTTGAGGCGCTCGTATAACCCGAGTGACGAATGCCGTTTGGGGGAGTAAGCTTCGGCATGGCGAAGCACTCCGAAGAGCGGGTGACAAATCCCTCAAAATCGTACCAGGGACCCTTACCGTTCGCTGTCACCCAGAATTCATCTAGATCGTTCCACGCAACTTTAATATATGCTCCCAGCGACTTGAATATCTAATCTTGACCGATATGTTTACCTTTGTTATCGGGCCGATCACTAATCGTAATCCGATCACTAATCATGCTGCAACTTTATACAACTCTGAGGATATTGCTCAATGCTCAACTTAATGATCATTTGACTAGTATATATATCTATATCTCCAAGCACCAGCACAAGATTGGTAGACAATAACTAAACTCATTATCACACCCAACCCCAATCCTCAAATCCATCACCACCAAGATATATCAAAATGCCCCTCTGGCAAATCTACCACCCACCAACCACCTTCTCCACCCCCGAATCCAAGCAATCCTTCGCAAAAGACATCACCAAATTCTACACCGACCTCGGCCTCCCCGCCTTCTACGTGGTAGTCAACTTCATTCAGACACATCCTGGCAATGTCTTCGTCGGAGGCACCACCAAACACCCCACCGACGACAAACCCTTCGTCCGGATAGTCATCACGCATATTGCGCTGCATGTGCCGGATTCTGATGCTGCTTATTTAAGTACGACGACCCGGTTGGATCAGGCTATGAAGCCACATCTTCTGGATAAAGGGTACGATTTTGAGTATGATGTGGATGAGACGGATAGACGGCTTTGGAAGATTAATGGGTTGGTGCCGCCACCGTTTAAGAGTGAGGAGGAGAGGGTGTGGGTTAGGGAGAATAGGGCTGTTGAGTATTAGGGGGGTTACTCCTTCTATATGATCGACTTCTATGATTCAAAGGAGGTATGCTGAGTTGGGTGGGGGTGTGGGGGGGTGGTTGGATCTGGGTTGAGGTCGTACGGACGGTAGGGCTGAGTGGAGAGAAAGGAAGCTGATCTTGGTGTATTATGGCATAAGATGACTGGAACATAGCATAGAATTCTATTTCCTTCGTTGATCTACTAGGTAATATCAATATAATATGTAGCTTCCGGTCAACGGATGCCCTGTCGATGCCCGGGGACTATTTTACAGGATATGCAGTAACTCTAGGAGGATCATGTGTCCAATATACATACAAATAAATGTGGAACTTACAGATTGCAGCTAAATCCACTATGGATCAAGCTTTTGATTCATAGCTTTTATTGGTGTATCGTCCCCAGCCATCTAGTTGTCAATGGCTCGAATGCTCATAATGGTGCTATAGCACTTCCTCCCAGTACAAGATTCAAAGGTACTAGATGTCAAATGCTGCGAAAAGAACCAGTCAAACTACTTACTTCTCGATATTAGTCTTCAACATTAGCATCCAAATCCTGTAAGATATACCCAGCACCCTCGATCATTGATAGCCAGACCGGACATAGGTGAGAAGTTATACCTGCAGTTTCAGGAAACCGGCCCGCCTACTCCTTTAGGTATATTTCCGACACATTCGCATATTGGGGATAGTCACTTTTATTCTTTAAAGCCATCGGAGATATGCTACTACGAGAAAGATTTCACTACCGTACCTTAAGCTATTAAGAGGGCTCTCACGAAGCACAGAAAGTTATCGCACTATAATGAACAACTATATTGGCAATTGCTTACGTGCAGCGAATGTATTCTTGCATGCTGTTCTGAACCACGGAAGAGCAAGAAGCATTGAACAGCTACAGCACTGGTAGAGATGAATCTTCAAATGGATATAAATCTTCGTCTTCGACAGTCGATAATTGCAGCAACCTCATACGAAGTGGCAGATGTACATCAACGACAGTCAGAAAATCCACCCCAAATTCACAAAACCAGGGTCTTCGGAAACCAGACTCAACACGGGATGCATGTCCCGGGCAGTTACGGGAGTTCGATTCCTGACAATGTGTCCTATAGTAAAGGTGTCGATGAGAAGATAGGCTAGCTACCTACGCCGTAGGCAGCGGAATCAATACCGTTCTCTCGTTGTCCCCGAGTAACTGTTCGGAGTGTCTTTACCCTTCCCTCGGGGTTTCTATCTCCGGCTGAGAGGGGGCAGCTCATCGCATCTCGGCTATACATATTCAGATAGTATCGCTCTCACCGTATCGAGATCGAAACAATAGTCTATGATAATTAAAACGATAGCATCTGTTCATCACTATACTACATTCTCGCCTACCATCCGTAGAACCAGTCCTGCCCCGTACACATCTCATCCCGAAACAGGCCGCGTAGTCTACCTTCCTGCTAATATTAGCGATAACTCCGATGAGATGAGATGAGATCGAGGCTAACCGGCCAGACCACGACCCCAAAGCCTCGCCCGAATGTCCAGGCTGGGGGTTGGTCTGGCCCGATAATCTCACATCGGCGAACACGACAGCTGGAGCCTAAGCTTCCATTTTCGCGACGGAGCTAGAAAACGGCCACCTATAACCTCGGGAGATCAATCTGGAGGACTTCGGGGCTGGGGAGGATGGATCTCTTGACAGCTGTGGTGGGCTGTTCATCCGGGTTTTCCGCTTTAATGGATCAATGTTTATGTGCACGGTGTATGATGTGTTTGTTTGTTTGTTAAAGGGATAACGCAATCTTCGATTCATGGTTGTCATCTCCAAAATTTGGTGAGTCGTCTACATGGCTGAATCGCGATACGTCTCTTTTGCCGAGTCGGGAAAATCACTGCATCACAGCCGACGAGGGAGATTGCCAGATAATGGCTGCTTCTAATGGGTGGCGATGGTTTTTCCTCCACACCTCCATTCCGACCTTCCGATTAGGGTTCGTATCGGTTCACGTGCGAATGGAACCAGGATTTGAACCCCGGGTTGAAAAGAAGGTACTTTGGTTTTTCTTTACTCCACATGGTGGTGGTGAGTTTCCCGATGGGAAAGTAGGTTTTGGGTGTGAAGACGATAAGGTGCAGCAAGCGACGAAAACGGGATTCTCATTATCGTAGCCGGGGATGCTGCTGCTGCTGCTGCTTACCAACGCGATTGGAATGGCGGAAAATTTAACGCCTCGCCAATTCTACTCACTACTACCAACAAAGTAATATTGGCAGCTGTACCAGTGTCTGGCCGCCCGGCGGATAATTCTCCGCTTCCGCGCGAAGATGATGGGATGGGATGCGATGGGTAAAGGGTAAAAAGGTAATGGGCAGGGGGAGTTGGATGAGCAACCAACCCCGGAAAAGACTTATGCCCAGCCCACTCCACCCCGGGGCCGGAGGTGACTCGGGCAATTTCTATTAGTGTTATTATCTACTTGGTACTAGCCCCAGCCGGGCGTCAAGCCAGCGCGTGGCATCCTGAGACGGGAAGGAAATAAGTGGCGCCGGATGGGCGAATGGGAGGGCTGACAGGGCCACCTGTAGGATTGACGCCATTACTACAACGGGAGTTGGCTCGCCCTTGGCGCGGTGGATCGGCTGCTTTCGCGTGGTGGTCATTTTGGCTTTGGGTCTTGTTTGGCTGGGCACAGAGGCTTAGGGTCGCCGAACTAAGGCACCCAGGAGGGTTTCGAGATGTCATGGGGTCACATGGATGACATCGTTGCTCGGTACAAGTCCGTGGGGGGAGGAGGAGAACACAAAGTCCTGGTTCTTGTCTTTCCTCATCTCTCCACAGCTTGTGAATCCCGTACTTGCTGCTGCTACCCTGGACCAGCTGAAGTAGCATTGTTGTTCCTCGGGTCGGCGGCCCGTTTGGATATATACTACCCAACATCCCGATGGTCCATGTGACAATTGTCACGGACTTCCCAACGTGACAGGATCGACACTCGGGGTTGCAGGTTTGCACCACACTGCAGTAGAGGCAGACGCTGACAGGCTCAGCTCATGATTTACCCCATGGGAAACCCCGACGAGGCGCATGCGAAAGTTGGAGGTGACAGCGGGTGAATTTACTCGATTCAGTAAAGCAGGAGGAAGGGGAGCTCTCACGGTCTGAGCAGATCATCATCATCTCATCATTGGAGATGAACAAGACGGTGATGAATTTCCTTTTTGCCGTGAGGATCGGGGAATGCTCCGGGGATGTCCGACTCACCCGTTGCACCGCCAAGATGTGGTTAGTCATGGATATTTTCGCTGACTGCTGGGAGGAAAAGAGAAGAAAGAAAAAAAAGTTCAGAAGAAAACAGAGAGTCCGGAGGGTAATTGCGGGGTCGGTTCGCTTGTTCTGCCTCGGGTGGCGGTGGAGACCAATCAGCATCGCCGGTTGGCCCGACTCAGCGGCCACGGGACAACCGGTTAAATGCGACGCGGGGACTTGCCGGCGGTCACCGATCGGTCGGCTTACTGGTTCTGTGTGTTTGGGGACTACGGACGGGGAGTGAGTGAGGTGACGGGGGTACTAAGTAGTAGTTCGTAAGTTACCAATTAGGATAACCCGTAGGCGGAGGGAGATACTAATCGAGAATCATGAGAGAAGTAGCGATCAACCCATCAATCGGAGAGGTCTGTTCAGAACTGCATGATTCATTCTTAAGTACTGTAGGTAACTAGGCAGTCGGAGAGAGAGCACGGTCGGTCAGCAGCCAGTTGCCGTGTCGATCGGGAATCGTATCCCTGCGCCAGCCAATCTTGCCCCAACGGGACGCAGACACTTTTTGCTGAGCAAGGTCCTGCAAGACCAGCTCCATGGCCCAGCCCAGGCGGATGATCGTGATCTCATCTCGCTTCTCCCCCGCGGGGAGATCCGATGCAGGGGGAAAAGAAAAAGTGAGGAAGGGATGACGCTCTCACGAAAACCAGCAGGGCCAGCATCTTTCCCTCTTACCTCCCCCTCCCCCCCGTTGTATCCTGGCCCTCGCTTTTTCAAATGCGTCGATACCCGAGGTTCGTCACCCACGATCGGGCTAGAATCATTTGCCGTCCGTCTTTCCCCTCATTTTCGACCCTTCCATTCGGCCTGACTGGGGGGTGGTGGTGCGGTAGTGGTTTAATTGGAAGGTGGTCGGTGTCTTGGCCTTTCATTAGTCTGCAAAAGGAATGGACAAGGTCTGTGGGCTGGGGGGTTAAACTTTTCAGGAATTCCGGGGTACGGTGGCCTGCTTTTGTAGTTAGTAGTTAATTAAGTAAAAGAAAATAAAAGAAAGAGTTCAAGGGGTGGGTGGGATGACTTGGTGTCTCGTTTACCGCAGAAGGAGAGATGAGCTCTCCTCTCTCTGTCTGTCCGTCTCTCGTAATCTGGTTGGGCGTCTCGGGTTTCGGGGGTACTGTCGTTTTGGGGCCTCGCGTCATGCAATCCCCGGATTTTGTAACGGTTTACGGGGCGAACTCCATTCCCATGCCATGCGAGGTATTAAGGGATCTGACCTATTAATATAAATCCGGGGAGGGTACACTGCTGGAAGCTACGTTCGACCGACCCTTTTTTTTTCACCCTATCTGAGAATACTAGGGAAAGGAGTAACTAGTCGGTCTAACAATGACACACTTTACACCGGGCGAACTCGAGGGCCGTCAGGTTAGGTAATGGAATGGGCAGATGGCGGTCAAGTGACGTTCCACAACACGGCTGCTGGTAACCGGCATCTCGGTCGGTCGGTACAGGTACGAAAAGGTAACCCCCGTATGGTTTGCTTGAAGAAATCATCATGTAGTAGAACTCTCAGGTCAGATTGCCAGTTGTATAATGAAATAAGATGTCTCCACAATTCTCTCTCCACGTAGATATATCATCATCAGTGTCATCATTCTTATCACAACGGGGTCTCCAGTGGTGGGAAGAGTGGTGACGGGAGCGTAGAACACAAAGCCACTCGAACCGAATGGCATTCGGTCGGGCCCTCCGCGCCAACTGGCAGCCGAGAGAGAGTCCGCGTTGGGTAAGATTGAATACGCGGGCGTGACCCCGTCAGCGCCACGGGGACAGGCCTCTCCGGACGGAACCCCAGTATTGGAGTCAGGCATGGCGTGTAAGGTAATTTACCCGAAGCCGCCTCTCTCTTTTTGGCTTTTTCCTGATTATTGTCAATTTTAGTTTAGTTGTTTGATTTTATTTTATTTTATTCTATTTTCTTTTCTTTTCTTCTCACTTTTCTTGTCCCTGGGGAACTGAAGGTGTTGTGTGTTGCCCTTCACCTGTCTCTCTCTCTCTCTCTTCCCCCCCCCCCTTTTTTTTTCATCTGACCACCCATCGAATTTCATCATCAAACATCCCAGCAGTTATTGATTCGTATTTAATTTACTGCCTATTTACTTCTCTTCCTTTTCGACTTTCCTTCTCTTTTCTCCTTCTTCTCACCCACATTCCCAATCTACGTCCTCCTACTCCATCTCTCGGCAGTCGGAATCTGGCTCCACCATTCTCCGGCCGCTCGGTCGCGTCCTTGCATCCTCAGGCCGCACTAACCCGCTCCGGACTAACTTGGGTCGGGCCTCCGCAAATGCGGATGGGCCTTGCCTTTTTGGGACGATCCGTTCTGCTGGCTGCTTTTTCTTTTCTTTTTCCTTTTTTTTCTTTTTTCCCCCAAACTCTGTCTCTCGCCGTCGGCCGGAGTCATCCTGTTCTAACCTGAGGCGACGGGCGGCTCTCACCAACCATTCCCATCTGCCTCTGGTTCTTCCCCTTCCCCCCCCCCATCGTCTTCCCTCTTCACGAGCTTCCTCTGCTTCCTTTTCTACATTTCCTCTCCTTCTTCCCCTCTTCTTCTTCTTCTTTCTTTGTCATTGCATTCTGACTTCCCCCTCTCCCCTTCCCCACAACCGAAAATCCCCTTCTCTAGCCTTCCCTAATCCACCCGACATCTTTGGGCTGATTTTCTCCCCCAAACTCACGTTGCCGGTCCGGTGCCCCGACCCTGGGCCTCACGCTACTTCGGCCTCCCCCACACTCCGCGTATTCCGTTCAAGGGGAGTTTTAGTCAAAGCCTGGAGCAACTTTCTCTCCCACACAAACACACACACACACAAGGGTATCTGCGTACTTACTCCAGAACCAACCAACCAACCCTGCTGGGTTCCTCCCTCTGCATGGTGGATATCGGCTGGCGGCTTTTTATCCCTACCTTGCTCTGCTTCTCTCTCTCTCTCTCTCTCCCCCAAATCTCTCCAGTCCCCACTCTGCCTGACCCTCTTACCCGACTGGACTCCATTCTGCCCGTTACCCACGTCGCACATTATTGGTGACATCGTGGGTTGAATAATTAATCCTCCTTCCTCTCTCCATTCTTCGATTCGGCTTCCCTGGCTTTCATTTTCCCGTTCCCCGGCTGTGTTTTATTCATTATCCCACCCTTCGCTCCACCTCAACTCCCTCCCTCTTTCGTTTTTCCCTCTTCCTTCCGTTTGCCGCCGCGCCCACACTACTTCCTCTCCCTCCAGTACTTCTGTACTACCGCTACTCCGCGCGCGCCTGTGTGTGTGTGCCTCCTCCCGACACCATCCTCGGTATCTAGTCGGTGTTGTCACTGCACTGCCCTCCTTGCTTCGTGGCCAGGTTATTTTATTCTGTTTGGCAAACAGGTGTAAGAGAAGCCAACGGTCAGCAATCGCATTTTTTACCCCAATAAAGGTCAGTCATTCCCGTGGGTGGATCCCCGTTCGCACATACATACAGACACACACTATTCTTCTCCCTCTGTTCTTTGTTAGCCGGGGTGGTACGAGTACTGACGGCAAAAATACGACAGCCGTGGCCGACTATCGCTGTCGCCCCTTGCGACCCAGACCGTCTGGAGTCTGGTTCGGAATCCCGGGGAAAAACCACCGGAGAAATACGGCGGACGTGAGGACAATCCACTCGTGTCAACAGTGGTCCCGGGGACTGCCTTGTCCCTCCTCCTCTTCCTCCTCTTCCTCATCTTCTCTCCTTGTGCTTCCCCTACCTCATCGCCTGTGATTTCTACCTCCTTCCCACCTACCCTGCCGGAGAGACGGGCATCCCGTCTCTCGCGCCCGCCTCTGTCGTCACAATGCGATCCAGTATCGCCTGCGCTCGTTGCCGTCGAAGCAAGATAAAATGCGTCAACGCCGGCATCGATACCACCTGCCGCGCCTGTGAATCCTCCGGTCGAGAATGTGTATATCCCGCCCCGGCCATCGGGGTGGGCGGTGGTGCCGCCAAGCGAGACCTGGCCGCGCTGGCGGAGGGCGAGGAACGGAACAATGATTGGGATAGCCCCAAGCGACAACGCTCACGGAAGGCCGTCGGCATCTCCTCGTCCGCCGCAAAGGATGGGGGTAGATCCGCGCTCGACGTGCTCGATTCGTCAGTCCTGACCACCAAGGTCTGGGACGCCGTCTTCGATCTCTTCCAGTCGCACTTTGCGACCATGCTTCCCTTCCTGCATCCCGCCTCGTTCATCGGTCAAACGCGCCAACTCTCCACCCCCTCGACCAATCCGCCCACAAATTCAGAACCCTCGCGCGATCCCGCGCAAAGTCCGCCTGCAAGCAAGCCGGATCCCAATCCGCTCATTCCCCTCGGTGTCCTCGCTCTCACCGCCCGTTTCCATCCCCAACTGGTCGCTTTCCACTCTCCACCGTCCCCTGGAAACCCGTCCAATCCGCTTGTCGCTTCGGAATTCTATGCGACGGCGTTGCGTAGCCGGCTGGCCGGCGTCGACGGCGCTAGTCTCGCAGTCACGGACCTCACCCGGGTCCAAGCATTGCTCATGCTGGCGCTGCACGAATGGGGCATGTGCCGTGGCAAGAGCGCATGGTTGTATGTCGGAATGGCCATCCGGCTATCCCAAGCCATGGGCCTTCCCTTCGAGCTGGAAAATGAAATGGCGTCCCGCGACGGGCCCCGGTCCCCCGTACTGAAGATGGAGTCCGAGATCTTTGGTCTGCCCCGTCGGCCGGTGGAGCCCAGAGAACAGACTTCGGATGATATCATAGCGCTAGAGACGAAGCGTCGTACCTTCTGGGCGTGCTTCATTTTGGACCGTTGCTTAAGCAGCGGCAAATATCGACCTCGTATGATCCGCGTCAAGGAGCTGGGTATCCAGCTTCCCAGCGATAACGCCTTTGCATTTGGAGAACGGGTCCGCACCTCCCGTCTCAGTGAGCCGGCTGCACGCCGCCCACAATCGTTCGGGTCCCAGGGCGTCCAGATTCCGAGCATCCGGCAGAGTCTGGGTGCTCTCGGTGACGACCGCTTACCCAGTAATGGCGCTCCCGATCCCAAGTCTTCCTGGTCACCTGTCTCGCGCCGTAAGGATTCGAGTGAGGATGAAATTGATCGATGGGAGGTTGGTGCCGAGGAATCTGTGCTCAGTCGGGTGATTCGTATCATTCGCATCTGGGGAAGCATTGCCAAGTGGTCGTGCGCTGGGGGGCGAAGGTAAGCTGCCGCTCTTCAATGATGGTCCGCGTCGAGGGTCTAACACACAGCTACAGGAACGAACAGTTGCCCCCATGGCACCCAGACTCGCGTTTCTCCCAGCTTCGAGCGATGCTGGGCGAGTTCCAGGATAGCCTTTCACGCAACTTGCAGTACTCTCCACGGAACACGGATACGCACATCATGTATAAAAATACCCTCTCCCCGTATACGGTCATGCACGTGGTCTATTTCCTGTCGGTCATCGTCCTTCATCGTGCATATATCCCGTTCCTTCCTGTACGATGCTCGGAGCCGGTTGGACCCTTGGACGAGCCCCTATTCCCCGTGGAAAAGCCCGGTGTGGCAGAGGCTTTCTGGCGTGAGAGCGCTCGAGAGCTCTTCAATGCCGCCCGACAGATGATTGATCTGGCGGTAACCTGCCAAGACCGCGGCGTCCTGGTTGAAAACCCTCTCGTCGGCTTTGCTGTCTATAACGCCGCCTTTATCGGCGTGTATGCAGCCCATTTCCCTCATATGGATCCGGAGGGCGCTTTGGCTCCGAGAGATCGTACCACTCAAGGTCAGGCACAAGCCCGTAAGGCCCTTGACATCCTGCGCGACATGCGGCTGCGTCTGAAGATGGCGCGGGGATGGTTCCGCACCCTTAACCGGCTGCATAGTTATTTCGCCAAGGTCAAGCGCGATTTCCGGCGATCTTCTCGGAAGATGGACATGGATGGCGTCGATGTGCATATGAACGGGGTTCGTCCGGTGCGTGAAGGCGGAGCTGGTGGGGGTCTTGAGGAATTCAAACTATTGGAGAAGTTGTTCTTGGAGTTCGGTATCATCGAAGACCAACTGCCTGATAACAGTGCAGAGGATGATGGCCTGGCAGCAGTCAGCGATCGGGCGACCAACCTGAGCGATGCAGGCAGCAATGCTGTTCGCAGCGAAACTGGAGACACAGGCGAGCCTCCACTGGACGGTGCTGGCGGACGACGTGAGTCTTGGGTTCCCATCAACAGCCCTGGTATGCCGCTTCCTGGACCGGATGGAGAGCGACGGCCTAGTCTGCCTCTACCCCCAGGCCGCTCCCTGCAGTCCCAGTCTCCGTACTCTCTACCCTCTCTCCAGCACCATCCTGACGCTGGGCTATACAACTCCTCCTCCCCCAATCTGCCATCGCTGGGACCCCCAGGCCCATACGGGGCCCCGCCAACAACGACGGCAACAGCGTCCTCACAGTATGGGGCGCCGCCGCCCAACAACCGTTTGCAGCCCCTCAATTCGTGGCTGAACAATCGTCAGCAGCCTCCCCCGCCATATTCGCAGTCACTGCCGCCCATCAATGCGGCTACTTCACACAGCTTGCCATTGCTGCCCCCACCTGGCTCAGTCGGCCACCCGGGAGCGTCACCACCGGTAACAGTTGATGGTCTTGACACGGTCAACACCAACGGGCTGTGGTCGACCAGCCTGGGCGGAGATGATGTGCTGGCGTTCTTGGAGGGATGTGAATACGACCAGCTGCCGGCGATGACGCCGTCGGAGGTCGGTGTTCCGGTCGGGTGGCTCAGCACGGTGTGGACCGAGTTCGCCCGCTGATGGGGTGGATACATTGCCCCCCCCACCATTGCATTTTGCTTTTATTGCTTTGACTTGATTGTCTTTTTCCTTTTCTTCATTCTTTGCTGATGATTGAGCGATCCTTCGTCTGTACCATTATTTCTTATGTGCGGCTTCTGTATTGTATGAATATGTATGCGCGCTTCGGCGGACTGACGAGACCACGCGACACTTCTGGGATTGACGCGATGTTTGAGGGAACGCGGGAATTTCTTTTTTTGTTTGTTTTCGAACTTCGGACACCTGGTCTTGATAAAAAATTGGCATGTGAGGGCCGGATGGGTTCTGATTGATGCGATTTGGATTTGATTCCCCTGGCGCCCCTGGTGCGGGTGACGAATGGATGGAATGGGATGGGCCGGGTTTATGAATGTTACTTTGACAGCGCGGCGTCTGGCTGGTTGATTACCTCAGTATGGGAGCATCTAGTACCAGGACATTCTATCAATTTCGTTGCTTTCGAGCAGATACCAAGTTTATCAGATTAATACTGTAGGCGCTATCCTTGATCTTCCGTATGGGGTACCGGTGAAGCATTGGGCTGCCTATGGGAGGCAGCATTGATGTGGAATATATTTCAGCTAAGTGCTGCATCTTTCATCAAATAGTCAGTGTGGCCGAGTGGTTAAGGCGATAGACTAGAAATCTATTGGGTTCGCCCGCACAGGTTCGAGTCCTGTCGCTGACGTTTTTTTGTTTTTCCGTTTACTTGCTCCACTCGGGACGGTTCCACGGGAGCTTCAAATTAAGCTCCATGATCGCTCAACCATGTGGTTTGCGGATCACCACATGTGACCATGATGCTGTTCCGCCCTTTATTTTCATTTTATTTTTAAATTAAGACTCACGGATCTTCAAGATACTTTGAAAGTGGTCGACTTTCCCATGGAATTGAGTCATCATCTACTCCCCCATCTGATGAACCTAGTGTTGACAGAAATATATATTATTTGCTGTTATACCCGCTAAGAGTATAATGTTCATCTTTAACATAATATCATATCTGAACTATCCCAGTTCATAATGATCATCACTATCAATAAAGTGCTAAACCCTATGTCATACTAGTGATAAACTAATTCATGAAGAAAAGCTTGATTGCTACTACTTATCTTGAAATTAGGACTAGTGCAGGGACTGGGTGGTTCTTTGCTTAGCGTTCGTAGCTTTATCTTATCAGCACATTATTATAATGATTATGATATAATAGACTAGGAATTCATTGGCTTAATCTTAATACTTCTAACTGTAAATATCTCATGATATTCGTAACCAACCTAGGCTGTATATTCTGTTCTTTGTGATATTTCACCATTTTATTGCTTGTCTGCCCCCATCCCTTATCCCAGAATGCACCAACCTTATTGACATATCCTACTCAAATAAATCAGGTTTTGAACCGGATTTAGAACTATTCTCCAAAACATCTTCAAGTATTCCTTTCCCCAGACAATAATCCATGTCTCATAATTCTTCGTCACCTGCGGGACACACACGTTCTAATATTCTATATCCCCAGAAAAGTACCCGTTATTCTATGTAGGTAGACTGCCGACCGTCTCGTTGGTCGTCACTGTCGCTTTTGTCCACACCGAGCAATCAATTACTCCTTTGTACTGTGGGCTGGTACCTTGCTGGGCTTGTAATACAAATCCTCATAAGCCCCGCTGACCCTAGACTGCTTTATAAGTTCCTCGGCTGGAATCGAGTCGAGAAGTAGCCACTCATATCAGTCAAGATGGTATCGCTGGAGCTCGGTGGATATATTTCCCATGCACTTTGCACGGTCGGCAAGTTGTGTAAGGTGTAGTAGAACATCCGGAACGAAGTGGGCGGGCGCTCCCGTAGGGTGAGTCAATGGATTGTCATGTTGGTCATTGACTATTGGAGGTTTCCATGGTGGTTTGCTTGATGTGGATATTAGCTGGATAAATGTTATCCGTGCGAATTCGTTTATATTAACATCCACCATGCTGACATCTCCTTCGATGTCCCTTGATTGGTTTGCTGATCGGCAGGAAGAAAGTAGCGTGGCCTCTTCCAGAGCCATTAGATCTGAGCCAGGCCATCGGGGAAGTTTACTTGTGGCTTCTGTGGAGATGGCTCCGATTGTTCTTCGATATTAGGAACAGTGCGAAATAAGGCTTCTCGGAAGACGCTCTCGAGAAAAGAACTGGTAGGGTGCTAGGGAGCGCGGCCGAATGCCGTTGGCATCGTATATCGATTGATTCTGCAATTTGCGCTGAAGCATACCACTAAGCAGGTTATATTGTTCCCTTGGACCGGTAAACCAAGCGCTAGACCATGTCCTCTGACTTCGATGGCTCACGTCATAAAGAAGATTAACCAGAAATCTGACCCATTCATCTTAGGACCTAGCATATCGTACGCAGTGTCTCTTCTTGGGCAAGAAGACCCGGAGGTTCCCAACAATGACTAGGATATCGCGTGCGAGGCTGAATCCGACATGGACCCGGTGCTAGTCAGCAATGAAACCAACACTGCTGGCATTTCCGCCACCCTCGTCAGCATGAAGATGACCATGTGAGCTTCTTAACTCTAGGATATATCACTAATTAGTAAGATTATCCTATAAATAAACAGCACCCCCACGCATGAGCTTTCCGACCAAAGCTCGATGACCCGCGTGCGGCGAAATATGCGTGACATCTCTTGGACGAATGGTCTGACCATCATTCGTCCGATAGGCATACAGGTTCTTTAGAAGTTGCACGGCTATCAGAACCTGGACCAAGGCCAACTATCTTTGAAATTATGAGCTATGCCGATCACACTGATGAATAGGCGACGAATTCATACCGTACTTCGATATTTGGAGAAATGATATTGGGAATGTGGAAGGCGTCTGCCCTATATCTTCCCGATTCACTGTACGCAGTCATTATAGGAAGCGAATCAGCTTGTTTAGTAGATTTTCGAACTAAAGAGTTCGAAAATGTGGCTATGCTTGCGATAGTTGGTCAACAACACTTTGCATGGGAGACATTATCGAACGACCTCTCTATCATTGACCTCTCTAGGTATAACGCGCCCTTGTCGCAGGGGCTTTTTGATAGTCAAGGTAGCAAGATTTAGCCCGTGTAACCAACCAAGACCTTCCCCAGCTTTCCCCTTTAGTAGTGCGAAGAAGTCCAGAATAACAGGGAGTAATCCAAACGGCTTGGCTAAGGTTATTAAGCATTTCTTGTACCATTCCATTGTTTGTATGATTTATGGCAGATGGAATATTGCTTGTAAGGCTGTAGCCACGGAGTTACTGAATATAATCTTTGTCTGCCAGCTTAAGCTTGTATTTCAGGTCTTGGGTCAGAAAGTCTGGAATTTCCCACAATGGGTCTGGTAAACCACATTGAGTTGTAGGTGTGTTTCGTAATTTCCAAACACTTGAAAAATGCTGGAGTGATTTTTCTGGTCATTTTGTCTCAATATCTGCTTGAATCTGTTGCCTACTTCCTGGAGACGCATTCCATTGGAGTGCATGGTTGCCGGACCGTTCTTCCATCCAGCAGTCTCAGCGAGAGCTATAAATCCCCTGAGGCAGCCAGGGGATCCTCCTAGTTGTTGGCATTATCAAGATGGTGGTATCTTTATCTGTCTGGTATTGGCTTGCTTTGTAAATAATATGTCAAGACGAAGGGTCAAAGATATGGATTTGATCTATCTAGATCTCAAGAAGATGGTTGGTGGTTGGAAGAGGTGGTCGGAGACCACGCAGGAAGAAAGGCGAAGGATCAGCTGACAGCTGCCTGGCTGCAGTGAATGTCTCAACATTATATAAATACCTTGTTGTATTCTCAGGGAGGGGCTGGATCTAGCGAAAGAAGTAGTTGTATGAAAGGTGGTTTATGGCTCAGGATGAAAGAAAGTTCAGTGTGGTAAATTGCTCAACAGCACTGGTTATTTCTAAGTAATGATGCTTTCTGGAGGAGCCATTCTTCGGTAAATCTGGAGACAGATGGATATACTGGACAGTCTTCGACTATGCCGGGGGGTCTGCAACGCCAACCCGCCGCAATTACAGTTACTACAAGCCTCCTTCATCGGCTACTTGTATATCATACACTAGATCCAACCGCATATTCTGGCATATATTAATGATCACTCACAATTACTCACCCTACATCTTCTTCGACCATTTTCGTTTGGGTTGTTGGAAGCGCTTGGACCATCAAGGGCTACAGCGCCACTTCCGCACTCTGTCGAAACACCAGTAGGAGTGGATACTTCCATCGGGTGCGGCATCCCTCACGTCAGTGAGATCGCCTTCGCAGTTGCCCGACGCATCCAACTCTCAGCACCCCGACCGAAGCAATGGCCTTTTACTCCACGATTCCTATGGTTGGTCAACACTACCCATAGTATCCTACTCCGTACCCCCTCCTTCAGAGAACCGGTTCACCTTCCGCGCACCACCGCCCGATCCAACATTTCCCGACCGCACTCTCCTAGATTGGGATGCTGCTACATGCACCCAGCCTTTGTCCCCCTCCAACCTGGATGCCTTGCCTGATATCGGACCTGATTTTTCTCCAGAAGAACTTAACTTTCGTCACCCCATCTGGGTTAACCCCACGAGACAACCTGAATGCCTCCGACTCATCCACAGCGCCGCCTACTCCCTCACCCTCGGCCAGCTCATCGCCGAGCGAATCATCGAAGGACTCATCCGACCGAGCATCTAGAAGAAGGCTCAACACGCTGGCTGCCCGGCGGTATCGCCAACGTCGTGTTGATCGTACCCATGAATTGGAAGCAGAATTGGATGTCTTCAAGCAGGAGCGGGATGCGTTAAAAATGCGAGTCTCCAAATTGGAGGGAGAGGCCAATGCGCTGAAATGTTTACTGAAGGTTCAAAATTCGAAGTGGTCTCACTCTAGTTGATAAGACGGCTGATCGCGTCTCGTGGCTTCACGTCTTTGGCGCTGCTAGTGCGCTTGGTTGAACCTCACAAATATACCAAAAAACGATGCTTGGTCTGACATATAGATTCCTTCTGAGGTTCTTTGTCCTAGCAATCCGAATTATAGGTAAAATCTTGGATCACGATCTGCGGCAAAATAGTTTGGATAGAGCGGGCGAGATGTGCAGGTGATCGGCTCTCTGAAGATCTCCATCAAAGGACCCAAACTGAACTTCGGTATCCAACTTTGGTATCCATAGTGAAGGGTAGTGGCTATTTAATAGCTTTTGTGCTACGCACCTTACAAGCTTTTCTGTTTTGCTGGTTTTCCAATCTAAACAGTGTCGTAAGATTCAATATCGTCTTCTAGCAGCATATTCTTCTGACTTAAATATGGAACAACAGAATATCAATCCCTAGTGTCTAGTAAACAAAATTAGGCAATCATATCCATTCACCAGTAATGCCCCCACCTCCTTGCAAGTTTCATTCGTGATCAAGCCATGCTAGCGCTCGGAACATGTTCTCATGGAAAGTTTTGGAAGCCTCCGCTAACACTGGAGATGGATATGACCAGAAGTAGTGAGGGTAGCCAGGATAGGCGTCATACATAAGAGGCACACCAGACTCCTTCAACGCTTCTCCCATCAATCGTGCATCATCTCTCAGAGTGTCAGTTCCACATTCGACAATGTAAACCTTTTTCAAATCTCTCAGACGAGGATGAAGAAGAACCGAGAAATACTTGTCGTGCGGTGGCGCTGCATAGGCGTCCAAGAAGCAACCCATTGAAGCCAAAGTGTTGACAGTATTATTAGCATTTTCATGCAGAGCAGTGTACTGATCCCTTTTGTCTTCTGGAACAGCCTCGGGATGCACGGTTGCAGGCACAAGAGCCAGTACACCTTTCACCTTCTCCCCAATTCCTGCATCCACAAATTTCAGTGCCACACCAAAAGCGAGATTAGCACCCGCTGAGCCTCCCATGATAATCACGGAAGGTACCGAAAAGTGATCCAATACCCAAAGTGTAACTCGTACACAGTCGTCGAGACCAGTAGGGAATTTGAATTTGGGTGCCAGTCGATATCCGATGCTAACAACTTTCATACCACTTGACTTGCTAATCCGTCGGCATGCGGCATCTTCGATATTCGGGCTTCCCATGATCCAGCCTCCACCATGAATGAACACAGCCACAGACCCACTATCTGTCTCTGACGGGGGAGTGTAGATGCGAGCCCAGCAATCCTGGAGGGTAATGTCCTCGATGTTTACTGAATCATCGGGCGGAGGGATTTCATATCTAGATGTAATCTTTTGTGCATTCACATCAGAGTCTTGGAAAAGCTGTTCAACAGTGGTGCCCGTCATAAGCATTTCACCCCCGATTTCTTTGAGGAACTGTCGGTGTGTAAGCACTGCGTTAATATTTGCAGCCGTAAAATTTGGTCACCGCTTACCTCGTTCCAAGCGGGCGCATAAGGTGATTCCATATTCATGCCGTCTGGAAGTATTGTGCGTTGTTCGATAGGTTATGATGAGTGCAAAGCAACCGTCCCTCTGGCAGTTTATATGGTTCTGGGTTTTCTGGTCATGTTGGGTTTCCGAGTTAAAGTAGCACTGGTGGTAAATGTGACTGGGAACATGAATCACGGTTGACTTTGTATTACTCGAAATGGCTCATGATGATGTTTGGCGTTTTGTTCTCTTCTCAGGCTTAGGCCTCGCTAGATTCATAGTGAGTCATGCTGACGATGACTTCCCTTGAATTTGGCCTGTGCTTTGATATGTGGTGATCCCTTCCGTGCATTAAACCAAAGTTAGCGATTTGAAGGATACAAAAGCATCTGAAGGGTGTTTTCGAAGCCATAGAGAGGAAAATAGAGATCAGATTTCGTTCGACGGATCAGGCCTCCAGGCCGCGATGCAATTCATACTCGCAGGTATCACATTTCTAAGGAAAAAATAGATTTCTCTACTTTATCTTCCCAATATGATAACCCCCTTTGCGTCAATGTCCGCCACGCATTGTAGACCGAAACCGACACGTCTACATCTCCAATTATATGGTGGGACCAACTCACAGGTGGTGAGTCTAGATACATATCAATGCCGGATACAAAAGCGTCCTCTGGGCCAGATATTCTTTGCAGCGTCCTTCACATAGTCATGGACATTCATGGGAGTATCACTCAACAATGCTTGATATTCTCGCAAGCTATGAGTGGATATCGAGGATGAAACAATTATGGAGTAAGTTAAGCTATGTTATCACACGGGTCATCTCCTGGCGCAGTCCCATTAAAGTGGCAATTTGATAGATTTAGCTCTTATCTACGGCGCGTCTCACTGGTTTCATGGTAAAGAAACCGTGACCAGGGTTGTAGGTGACTTTGAGTTGGGAGCTAGACGCGTTTTATATGTCAATGGTCACAATCATATCAAAGTTGGAAATATAAAGTAGATCGGGTGAGAATAAGGAAATTATGGTGGTCGGTTTAATTGGAGCAGCAAAGAGGCAGAAAAACGATATGTAGAGATGTATAATTTCCCCAAATTTCTGTAGGAAAACACCTTCCGTGTCACTGGGATTAATCATTCGCCCTATATGAAATCGCTAAAAAATAATCCCACAAAGTACGTAGATCTTATTGAGTCCTACAATATAAGATATATTATGTTAGTAGCGTAGTTTGCACGGGAAATATAATATTCTTCTGCTGCGCCGAGACTGCGATGGTAATTCCGCTTTCGAAATTTGAAAACTAGCCGAACAGGTATTTTGGTAATACGATAAGGGGTAGAATGAAAAAACGATCAATGCGTGAAATCAGAATTATCGGAATAACATGAATGCGAATTTGAATAATGCGCTTATTCGCATTCGTTTATTCCTCTCGGAGGTTACCAATGATGAGGCATTCCTGAACCATCATGAGTCACGCTGATTCACTTGCGCTAATCTCAAAACGGGTTGGCTTTGGGAGGGGGAGCATACATCAATTTTATAGTCCACTTAGTATATAACGTTGTTGCCTCCAATATTCATGTGCCCATATCGCCATCTCGACTTCCACAGCAAATGGCTGAGAAAATTCCCGTCGAGGATCTACGCACCCCCCAGGCGAACAGCCTGTCATCTGGCGGCAGCAACTCTCGAGCAGACGATGCGAGCGACTATGAGCTGACTGGAATTCCACTATTGCTGGTCATCACTGGACTTGGTCTTTCTATATTTCTCATGTCACTGGACTCGTCCATCATTGCCACGGCTATTCCCCGGATCACGTCACAATTCAACAGCACCGGTGATATTGGCTGGTATGGAAGTGCATACTCCTTCGCGATGTGCGCCTTGCAGCCTATGGCAGGTAAACTATATGGAAGCTTTGAGATGAAAGTGAGTGTAACCAAAATTTCCAGTAGTAGATGAAAAGCCTTTTAACAGTATTAGGGCATGTTCCTCGGATGTCTTGTCGTCTTCGAGCTTGGCTCATTGCTCTGCGCCCTTGCAGTCAACAGTCCTATGCTCATCATCGGGCGTGCTATAACCGGAATTGGGGCAGCAGGATGCTTTACAGGGGCCTTCTGTATTGTCGCCGTTTCCATCCCGCTGGTCAAGCGACCCTTATATATTGGAATCCTTCAGTCAACCTTTGGCATTGCCACTATCATTGGACCCGTATTAGGCGGTGCGCTCACGGAGCATGCGACCTGGAGGTGGTGTTTCTGGATTAATCTCCCCATTGGTGCTATCACCATTTTCTCACTGGTCTTCTTCTTCAAACCGCCTCCGCGCGACAGGACGAAAGCTCCGTCGGTTCTTCGCAGACTGGAAAAGTTGGACTTCCTGGGCGCTTTTCTATTTGCTCCGGCCATCATCATGATATTTTTGGCCCTTCAATGGGGAGGGACCGAACACGCTTGGAAGAGTGCTACTATAGTTGGTCTCTTCATTGGAGGTGCGTTTGTCGGTCTTATCTTTGCCCTCTGGCAAATACGAAAGGGCGACAATGCCATGATTCCACCGCGTCTGATGACTGAGCGTACGATGCTCTTCTCCTGTTTCAGCGAGTTTTTCGCCATGGGTGCCGTTTACATTTCGATATACTACCTTCCAGAATGGTTCCAGGTCATCAAAAACGCCTCGCCCACGAAATCTGGAGTCATGTACCTCCCTCTAGCGCTGTCAGATGTTTTCTCTGCAACCTTGACAGGCGCCTCACTTAAGTATCTTGGATACCCAAATCCATACATGCTCCTTGGAACGGGCCTGATGAGCATAGCAACGGGACTGTTCTCTACCTTTTCTCAAAGAACTCCACACCAGCAGTGGATCCCATTCCAAGTCCTTCAAGGCCTTGGTGTGGGAATGACCCTCTCAATGCCCTATGTTGCGACACAAGCAGTCCTCAAACCCGAAGATGTCCCCGTCGGTACATCATTACTGCAATGCTTCCAATTCTTCGGGGCTTCCGTGAACCTCGCGATCGCGGAGGCTATCTTCGAGAACAAACTTGTCTCGCGACTGGACAGTCGGGGATTTAATGGCCACGAGATAGAGAACATTCTCAGGGCAGGCTCCGCCGAAGCGAGGAGCGTGGTTTCCGGGGCGCACCTTCCAGGCGTATTAGATGCATACAACTACGCGATCACCAGTACATTCTACGTCGCAACCAGTGTTGCCGCCGTTGCTTTCCTTCTTTCACTCGGGATCCGCTGGAGGAGTGTCAAGCCGAAGCCCCAGGCTGCTGTTTCCGATGAGGAGGCTAGGTCGTCTAGTCTGTAGAATTAAATGGCACTGATTGATTCAAGCAAAATATGGAAGACGGAAGATTCTGGAATGTGAGCCCTGAAAGTATCGCAAATTATCATGTCTTGCAGTGGGAGTTAACATTTAGACCCGAGCAGGTGAGATTATACGTCTCCCTGACGCCAGGATGCTGGATATTCTCGGGTTGGGAAAAGGGGTGAAGGAGAAGTCCCCTGGGAATCTGTTCAACATAGTAGAAATAGGGGGTTTAGTCGGAAGAGCCAGAAATACTGCTAGTGGATCATTGGGTGCACCAATAGGATATCAACAAGTCTGAATTGCTATAATGCCCCTAGATAGATGGCAATATGTGTGGGCATAATCATTACTATGTGACGGATCTACCGGTGGTAGCCATTGTGAAATAGTTGTGGTTGGGTCCTGAGACCCGAAAGAAGTAGAAATTGGAATGTACTCAAATAATCGGTCGATCGCTCAAGGTCTTGTGATGACAGGCTTAGAGGAAAGGAAGAAGATAATTCCGGTGCAGATGGAGATAGCGCTTTGGTGACACTTGGAAGATATAAAGAACTGTGTACCAATCTTCTCCGAGTGGCTGTAAGATTTACAATTCTCGACCAATTCCTCCGAACCACTTTCCTCCGAGCCACTCTCTCCCGAGATATTCAAAGGCGCAGTCTGCCATTCCCTTTTGATTGAAAAATTATAGCCCCAGCCCATGTTAAAATAACATGCCTTTGCCTCCCGTCAGTTTTCCATACTTGGTCCTGGCCAGGTGAAATGTTTTACTATTGAATGGAGGACAACAAAATAGCGTAATATGTGACAGTGCCGCATTATCGTCCATGTCCCTGCTATCCTGGTATCAATGGCCTCGGAAACCTAGTATTGTACTGTTAGCTCCCTCGATGTCTTCAATTCGAATCTGTGACAGATTATTCAACTCCAAATACCAGATCTGAAGCTGAAGTTCTCGCCAAGATGCCTCGTTTTCTTCTAGAGGAAAATTGGCAAAAGGAATGGCCGAAATGTTCGGAAACAGCTGCACTTCCGCTGGGCAGAGAGTGCACGGACTGCAAAAATGCCAGGCAGCGTTCTTTGTTGTATCCGGCGCAATTTCGGTCGTTTTGCTCTCAGAAACACTTTATGGTCCTGGAGCCCCTGCGATGGGCATAAATCCCACGAGGCTGTTAGAGGAGTTCCCTAATCTTTAGCAATGATAAGATGATGGTAAATTTGCCTTCCCGACATTGGCCTGCCATGTCGGGAATACCTTATTTTATTCTCGGCAAGGGGCTGCACGAAGCGAAAGTATTTGTATGAATTTAATGAGTAGAGTAAGTGAATATGTAGAATGCAAAGAAGTATCATTTCATTCGTCTTGAGAAGTACAAGACGGAGAGAGTGTCCGCAACTAAAGCCAGCACACTAGGCTCGAAAGGTGAACGTCGCAGAAGATTCTGAGACACGATCCCGAGCATCGAGTCGATAATTTTTTCTGTCCGAGGCACCAATGACACACCGTTCGTAGTCCCTCTTGATGCCTTTCTGGTTCTCCTTGTCTCAGCATTCTTTGCTTGTTTGCTGCAAGTCAGCGTACTTGTCGGTGATAGTATGCTCTTTGCCCTATCGAGCTTGTATCGCGGCGTGCGAAACCGGACGAGTCGGCTACATCAGCCTCGTAGTCGCTCGTTCCGTTGGAGGACTTTCATCACTGCTTCGGCAAGTTTGTCAACGTCCCCTGTTGGACCCAGTATTCAGAAGAGTCTTGCAACCAAGAGCCGCCGCTGCGCAGACGATAGCCTTGGCTATACTGGTTTTGTTCAGTCACGGAGAACTATCATCAGGCTAACACCGCAGACAACCTTTATCAACGAAGCAATAAAAGGAATTCGCTGAGAATCGTCAAGTGGGAAGGTGGCCGAGATAGGTTGTCTTTTGCTGAAGGTCCGGTAACAGAGTGGACATTTTCCAGGTGTCAAGGGAAAAGTGGCCTTGGTTGCCAACCTCTAGCTCGGTTCCATGTGTCAAGAGAGTGCGCCTTAGTGAGAACTCTTGGCTCTTTTTGCCTTGCGAATTGTTAATGACAACGACCAAACTTACCTCGGTAATTGTCATTATTTGGGCGTTAATGAAAACTTAGTTAGCGATCATAAAATGTGCCCATGTCCAACCTCTTTTGCCGCACGTTTGGGATCGCGTCTGTAATTTGGATGACAACATCGGCATTGGAGTCGCTTTGAGTGACGGCTCTCAATTTGCTGAGTTTCGAGCGCTTTCGCTTGAAGTAGTCAATATGACCAAAATGATATGAGTTGCCCTATGAGGCTCTGGCAGTTGGGAACAACCCGGTCGTCATCGTAGGGAAGGTTACACATATTATATCTACGGCCGCGAGTAAAAAACTGAAGGTGGCTAAACAACTAAGACAGAGGCTGGTGACTGACTGAAATTGACAAGTCAGTTGTCACATTCGCTTATCTCTATTAATTGTGTGTTTAGCTGCGGTATCGACTATCCATATACATGCGGCCCTGTGTTGCATCACACTTTTATTTAGCGAGCCTCAAGGGACTTGACAGCGTACAGGGCCATATTCTTGCTTCAAACGGTGAAGTAGCTGGTCAGCTATCATAGCAGGCCACATCATATGATGTGTGTCGAGTCGAAGATTGGATTGTCGTGCGGCTCCGGTGCCCTGAACATGTGCCCAAGATGCGTACTATCTGACAGGTGGAGAGACGGAGACAGAAGGAGGCGGTGAATTCAGTCTGTAGCAGCCAATGGTTAGGTGCCATGTGTGGCTGAGAAGTATAGTTTGTGATAGAAAACCTACCGGTCGATAGAGAATATAACCAACCGGAACTCTCGAAGAGAGCCGGCCTGCCAAAATCAGCAAGATGCCCCAACCAATTTTTAGTGAGAGGGATGGATACTTACACAAGCGCACACAAGAAGCAGGCCGGACTCTCGAGGAGACACGGCAAGGGGTTGGAGACCAGACCCTCGAAGAGAGACACTGATATTATCATCAGTATGTTGACATGGCATGATGCTTGGAAATAGGCTAGTGTACTCACCGATATCTGCTAAGATAACCCGCAACCCCGAAGGAGATAGCGGCTGGGATAACGCGACCAGACTCTCTAAGAGAGCTGGCTGGGGTCCATGTTAGCCAAGTTCTGAGTAAATCTGAAAGACAGAAGCACTTACAACAAGGTCCAGCAGACCATCGAACTCTCGAAGAGAGACACTGGCATTATCGTTAGTAAGTTTAATTGAATTTCTTCTTTTATTGTTTCCTTGCAAAGGATATGTGTACTCACCGATATCTGCTGAGATATACCGCACCCTCGAAAGGATAGCGGCTAGTACTCTTGTCAGCAGGTTAATATAACATAATATTGGAGACGAAGTGCTCACCAAACGTCTGGGACTAAAGAACAAAAGGAAAAGACAAGACGCTCGAAGAGCGCTTGCGCGAGCCCCTCTACAGACGGTCGAATAGATACACCGCACCCTCGAAGAGGATAGCGGCTGATAGCCATGTCAGCAGGTTGATATAAAATAATGTTTGAAGAGAAAGTGCTCACCAGGCGTCTGGGACTAAAGAAGACAGGACCCTCGAAGAGAGAGCCTGAACAGGCACCCTCTATAGACGTTCGGAAAAATAGATCGTACTCTTGAAGAGAGGCCGCTAGCGCCTGTCAGTTGATGCCATCTACCCTTAGCCACTGGAGGCTCGTAAACATACACAGGGAAAGTAACGAAGTAGAACTCTCGAAGAGAGCCTGATACTCTGGTTGGCAAGACGATGGAAGCATCGGACAGGACAGGAATGCTCACTAAACTTCGCTCAAATACACTGCACTCTCGGCGAGATGCAGCTTAAACGTACCGTTAGCCAGATGAGCTCTTGAAAAGCTTGGAAGAAACTGCCTGTGTCACGTACCTCCATAACCGAAGCAGCCGAATCGACCAACGCTCACGAGAAGCAAGACTGTGTCGCGAACAGTCATGCTCTGATTGTGATCCCGAATTCCACGGTTGTCTAATCAACACGCGAAACCGGGAGAGAATACCCCTCTGAGACGAGGGTCAAACCTATAAACCAAGTTAGTCGGCTTCTTACTAAGACACAGCATAAGGGAGCAGTAGGGGGAACAAAATCAGAATCGAAGACGCGATGCTCAACAGAGAAGTGGGAAGGAGAGAGACAAGAGAAACACAGGAAGTAGATGGGGAACGTGGCCAAGGAGAAGTTGTAAGCGAGAAGGCGTATGTCTGGTTTGCTGCCCCATTGCCATATTCGGCAAGGGACACGACACGTGCTCTCCTGCTCTCCTCAAATACAAGGCAGGAACTCACTTGTCTGGATTGGGGAGGAGTATCGTATTGTGACCAGAATAACATACGACCATAATGCATGGTGTCAATCGATCTTCATGGGCATTGAAAGCAGCTAATATACCGAGGGTGCAGGATAACTACAGATTGTCTAATATCATTCGCTGACTTCAACCTTAGCCTGATTCCGCTCCAACTAAGCCCACGGGTACTAATTTAGCCTGTGGAGCGTGCAGATCTTGCCATGGGTGTCTGACAGGACTCATCTTTGCAGATCATTCTCGACTATACGCTCCGGATCCAATTATGGTTCTCGCTCAAGACTTGTTCTAGTAGAAGCGGAGGAAACGGAAACCCCGCAGAGCACATTGTTTAAGCCCTTCTCTACCATCATCCTTGTAAATCATAAGAATAATTGTGGCTTTTTGGACATCTTAGCGCGTAGAAGCTTCATCTGTGTCTTGGATTATTCGTCAGGACCGCGAAATAAGGGGAATATATCTATCCAGTGTACGGAATCTGCCCCTGTCTCCAAGCAGCGCGCGATCTTCAATCTCACTATAGGTTTGGAAACGTCTATATAGCCCCTCGACCTGCATATGACCAAATGACATGATAGCTCTAGAATTTTACTACAACGTCTTCTAGGACATCTTCCCTTCGTCGAGCTAGTGCCCTCGACCGACGCAAAATATCTGCGCCTGTAGTCCCGGGGGTAGCGAATTATGCACGCATCTTAGACTGCTAGCACTTGGGTCAGTTATTCTATTGCTTCACTGGTTCTCAACGAGGTGGCCATTCCATGCAGGTCATAGTTTGGCCTGGCTTATACTATGCTGTGGCTTTTAACAACCCTTAGCAATCTGCTGGGAAAGGAGGGAAGCTTGAGAAAGGAACCATCATCGGATGGTAGTGCAATCACTATGAGCCATCTCTCAATTCAACAGGGCAATGAACTTCACTGGGTGCGTGGAAAGGCCGACGGGCTGTAGTCTGTCTACTTCAATATGAAGACGATCAAGATGAATGTCAACTGACCTATTCACCTACACCCTCACTTCGATCAAGAGTATAAGTGAAAGGCCCAGTTCAGGAGCGTTTATCAGCTATTTTCTTGATTATGTAACGGGATAAAGCAATAGTCCACGAGATCCAGTTGTATATTTTTATCTGCCCCAAGTATCCATTCGATATAGCCCTAGGAATACTGAGCGCACCCGTATTATAAGCTACTAGCCGATACTGTTCATCGACCTGGCTGGTTTCTTATCCCCAGTTTCGTAGGAAATGGTTGCCAAACCCAATACATTCCGCGGTAAAATGGATAGTTTATAGTTTAGGAAAGGCGTTAGGTTAGAAAGCCCCTGGAGTGCGGTTCCCAGATTGGTTCTCCCATGGGTTATGAATCCGAGGCCATGCAATAATAAGACCGAGACGTTGTGATACACTAGGCACCGGGTCAAATCTGGTCCAAGTGCGGTAAGCATCGATAACCTCTTATAGGCCAACGTCTAACTGTGATGGGAACACCAATCATAACCCCAAGATTTGAATGGACTAAAGTGCGTATCGCGCTACCTCCAAGTTCGGAATATGTTGAAGCTTTCAAAACTCTTCGCCTCCCCTTTGCCTGCTCAATGTCGTCACATTTGCATCAAAGATAAACTTTAATTCGCACCATATCATCATTAGCTTAGTATTCCCTCTACGTGATTCACCTGCGGTTACTTCTTTGATAGCTCTCACCATGTAAACCACCGTCATTGATAGCTAGGTTGTCGGTGTATTACCTCCACGACTTCACTAGGTCGATCATTCTTGATGCTATATTCACAATATCATTCCAGGACAGGTCTATAAAAGCGTCGACTTTCTCCCCTCTCTCAGCTATCTCTTCTGCATATATTTCCTCATAAGACAAGCATCAAAGCTTACATCAGTTGGATTATAATTTTATTATTCTCTACGGTTAATAGGTTATACATAAATCATTACTCATACAGTACGCAAAGAAAGAGCATCCTTTTAGCCTAAGCATCAAGTGAAACCTAGTCCAGCGCGGGACTGCCCTGTTCGGCTCCTCGCATCAGCCAAATAGGAATTATTAGACAGAGCTTTACTTATATTAATAATCTATAAACATGCATATGCAATGCATGCTGCGCGTCAGAGTTTGACGTCGCTTATACGTGCTTTAAATAGGGGCCCATACTGCCAATGCAGCACGCGGACGCCTGAGGAATGTTTTGCACAAGTGCTTATATGTGCTACTCGTGATAATTATCGATACAAGGCAATATGCGGCTCCAAAGATTCAAGGGAGCTAGGCAGGGTCGAAGTCTAGCCACTCGAAGACACCAATAGCTGCGAATATACGCGCGAACGGGCCAGAATTGAAGTCTGGCCCCTAGAAGACACCATGAAATTCGAAAATGAGCGGGAGCTGGGCAGAATCGGGGTATGGCCCCTAGAGCCCACGAATAACGACACTGTTTCAACCAGAATTTCGATGGGCAAGGATATAGTCGCATCGAAAGGTATGCGAGCCATTCAATCAGGATCGAAAATGGATTTTCGAGTCAACATGATATAAATGCTTTTATGTCGAGCATTTGTGCTCACACTTCAAGCAGACAGGCAGCTGCCTATTTTTCTAGGTTTATTTGGGTCATTCTGAAGGGACCCACGTTTTATGTACCTTGTACATAATCCAAAAGGCCATCGGGCCTTTTAATGTTAGCTTCGCTGAAGGGAGCGACGTGGTTGCATATCTCTGGTAATTTGGGGATTTTTAAGGCTTAAGATAAGGCCTAAGAAGAGCTTTGATATAGAACCCGTGGGAATATTTAGCAAATCTTTATTCGACCACCATTGGGTGGTCATCGAGCCAGGGAAATGTTCCTGTAAGGAACTTACAACTTTCGAATACCAACGGCAACTGCACAGAATGAAGGTATGTTTCTTACAAGATTAATAAAGAAATGCCAGTGTGAACGGAAGAGTCAAAAATGTCCGACTTTGACTACGAAAGAATGGGCATTAATGGCATAACTTGGGGAAACGGTACATACAGTTGTGGACACAGTGTCATGCTATTCCGATCGCTTATACCATGACTGCATGGACATAAGCAAGGGCTTATGGTACGATGGCAATCATTATTCTAAGTATTAGCATCACAAGAATTTCGAAAAATGGGATATTGGTTACCGGATCAGACACGGCGAACCAACTTGGTACTTCGGCTTCATGGGAAGTCGGGAAAAGCGAGGTTTGATCGGAGATTAGACTCTAAATTGTTACATTGGTTGTGTCCATTTAATATGGTACTTATGGTTTACTTTTCTCCTAATGGATCGCGCATGGAATTTCTCCATGTCTTGATGAGGTCTCTTTCATCTTAAAAGAGTTATGAATTTCAGTCATATCTGGTCGAAAGAGTCAAACGGACTTTTTATGTTTCTTACTCATCTGGAATATATCGGTCGGTTGTGAAAATGAGAGCAGGTTTCCAAACGACATTGGCATCATCACCAATAAATGGAATATGGTCTCCTAGAAAAGCGATACTGACGATAAGAACAGGAGCAATGAGTGGAAAAGAGCCACACTGAACTCTACAGCGAGTTAAGCTAGTAAAATTCAACATTGTCTCCGAGCCACGTTACTTTGTGGACTATGGCCCAGGATGAAGAAAGTTCAGCGTGGCAAACTGCTCAACAGCAGTGATTACTTCAAAGCGATGATAATTCCTGGAGGATAGCTTGAAAGAATGAAGGCTCAGATGTATATACTTGACAGACTTTGACTGCGCCGAGGGATATCAAAAGGTCACGAAAAAGCTGGTGTATGGCTGCGTTGGCCACAATACCGAACTTTACCCCGGCGATGTTAGACAAATGCATCTGCCACCCTGTGTCATTCAGCAACTGAATGCCGATCGCGGTCGCCTGCGCTAAATACTACATAGATCTATCTTTCTATCTATATACCAGATCAACAATACGGTAATAGTACTCTCAAATCTTCGTTACAAATCTGGCAGCAAGACAGGGGCCTCAACGGAGAGATCGTTGGGGCATAATTTCAACAAGCTTAGGGATGGCTATTTGGCAAACAGGAAGAAGGGTGATTGAGGACTTTGATGGTCTGTGCCTGGATCGTACGAATCTGTGCACGATTCGATGGTCTATGCCTAGATTGCATGGACCTAAGTAAGAACGTGCAAGAAAATTGGGAAGAAGCTTATGGTTGCTTGCTTCACAATGAAGAACAAGACGGGATATTCTAGAGATCACGAGTTGCGGAAAGAGGGCCAGGATGATGAAAAGGAGAAATGTATCGCACCTTTTGCGAAGGCCAGAAGCTTTTTTAAGGCCGTGCTAGTAAATTTACTACGTCAGATGAGTTACAAAGATCAGATCTAGAAGCTACCGAAGGGGCAGAGAATAGTACCATGTATGCTATCATCAAATCGACAAGACGTTCAAGATCGGGGCGAAGAGGTCAGAAAAAACAATAAATTCCTTATATAGAGCCTCTTCTTAGAAGCCCTTGACTACGAAATCAGTTGGCCTGAATCAATGTGCCCAATGCAAAAGGCCCCCTTAGTTCAGAACTGCTGTTTCAATAAATAATAGTGCACATGTACCTTATCAAGTAGTTACACACAGAGTGCATCCAAACTCCATACAATTCGTTGTAAGTGGTGGGAGGCGTTATTGTCCTTCTTCTTTTCCTCACCTCCTGCATGGAGTGGTGAGGGCGTGACCCGTTCATCAACTTCAGCTTCCCCACAAGGCTAGCGGATTTTTATCTAATGCTGGAGATGGGAGCTATTAGAGTGGCCGGTCCGGGAAAGGATATAATTTTCTGAAGACCATCTTGTGTTTCTGGATCCCGAAAACCCGATATAGTCAAGAGAGCTTCAGGATAATCAAAACGGAGATTAACAGAGTATATAGCAACTAGAAGCGACACAGCCTGCGGCGATATATACAGTCCTAAGTCATTTCGCTCGATATGTTCATGGTTAATCAGATAATGGGGGAGGACACGGGACGGGGCCATGTCTTGGTCAGACCTGAGTATCCGAAGCCGAAAGGCTAGTTGAGCACGCTATTTACCACAGAGAATTTGATAATCACTCCGAGAACCTGCGGCACGAGTCCCTGGTCTATATGCAATCAAGGCCTGATTCGGTGCGGCAGTACATTATTAAGCAGGAGGTGGCAAAGCAACATGAACTATAGACCGTACGAAATTGACCGATTATCGGAAGGGATCATTCTACTCCCCCCTTTTTACTCTACCACTAGGCCTCTGACTTCGCTTTTGCGTTCGTAACAATTCTCCCTAGACCTATTGTATATTCCAGTTCGCTTCATTTCTGTTTCGCTTTCATCTAGTCTTCGACACTGAAGTGGGTTGTTCGTAATCTAGGGATTAGACGCAACTAAACTGATGCAGAGGAGATGGAAACTGGGTGAGGGGGGATAATCCAAGTTTCGAGAGGTGGACCAGGCAATGGAAGACAGGGCGTACAGCTGCGCCTACGAGGCGCTTGGTCAAGGCCCCAACTAAGAAGAACTTCGCAAGATGCGAGGGTCTGCCAAAGGCATATGCGTCCGTGATCATATAGATGCGTACACAGAGGATCAGCCTCGCGCGCTTTACAAAATCAAGGCAAAAGAGAGTGATCAGTGCAGCTGCGGGGAGATATCACAGACCCTAAGCATGTCCTTCTAGCATACTCCCACTTTACAAAGCTATTTGATCAAATGTTTGATAAGAACACCGCATACACGAATCTGGGCGCTGCTACTGATTATAACTCGCTCATATCAGGCCCGCAGGCAATCCGCTAAGTAGCCAAATTCATGCTGCAAACAGGCTTGCTCGGGCAATTCAGCCAGGTCAAATTCAACCCTGATCCTGAAGCAGACCCCGACCAAAGCCAGGAACACGTAGGTCTTAGAACCATGGAAATAAATACTGAAGACGCTGGGTAGGCGGAGCCATACATGCCCCGGATTGAGTCACCAGGAAAAGAGCCACACATCAAAAGAAAGAAGCAAGAACATGGACGAAGATTGGAGAGGATGGGCTTGCAGGCAACTGGTCAGCCAGTTGCGACACTCCTATATATCTTTTTATTATTATGACTTGCGTAGCTTTCTGTTGTTTGGTTGTGTGTAGCTACGACGATGACCTTCCGTGGTAGCATGCGTTGTCTCATGTGTTTACGCCATTTTAAGGGATTTGACGGCGTTCGGGGACATATTCCTGCTTCAAAAGGTGAAGCACCTGCATAGCTAGGATCTTATTTAACGGGCTCGATCAGGTATAAGAATATGATTGAATTGAATAGAACTCAATTGTGGGATTAGTCTATTATTATACGCCTACATTATGCTACCTTACGTTACGCATAGCATGGATTACATTTGTGGAACAAATAGTTGTAGAACAAGAGAAGAAAGGGTATTGACATTCTAGGCGAAATATCTTTCCTACCGACCATCTCGTTGGTCGTCTCTGTTGCGACTATCCCAGTCGCCCCTCACACGGAGCTCCTCCTCAATCAACGTACGCCGGAGGGTTGCAGCAGCCATTTCTTCAGCGGCGCGGCTAAGCCTAAACTGTCTCTCCAGTTCCTCGACTGGTATTGAGTCGAAATTGTCTCGAGGAACTAGACTGACCTGAGGCAGACCACCCCGTGTAAGGAGTCGGTTGTCGATGGCGCGCGAAGGGGAGCGAGGCCGCTCGCGATACGTCGCTTCACGATACGTCGCCTCGCGATGAGGGGGAGAGCGGGACCTTTGGCGAGCATGCCGGGGAGGGAGGACAGGAGAGGGCGGACTGCCGGTTTGCTGTACGAGATCTCGGCCCTCGGGTTTCTCAATGTCCACCATGCTGACATCTTCCTCGATGTCCCTTGATTGGCTTGTGGACGTTGGCAGACGAACGACAGGTGCCTGCCACGACGAACCAACGGGCATGTTTACCCGTGGCGTCGGTCGAGATAATGTTTCTCGTCCCTCGACTCCAGGAACGGATCTAGCAGACGGCCTCCAGGGCGCCGTAGAGAAGGACCCACTGGACGCTTGGGCGGGGCGCTGGGGGGTGCGAGCGGGGAGGAGTGCGGAGGAAACGGGGGCGGAGGGGACGGCGGCCGTCTCGTAAAATGGCGGAACAAATCGGTCAGGGCACTTGTATTCCACTGGCCCGACAGGTTTCTTATCTTCGACCGTGGCTTCACCTTTCCACACCATGGTGTGATTACGCTTGCTCACGTCAAAAAGAAGATTAAGGAGGAACCTGGCCTTCTTGCCAAGAGACTTTTCGATCTTGTCAAGGGTCTCTCTATTCCAGACAAGGAGATTCCCGACAATGACGAGGACTTCGCGTGCACGGCTCAGTGCAACATTGAGCCGTTGCTGGTCGGCAATGAAACCAACACTGGCGGCGTCCCTCGACGGCTTCGTCAGCATGAAGATTACCATGGGAGCTTCTTGACCCTGCGATGCATCCACAGTAAGATTGTCCCGGCAGCTTACCCCGTGCTCGCCCATGAGCCTTCCGACCAAAGCTCGCTGCGCCGCATACGGAGAGATCACCATAACATCTTCTGGACGAATGGATTGACCATCACTCGTCCGATAGGCGTATAGGTTTTTGAGAAGATGCACAGCGACCATACCCTGCGACTGGTTGGACCACGACTGGCTACCTTCAGCACGAACGGCCTCCCCTATCACACTGATGAAAAGGCGGCGAACTCCCACCACACCGTAACCGCAGAAGTGGTGATGAGAGCGGGTGAAGGCATCCCAGACCTTCCCGACGCGCTGTTCGCTGTCATTGTTGGGACCCAACCTCAACGCACCCTTGTAGATTAACCGGTTGAAGATGTCAAAGATGTGGCTGTGGCTGCGGTAGTTGGTCAACAGCATAGTGCAGGGGTAGCCTGCTTCGTGCAGCCTCTCCATCATTGACCTCTTCAGGTACAACGCGCCCTCATTGGTCGCGTGTTCTGAGACAACAGTTGGCGGGAGTTGCTCCGGGTCTCCAATCAAGACCATTACCCTAGTCGATGGGATGGTCAGGGCGATGGTGATTTCGCCTTCCTGGCATTGCCCTGCCTCGTCGCAAACCACGAAGGCAGGCTCGAACCCTGAACGTCTCAGAAGATCCTGGGACGCGTTGCTCAAGGTTGTGGCAACGATCTTGGCGTTCTGCAGGACCTTCATGACGCAGTGTTCATAGTCCCCTTTCAGACCCTTGCGCTCTTCCCTGCTCAGTCGTCGCTGCTTATCTGCTGCAAGACGTTCTAATAGAGACCGGGCGTATTTGTCGGTGGTGGCATGGTCCTGGGCGTACTGGATAGTGAGGACGTGAGCTTGAACGTTACTCAGATTATCGTTCTCATCTGAAGGTTCACCACCCCTCGCTCTTTCGAGCTGGTAGCGCGGTGTGCGGAATCTGACGAGCTGGCCACACCAGCTTTGTAGTCGCTTGTCCCGTTGGAGGGCTTTAGTTACCGCCTCAGCAAGGTTGTCCACCCCCTTGTTGGACCCAGCAACCAGGAGAATCTTGCAGCCAAGAGCTGCCGCAGTGCAAATAATTGCCTTGGCTGTACTGGTTTTTCCAGTTCCCGGAGGACCTTGAATCAGGCTAACTCCGCACACAATTTTTACCAGCGAAGCCTGGAAGGCCTCTTTCTGGGCCTCGTCAAGCCGGAAGATGTGCGAAAGGTATTCCACCCTCTCTTGCTGAAGATTCGGCGGCACGGGTGACATTTGGCGGACATCAAGGGTAAAGTAGCCTTGATTTCCTTGCTCGAGCTCGGTTCCATGAGCAAGGAGAGTGCGCCTCAGCGAGAAACCCTGGCCTTCATTTCCTGAACGATCCCCGAAGACAAGTGCTAGTTTACTTGCCTCCCCAAGAGCCTCAATCTGGGCGTCAATGGGCATCGTGTTTGCCACTGCTGATGTGACAATGGGAAAGCGTTCGCCCAAAGCTTGTGTGGCCTGGCCTGTCACACGGAGAACAAGGTCAGCATTGGAGTCACTCTGAGTGACGGCTCCCTGATCAATGAGCTTCGAATCCATGCCGTAGGGGACACCTTGGAGAGCCCACTCGAAGTGCACCTTGGCGCCCTCCTGCAATTTGGGAATGACCACGTTGTCACTTGGCCGGACTGGCAAAAGCTTGATGTGCACCAGGTGCGTGCTACCCGGTAGCCCGAAATCACTCTCAGTGCACCACGCCTCATGACACCGGGTGGGGTTGAAGACGTCAGAAACTTCCCGCTGTTGCTGGTAGCGTTCATTCTTTGAGGCCTTAAGAAGACGACAAATGCGGTCGTTGTCGTCGAAGAACAGGGGGTTGTGGGGTTTCCACTTCATGTATTCCCGCCTGCCTTCAGTACTGGTCCAGAGCCATGGCATTTCAGGATGCCGCTTGGTGACGTCTGATTCTGGATTCTGGCGATAGTACCAGAATCCCTCCCCCTCGGAGCCTTGATGCACGAGATTGTAGAGTTTGATCGACCAATTGAGCATGAGCGGGACATCGGTGAAGCTACTTCTATATTGAAGTAAGATAACTAGGTCGCAATTCAACCAATTGATGTTCCTGAGCGTCCTCAATTTTTCCTCGAGCTCTTCACTCATCAACGGCCTTTGGACCTTGGTAAACACCGGCGAGCTTTTGCACCTTACTACGTAATAGTAGAACTTCTCATTTTTAGGGAGAAGCGAATACGTTGCCCTCTTATTGTCGATCCAGTTGTCGGTATCCGCCGCGTCACCTTCAATCCCACAGTTGAGGTGAATTCCCTGGAATGGAAAAATGACCTCTCCCTGGTCCTTATTTTCTAGGCAGATGGCGAGGAACGGCTGCTGAGAGTCCAAAATGACCTGGGACTTGGCATTTATTTGGATATTGTCCCCCGCAAGGTCAATTATAAGGAAGCATTTACGCCATGAACAGCAGCGTTTGTAAAGTTGTATGGGGTAGTCGGCGCCCTGAGGGCTTTGGAACCAGTCTGCGGTTGTTGGCTGAGACATGGTGAACTCCACGGAAGAGACGGAGATATGGAGAGAAGGAGGGAAGGCGAGGCGCGATTTCTATCTGTAGCAGACAATGGTTAGGGACAGGGACAATATAGGACGGCCGTATTCGCCATATGAGATAGGATACTTACTGGTGGAGTAAGATGGTAAAACCACACTCTCTCGGAGAGGTGGCTGAATTCATGTTAGTCAAGTGCTAGACTAATTGTCATGGATGGTAGGTGTACTTACAACGGGGTTAAGGAGGGAACGAGACCACACTCTCTCAGAGAGGTGGCTGGAAATCATGTTAGACAAGTGCTGAACAATCCGACTTGGATGGTAGGTGTACTTACAACGGGGTTAAGTAGGAGACCACACTCTCTCAGAGAGGTGGCTGGTACTATCGTTAGCCATTTGATATAACTCCATACTTTGAAAAATATGGATGTACTCACAGCACGTTACCAATTTCAGACCACACTCTTGAAGAGAGGTGGCTGAGTTTTGCTGTTAGCTAATTGATCCTCCCTAAAATCCGCGACCTGCTCGTTGTACCTACCACAAGCACACAAAGAACAAGCCAATGCTCCCTGGGAGCAGAACTGCTAGTGGTAATTAGTTGTATTCTGTTTAGCTTCCACAGACATCACGGTATCTTCAACCCACACAGAACAAACGACACAGTACTCCTCCGGGAGGAGCCAAGAACTATAGATCTAGTCAAACCCGCTCCAGAACGCGCAGGGAGTCAATGTCTTCTTACCAGACCACAGCAAACGAAGACACTGGTGGGAAAAGAGGGGGAGGGAGCGGACGCCGCACGCAGAAAACTGTCGACGTGATGTGTAGGGGATGGAAAAACAGAGAAGAGATGAGGCGAGCAAAGATAGACATCGTGGTGCGGAGTCACAAGCGAGAGGGTATGTCTGGTTTGCTTCCTCGTTTCCCTTTTCGGCGAGAAGTGTTTGTAAAATACAAATGTTACTTTCTTTTTCTCTTTCTCCCTCGCAAAAGGTGAGACTCCACACCTACCTGGATGAAGCATACGGGGTATCGTAACGTACTACAGCTATGTGGTAGCGTATTAGAGAATTATGAGTGGCACCACCCAGCCTCGCGTAATATTCTCACGGCCTTTATGGGCTATTGTTTGGACATCTTGACAGTATGTCCGTGGCAAGCTCTCACTAGACCAGCCGAGAGTTTTCTAAATAGATGCCAGAGGAAACCGAAGCCGAGATTGGCATTCTTGATTCTCTACTGCCAAAGAGCAAGCCGTTTATGCTACTGAGAAGGCGAGGCTGCGCCCTCGATACCCACCTACATTGCATACCCACGGCTACGTTCATACATCAAAGGGTTCAAGGTTGGAAGGGTCGGCAGAAAGATGACATTAGGCGCCTATGAGAATCGATCCTGTCCGCCCACAAACTGCAAGGTACTTAGTACACAGCTATGGCGCATTCTGTAGATGTTTATCATGAGGATATCCCCGGACAAAGCTCAAGTTGGCTTGAGCTGGGATTTTATCATAGTTCTAACAATCGATTTGATCGACTCCCATGACAATGTAGTGTCCTGTCATCTATTGAGATTATGAAAACCCTCAAGACGCCATGCTTAACCACCGTTTAAAGTGCCCTGAATAATATAAGACCTAGAAAGCACAGCAGGTGGATGACTTGGCAGAATTTGGCAACATGCACACATGGCTCTTGGTGCTGATGGGGCACTGAGTAATGGCATCATAGTTTTCGGAAGTGAGACCTGAACATCGTCTACTATGACTGCTTGTAAGTATTATGAGCTGATAATGTATGAAAAGGAAACATCAAACCTATCGATTCGGCCACTGATAGTCACGCCAGTAAAGGCCTCCTTTCCAGGTCACAAGGTAGTATGTGGTTTCGTAAAGAAGGTAGACTTCTCCGAGAAAGATCGGGAGTTTAGAGATCGAAGGACCAAGGACACGAATGGTTTGTCTGATTAGCGTTGCCCCATATTCGTCCTGGTAGAATCCTGAGTTGCAAGAAGTCATGTTGCCACTGCTCTCACATTGTGGAAATAAAGTGGGCTTGGAGTTAAGGTTCAGGATAATGGCGCAAAATGTGAGACCTACTCAGTGTATTTCTGGCCTAACGCCCCGCTTGTACTAGCCGAGAACCACGGATCTGTGGAGGCGCATACTGAGACAAATGCATGTACCGTCACGCTTGCTGAAGATTGAATGGAAGGCTGCTAAAAAGTCTTCCGCTGACAGAAGAAGTAGCAATGACTAAATCCCACCCTACTACGAGAAATGAACAGAAAAGAGCGGACAGTATAGTTAGTAGCCGGTTAATATGATTTCATGGTCCTCATGAGACAGCAATAGTCACCGAGCTTCTGCTAAACTATGCGGCACCTTTGAAGGGGCTGGTAGTATCATTAGCAGGTCGGCACTATAAATTTATGTCAACGGACATACTCACGAGATATCTGCCGAAGAGTTCGTGGAAAGAGCCAAGGGTAATACCAAAACCTCCAAGGAAGCCGGCCTGCCGATGTAAGCAAGATGTCAAATAGTTTTCAATATGAGAGACCTGAATACTTACGCAGGCAACAAACTAAACTCTCGAAGAAAGAAAGATAAGAGAGCAAGACAAGGAGAGTAAATAACAACTTAATATGTTCTCTCATACGAATGAACAACATAAAGCGAAGCAGACTTTCCGCTGCAGCAACAATAAAATGTTAGGGAAAGAAAATTGCATACAACTCCGTACGTAGTTAAGTAGATAGACCATGGGATGAATCAAATACCCCAATCATTGCTCCCATAGTGCTGCAAACCACACACAGGAAAATTACAACAAAGTATAAGGAATATTGATCCGTTTTCGTCTCCATTCCATGTGGATAACATCATACTACGACTGAGTTCACTGACTCACGGTATGAGAAAAAAAGTGAAGAGGAGGTGTTGAGAATGAGCATCATGATTGGTTATGATTGAATGAGTGTGTTGGCCTACGGAAGAAACTCATTGACTCGTCTCCCAGACTATCCTGCGCGCATTTGCACAGCATCTTCTTGAACTCTTTCGGGCCCTCCCGCCATAACCGCGCGGCCTCGACATTGGCGGGCCTTTCGTCGTTAGTCAGCTAGGATCATAGCGGAAGGGAGCAGCAGAGGGATCATAAGAATTGGCGACGCGATACTAAACACACAAGAAAGAAGAAGTAAAGGGGGAGAAGAAAAGAGAAACACAGGACGAAGATGGAGATGGTGCTTGTCTTCACAGAAGCCTCGCCCCGACTTCTCGGAGAGATTAACCGTGATACTGGAGCGGATTCTCAAATTAGAACGACACTCTTCTCACTGAGCTGGATGCGAGCTTGCTAGCGGTGGAGGGACATTTTGAAGAAAGCGTCAACGTGGACCACGTGAGTTGGATCAACCACCACGCTCTCGAACTTATCGGCATAACCACCTGGGTTAGTTCTTTACGATGTTTGGAGGGTTTACAGTACCATCCGTGGGTACAAACAGTGTCAACTCAAGGCCGCTATTATCGCCAAGTCAATGAAGTCTTATCCTCTGCTTTCACTGGCTACTCATAGCCATTACTTTTGTGGATGCCTTGAAATCCGGCATGAAGATGTGGAATGTCATGGGCGAGGGAATGCTGAGGGGGTGGCCGCCAGTTCTACTACTCGATCGGGCTTTGTGGGAACGAAGATTGCTTCAAAGGCCATGACCCATGAAGAGATGAGGGTCAGTCAGATAATCGTTATCGCCACATGGAAGAAGTCAGTCACCACCCTCATCACCGGTATTATAAATTACCTCATGCGAGAGAAGGACCAGAAGATCCTATATATATTGGTGGCGCAACGATAGCCAGCCAATTCATGCCGGAAGAGCTGATAGTCTCCATCCCTCTGTTTGCCTCTTACCGCGCGGTGCGCAATTTCACCAGCCTGAATGAGTTTGTGCTGATGCGGTGGTTGCGAAAGGACGAGCCATTTCATGGGAATAGTGCTAGGCAGAAAGAAGCGTTCAATTAATCTTCGTTGGATTCGCCTTATGGTCCTGGAAAGAATAGAGTGTGTATGGAGTTTAAAGATCATTCTGACGCGACTTTCGTGGAGGTATGGTCCTACGGCTGGGGAGTTGCCGGTCTGGGAGAAGCAAGAGGTTTGATGGTATGGGGAGAAGAAACCGCCTGTTGTGAGGGTTGGACGGGGTCAGTATCGGGCTATCTTACGTGCAACCCCTTAGGCATACACTTACCAGGGCCCGGGACTTTTGGGTCAGGGGTAAGGTATATTATTATTAGGGAATAATATATCCCATCTAAGTACTATAACCCAATTTGCGGTATCCAAATCATCCAAATCCTCCCCTAGTTAACCAGACAATCCCACATCCCCTCAAGAACTCCCAGCTACGGCGCTAACCGGCGCAACACCGGGGAAGAACGAAGCCGGGGTAGTAGGGGTAGGAATAGACGCCGTTGTACCAAACGCGGTGGCCAAATCATCAGCCATAGTGGGCGCCTCGTATCCTGTTGAAGCAGAGTTCCAATAAGTAGTGGTTGTGTAAGGAGTCAAGGTGCTAGTAGCAGAGTCAAGGCAGTAGCCCTATCCGCAAGCAATCGCGCAGTAGTATTCATCGTAACGGCCTTCCTCAACCAACAAGTCAATCTGGACGAGCGTGATCTCGGTACAGGGCATGTCTTCAGGGCAGATGACCCGAATAGGCGGCCGAGTTTCACCGTCGATGGCGGTCCCCGTCCAATTATAAAATGTGATGTTGTGATAGTAGATGCCGACGCCGTCGATAGCGTTCATGCTGCTCCAGTAACTATCGAGGTCGAGGGAGTTGACGTTTCCGTGGCCTATTCTATCATTAGGTTGTGTGTCGTGGAAGGGTAAGGAAGATATAAGGTTATGTACCGATGAAATTCTCAAACACTATGTTGGATACATTGCCTAAGCCACCGTTGATCTTGATCATCATCATTTGGTTCGAGTCCCAGGTGTAGACGTTGCGGTAGAGGATGTTGGTGACGTTGACACTGGAACCCAGGGATCCGATGGCGCATCCGCCACTGGGGTTGCAGTAAATGTTCTCGATCAGGAAGTTGTGGGAGTTTGGTCTGTTGCAGTTTGGATTAGTACATCCGCAGTTGCGAGGTAATGCGATCCACCTACCTTGCTAGTGACACATTCATCCTTGTGGGTGACCATTACCTGCCGTAGCATTAGCGTTTCCTGAAATCGAATGCACGTTCAGGAGAAGCGGCACTAAATGAATCCAGATGTTGCCACCGTACAAATCAATGCCATCCAGACCACCGTGATCACCACCACAGATAGCCATATTGTACGCTTCTCCATTGTAACCGCCGTCAATGACAAAGTGGGGCATAGGCGAGTTGACCAATACCAGGTCATGAACGGTCCAATCCGACACCCGGAAATGTACAGCATCCGGGGACTAGTGTACGTATTATGTCGGTGGTAAAGGTAACCGCTACCTTGAATTGCACCCGTTGCATTTGAACTAGAAAGCTCAGAGTCACTGCCACCGGTTATCGCGAATATGTACGACTGGGCGGAAGGCGAGGAGTCCCAGTGGAGCACGCCATCGAGCTGGATAGACCACGCGGAGCCGTTTTCCGAAGAGACCCAGTCTTTCAAAAGATAGTCACCCTCAGGGACGTGAATGAGACCACCGCTACCGCAGTCGGTGAAGGCGTCGATAATGGGCTGTCCCACACCGGTGGTGTTGTCCGAGCTGGCTCCGTAGTCGCAGACGTTGCAGGTCTTCACAGCGGCCTTATCTATAACGGAGGTCAGGGGTCTAACAGATCCTGTTAGTTGAGCATGGACCGAGTTGATGATGGAGAGCAAAGAAGTAGCCACGAGAAAGGACGTGGACCAGGTCATGGTGCCGGTGATGAGTGAGAGCGATATCTCTTTTTTTCTCTGGCGAAAATCAGCATTCCACAACGTCATTTATTCTTGACATCGACCGGAAAGCCAAACTTTCCCCGAGAGTCGACAGGAAATATATCTGCAAGCTCCTACCACCAAAACGATAGGCCCTGAGGAATAGGCATAGCTTCCGCAAAGGTATCAAATCCTACACGAACAGGAGTGTGATACTGAATAGGACTATTCAGTATCCGTCATAAAGCCCACGGACATCCGCAATGGCATGACTCGCCATAGGATGAGCTGGCGCAAGTACCACAACGTTGTCCGGACCCTGTCTCCACACGCTTCGATATTAACCGCGCACCGATCTTTCCGGCTGCTGTTTAACTCGCCCTGCCATGACCCGAACGGCACGGGGCATGGGAAGATGTTTTTGGTGTTATTATGGCCAGAGAGCCTGAGATAAGGAGTGCTTCCAGGTTGATCAGTTATATCTGCGGCTGGATGACGCATATAGTTGCCAAGGTCGAGAGGAGAAATCGGGGGATGTTGCGGAAGAGTCGGAGAGGAGACTGACAGGAGCTAAGAGGTTATCTCCACCACGGATCGGATTGGACCCTCCTTGGCTCCTAAGCGAGAAACGAGGAACGGTCCACCCGCCGTTGGTTTCACGAACACCTAGTTTAGTTCGCCCCTGTCTTTTGTCCTTTTTAGTGGCGCCGATAATACAATCTTCAAAAGTCAGTAGACCTCCCATACGGAAGAAATAGGCGTGCACGTGAGTCCATCACTATATACTAAAGCATGAGTTCACAGTTAATCTTCATATAGGAGCGGTGAGGGAATTCGCACATCGTTACCCGATCAGGACGTGGGGTAAGCCATAGGCTTACGTAGTAGTGTTCAGCAGTTCGGCGTTCGGGTGAAGTGGAATTTCGCGTAGGTGGAATTTTCCAACAACAATATTCGTCACATAGAATACCATATCAGATGGACGGCAGGAAGGAGAAGGGAATTAGGCGCTCTGACAAAGACTGCATCAGGAGAGCGTGAGGGAGATGCAAGATGTTGCCATCTATGATTGCTACCTTTGGAAGTGGGTTTGGTTCGGGCTAGCGCGTTTCCACCACGTCATCTGGTCTTCTAGATTTGATTCAACATTAAGGTTTACTCACCTAAAATGAAATATGGAAATTTTAGTGCATCAGACCCACAGACAAACGTTCGACATGCAGTCACGGCGAGTTGCATGCAGGGAAAAGGGATGACTTTCAGTTGGAATAATCTAAACGTTTACCAAACAAACTACTTCCGGGGGTGGAGGCGCTACCACATGTACACATGTTCATATGATCACTTTTTCGCATGGCAACAACCTATGGAAGACAAAATATGCACTAAAAGGAGCGTCTACATCTCGCCCCTGCTTTGCCAAAGACACCCAGCGTTATGGTGACTGGTCTGATGATATATGTACATGCATTTTGAGCTGGCTATGCATTGTCCATCTTTGAGCTCGATATATTATGCCCCCGCGTCGCTCTTTCGTAGCCGATGCGCTTTAATAATACACGTATAATCCTTAGAAGAGTCATCCTATGTCCTAAGACTGCAGATATAGTATGCTTTTACGTCTGATGATTTCAGTCAGTGTCAAGAGCATGGAAGTACAAGATCTTTACCAGAAGCCGCAATTGGGAGGGTAGTGAAGAGAAGGCTTAGCCTAATGATGCCTTGTGTCAAGTCATAATAGGCGTCATTGCATCAAGACTATGGAGATGAAATCACCCTGCATGAAGTATGGTGGAAATGAAGACCGCTTATCTGTGTAGCACATAATCCTAGCGTAACTCTGCAGAGACGTCCCACGTAGTTTCATGGCGGCTTACTGTCACAGAAAGTTTTATGTAATAAATCTGATGCAGAAAGATACAGCTAACTGCAAACTGTGAGATCGCACGCTATATTCACCCTGTGGAAGTTTCCTAAGTTGTCCGCGTACAGGAGAGAACTAGCCTAAGCATTAGCAGATTTTTTCCGGCCCATAGATTACCGTAGCCTAAGGCCTGGCAATTGATTATCTGGAGCGTGGATCAGAAGCCTAAAGGCGCAAATGATTGTTTTTTTGCTACCGGAAAATATCTCTGGCACGAATGACAAAGTAGAATTCTAAAGACGCCTTTTGAGAGTATCTTACGGTGTGCATGATTACGCAAGTTTCGAGACTTTGTAGAAGAAATCATCGTCGCCTAACTCATGGGCCTCAGTGGAAAGTTAGGAGTTTACAGGCAGACAACCTGGGCATCATGGGCTGGTCATAGCTTAGTCACCTCACAAAATTCATGTCCATACTCGGGAATTGCGTCAACTTGAGATTTTCACATATTGGATAGAGGTTGTGTCATAGATTGCGGCCACTTACGATAGTGCGATCGCCCGGTATCGAGCTCCCCAGCACTACCTGCAGACCGACATCTACTTGTTCCCACAGCATCACCAACCATCGCACAAGTTTCCTGTAAAAACATTCGAGCAGCTCCTGTGTCTGTTTGTGTGGCCATCATGACTGGAAAAGAGAACACGCGTGGTATTCTATCACTTCCCCAGGAACTGTATGATGAGGTACTATTTTCACCTCTGTCTTGCTACCGTAACTTGCTAAATATATGTTCAGGTTACCCTTTTCTTTGCAAATTTTGGCCTAGATCCCAAGGCCCGAATTACACGGTTGATGTGCTTGCGTTTAGTCAGTGTGCCGTTTAATCGAAGCGCCACTCGAGTTCTATTAAGTGCCGTACGCTTGAGTGTGGGTCGCCGGTTAGAGACGCCTCAACTCCTCCACGCGCAGTCTCCGAGCAGCATAAAGCCTATATTTACGAGCGACCTTTGTCATTCCATTCGATACCTCACGGTCTGTTCCTCTCAAGCGTGCACAAACACTGTGGAACGACCATATGGCAACCTTTTTCAATGCCTTAAAAGACTCCCTTCGTTACAGTACTTTGAAATTGATCACAACAATTACTACTCGCACCCGCAGGTAGATCTTATGCTTTTGGCCCTAAAACATGCGCACCGATACCTTCCCAGACTGAGAGGAATCAGAATCATTTCACCGTGGAGCTATCTCAAGGAGGATGGGCTGCCCCGCCTCTGCAGGCTCGAGGGTGTTCTACGCAAATACCTGCCCCAACTTCAACATATTGATATCGAGTTCGCCTCTTGCTTGTGGTTTACTTCAGGCAAACTTGAGAATCAAACTTTTCTTCCTCTTTTCCGTCTTGGCCGGGGGCTACGATCCATCAGCCTGGAAGGCCTCTGGATGGGCGCCAACTGTCATAAAAAGCATAAACCGGGACGTTGGTTGCACCCAGACGCTCCAATCGAGCGCATACGACTCCATACCATGGTTGTACCTTTTGGAGTCCTGGCAAGGTTATTGAGATATAAGAGAACATTGGTGAGCCTGGACATCATGGGTGTGTCTCTCTCAACGGGTAAATGGGAAGACTTTCTCCCAGAGATCGACAAATTTCCGTTGTCATATCGACATATCTCGTACCATGGTTATAATGTACATGAGATATATAGATTTTGCAGCATGAAGTACTATGATCTCGTGCGATCTGATTATAGTGAGTTACAGCAGAAGATGCAAGCCTTGCCCCGGAGACGGAAGATGGTTCCAAGGCCACTTGCGCGATTTAGCGAGCATGGGCTTCGCTTGCACTAGGATGCACTATAACTATTCTATTTGCTCTGCTACTTCACTTTAGCTTGTTTGCTTCTAAACGTTCAAATTGAGTCAAAATGCCTCTAATAACCCGACTAAGGACATGTAGACCTAGTTATACAGGCGCTTTGCCGCTTGAGCCACGAGTATACGGAACTTAGATGTTACACTATACATGATTCTATGCAAGGTACTTTGCGACATGAGATGGACTCAATGTGCGTGCGCTTGCTTCTATGCTTACCCATCAAATTTGTTTTCAAGTCTATTCTCTTTGTTTCTCTTTTATTAATTGCTCTCCCCCCTTCTTGCACATGGAGACTTGAGCCCGCTTATTTGGCGCCTGAAAAAGGGCATTGTGATTTCGTTGAGAGTGTGAAGTTTACCCTAACCGTTGCATGCTGCCTCCTTTTCCTACGGCACCATGCTCTTCGTACCTCGCATCGAGAGCAATGCTAAACAACTTGACCGATGAACGGATGCACTCGTGTCCTGCCCTTCATTAATTTTCTTGATAACATACACTCAGTGCCTATTCACATGATTACTACCTGCTCTATATACTCGTTAGCCACCAATGCTTGTCATCCGTGCATGAATAACTCTCCTAGCTGGCTGCTCTGGGAAGGAGCAACGACCACCACCAACTCCAACGGAAGGAGGAAATCATGCCCCCTCTCAGGTGCGGTATCTTCTTAGGTTCTCGATCCAGGACGCATCTCAAGTTCTGCTCTGTCATTATTGGCATCTAAACACCGTGGACAGACTCCTGCCCCCCTCCTTTCTCTATACTTTTGACTACAGATCCCGCAAGAGGCCATCCGTCCCAAAGAAGTCGTTCTATATAGCAAGTGCCAACATTCCTCGAGTGGCCTGTCGTGTACTAACTTCAACAACAATCTGCGCAGCCTCTCTCCGTTCCAGCACTCAGAGAGTGTTCTGGTCTCGTACTCAATCAGTAAGAAAATTCTACACTTTTTCCGTTCCAGCACTCAGAGAGTGTTCTGGTCTCGTACTCAATAAGTAAGAAAATTCTACACCTTCTCCGTTCCAGCACTCAAAGAGTGTTCTGGTCTCGTCGTCAATCAACAGCCAAATTCCACACTGTTTCTCCGTTCCAGCACTCAAGGAGTGTTCTGGTCAACTTGGTACCGGGCAGTTTATATCCGATACCCTGAAGTTTCTGAGCATCCTCGCCCTGCAATTGGCTCGAATCTTGATTAAGTCGGTTCCTGGTGAGTGGCACAACGTGCACATATTCGGGAATGAAACGTCTTGAAAACTGCTAACTCAGTGATATTATATAGTACACACATAACAATGGATTCGCAACCGAATTGGTCGCGGGGTATTAGAATACCCAGAACGCCGGCGGAATGGGCATCGATGGCTGGGGAGGTAAAAATGCCAGCGCTAGCTGAAAATGTGACCGACGAGGAGTACCCAGCAGGTCAACCTGTCTCCTCCCTGGACATGCATGACGTTGGCCATTGGGAATCTGCCTCAAAGGTTTCGGAGGCACACTTTCTCCTGACTCGATGTTTGTGGACGTTTTCCCACGCCAACTCGTTAGCCAAGTTTAAGGTGTACCCAGACCCTATGGTGAAACCATACGACCATGAAACCTACAGACCATCGAAAAAATGGCTTAGTGACAGGCAGGACTGGCAAGATTATTTGGATGACATCCGAGAGAATATGAACAAACGCCCGGACCCGGGACAGGCGAAGAGCCTTGGCGAATTCACAAGCACGCGACATTGGCAACTCTGTGTCCGGGATGGAGAGAAACAGGACAATGAAAGAGGCAATTCCCCTACTATCACAAGGAGCAGAGCAAAGCGAGATTTACCTTCAGTGGGAATGCAGATGGAGGTTGACGGCTCTTCTGATGCTCTTGACGCAAGTGCCGAATTGACGAACACTGTATCGAGGTCAAGCGGGATTTCCTATAATACTGCCTTCGGAGACGATGGTTCGGTGGACCGAATGAGCGGTGTTATGAAGACCTTGTCGAGATCAAGTGGGAGTTCCAATGATCCTTCCACCAGAGCGAGGGATGCAATGATGGACGAAATGCCCGAACTTTCGATGATCGAGACTAAGTCAAGTATCAGCTTGGGGGAGCTAACAAAGAAAATTTCCCCCCAATCTGCCACCGGAAAGGAGGAAGCATTGACTATGCTTTGCAGAACAAGCGACGAAGAAACGGTCAACATGGCCCTTGTGGAACTTTTGAGTGCATTGACAAGATGCTGTCCATATGTTTATCTGGAATGGAAAGCAGACAGACAGTCATTTGAAGTCTGTCTAGGAAAGGCTCGGCTCCGTGCTAAGTCAGACGGTGGTTTATTCTCAAGACACTCAGACGTTTTTGCCCTTGTTGAGGTCAAGCCCTTCGTTCTGCTGGCGGCGCCCGAAACGACTTTGAGGCAAATATCATTGCAGATGGTCGCATGGATCGCGCATGCCATGAGAGAACCGCAAAACCGAAGGAAAGCGTATGTTTTCCTCCATTGCCGTACTCATACTAAGTCCAAGCCGTTTTCTCATACGCTGGCAGATACTACATGATAGCCGAGTACCGTCATGAAGTGTACATTATGATGACAAAACCGACGGAGCGATACTTAGCCCACCTTGACGGCAGCATGCCAGTCGTAAACCCTTTGGATGAAAGCACTTTTTTGAAGCTGTCCTGTTTCGGCCCGATTGACATTTACAACGCACAGCACGTCCGTGCACTCGGAAGCTGGTCTTTATGGGTCACGATATATCTCAGTGGGCAGTATCTCCAATTACGGCAGGCCAACAGAGCATCTGCATAATTCAACGCCTTTGCCCTTACGATACCTTTCCCCGCGGGCTGAGACACTGTCGGTGCTCCTCGTGTGCCGTATATTGAGATGCCATAGCCGGGCGCCACATCAGTGTAGCATCATGTTCTGCTTGGCCTTCTCTGAGTCATGCGCAAGTCTATTACCGTTTTGCTCACGGAAGACAGTATCGAGAATCGGAGCTGCCCATTCTTTGGGCCTTTCGGCGTACACTTCCTATATATAATAATGGCCATTGAGTTTCAAGTACCACTGTATTCTTCATTTTCCCACCATAGCTCATGGTCTCCATATCTAAAACCCAGAAAGACTTTCTTGGTGGTTCCTCCCACTCAGGTGCTATACAATATGCTAAGTCATGATTGCTTAAAGTTGGCGTAAGGCAGCCTGTGTGGCCTTGAATCCGGGTTAGAAGAAGACAATCTTGTCGAGTAAATATCATGCTCGAATATGTTTCATTTGAAGAGTCGTCAAGATCAAGGTTTGCGCGTGAATGTCGTGCGGGAAGTCGATCATTATCAAATTCCTCGATACCTTGAAAGCATCCCTGACGCATCCTGATCCGTTTCCCGTCGACCGTGAGATTGCTCTCGGTGATATGTCCAACATATTTTCGTTGAATTCGAACATTCCTTGTGCTTCTTTCAATCATCGTGCCTGCGCCACCTCTGCTTTTTTCACAAACAAGGGGAAAAACAAATAAGTACAATGGCTGTAAGTTTGGAAATTTCTTAGTCCTCTGGTGCTTGTACCATTTCTCGAACCAAGAGCTTAAAGTCTTCTGGTCAGTCATGTACTTATCACAGGTCATAATTATGTACCAAGTCCCATACTTACCACAGACCCTTATAGCGTGCCATGTGTCTGTAATATACACGTATTGATGGGGCGTCTCAGCGGATACTACAAAGAATTGGGTATTCGATGTTCAAGTGTGAGATGTCGCTTGACAGTGACTGAAGCCCGTCGATATTGAACATTGAAGTAAAGGAGGTACATAATGGAGCACGATCACTGTACCCAACGAGAGGCATTTAAAAACGGGAAACAGACTTTTTGAGATCTGGTCGCACATGCAGTCGACCTCCATAGCAAACATGCTTCGCATATTATCCTCTGTATCGTGAGATAGACTCGTAGCTCCCGAGTGCGTCAATTTGGATAGAATGCGTTCAGCTTCGACATTTTGCGCAGTTCGGCCATATGAGACGGATAACCCAGATCCATCATCCGATGCTTTTCAGGCACGCGAACTTTTATAGCAAGATCTAGTGGACATATGGGAGAAGAGGCTAGGATGGCGAAAAACACGAAACTCCCCGCGCCCATCCTAGTAGGTACCGCTTGTGGTGAGCGTGTCCCATCACGATCGCGTTTCCGGCCATATCATACCACATTGCTATATCGCGAAAACATAATAGTCGACATAGGCCTAATTAACATATTTAAGTGGGACTCAGTATGCGAACCAATCGACAACTATTTAATCATCCAGACATAGATCCCAGCCTCATCAAGAGCATAACTAGAGAGAAAGCTTCAATGGCAGAGTACTGAAGGGGGACAGTATTATGCTTCCAGAAATCATCATTGCAGACTTTTCTGTTCTAAGTACTGAGGGTCTGGAGAAAGCTCAATGTGACGAAACAGGAGACAACTAATTGCGGAAATTGAGGCGCCTTTGTTCCCCAGTCAAATTGAGCGTAATCGCGTTTCAGGGACTGACATCAGGCGACCGGCAGTATGATAGTGATGTTTTAATCGTAATTCGCCTTGCGGGGTGTATAGTCGGTTATATCAAAGCATAAAGATGTGGCTCAGATATCTGTAGGCCGTAGTAAAATGTTTTCCAAGGCAGACTGTATGGTGGCGATACCTGTGTGTATGGGAACTCCGGGCTTAGAAAATTCTCATAACTGGCGAAGACATGAGTTACACCATCAAAATTTAGACTAGGGGCACTTACTTTTCAACATATTAGAACCATGACATCGTTGTAGTATTGACCACAGAAAGTGAAGTGCATGGAGTTGAAAGTACGCAGTGTAATTTGCAACCAAAGCAGCAGGCTGGATAAAAGCTGTGTACGTTTATGGCGCCAGCCTATCAGTCTGTGTTGGCCACAGAATAGTCTAGCATGATCAGCCTTTCCAAAATCTATAGAATGGCCAAGGGACTGTCTAAAAGCATCGCTAGATGCACTTTCTTTGTAGAAAGGCGCTTACTGCTAGTAGCGAAGTTGAACCCACTACGTTCATAACGATTCTGTGGGGAATATACTTCTTCGGGGTTGCAAATAATAATATAGCTATAACCAATGCTGTGAACTGCTTTTCTTGTCGGAACAGCTAATGCAAGAAAGATAGCTGAACTTGAGATTATAAGAAGATGAAGAAGGAGGAAAGGAGAAGGAGAGGATTGCTCCATATTTATATCTGCAAAAGGGTACATTCATTGATTTGCCAGCTAAGGGCTGGTGAAGCGAGGATGCTTGATGTGAAGGAACCATTCATCGCACACTTCTGATATGAATGCATTCTACGTAATTTCAGCCTATCATTCAACCACATGGCTGACCCTGCTGTACCTCTCCGGGCTTGATCGTAGATATGGACTAATCGGCGACTTGGCTCTCCCTAAGCACCTTCGATAACTGATAGATGATCCTTTCACTTGCATAGGGCAGTGATGTTATCTACGACTGCCTCCGTGAAGGAGTGGTTTGGGGTTGTACGTGTGATAGACCTTAGGACTTTTGCAGCTAGCTGCACTTCTAAGTATCTGGTAGACATTGTCCTATGGTCAAGGGCTATTGTGACAATCTAAAACTTGCGGAAAGAAGGATGGCAGTAGTACCTGCATCTGCCAGACCACCATGAGGCTCGTATTTGCTACACTGCTTCTACTATGGAATAGCATCACTCTCTTTAATAGCAGTACACGTACCATAGTGGGCTGTAGGCTGCTCATTTATTTGTATGTTGTCGAAGCACTAACCGCTAGACCAAAAACGATAAACCGCTCTTGGCTAGCCAGGCGACGGAGAGATATGTGTCCCAAAATATATGTAGAGCATCTTGTTCCTTGGTCTAACACATGTTATAAGTGGACGCCTACGGAGGTTCTTCAGACAGTGACTTCTTCAAAGCATGCGTCAAATTTTCTGTGAGGATCAATCGGTCCCACATCCAGCTAATTTTATAGGAGATGCGCGCTCTAAGTCTGTTGACTCGCGAGTATTAGTCCTCTACCGGACTGCCTAGCGGTATATAATTTAGACCCTCTCCGTTCCCTAAACAGAGAGATAGCTTTCGCACTAATTGCTTTCGCAGCAAGTGGGAGAGAAGATATTTTGCGAGCATCATAATCCCAATCACACTCAAGAAGCCGGGCACGAGTCTATATACTGTGGTATGTCGGCAGCTGAAGGTAGTTAAGCACTCTTATCGTTCCAGTGCTGTATGACATGAGATGATTGTATGTACTTTATTTACCAATACTGGATCTCACATAACCAGAAAGATGGAGGGACCCATTTTCCCGCCAGTGGAAGTGCTTTTCTCTGTTGTCAATCAGTAACATTCGGTCTATAATAACAGTTTGGGTTCGGTGCGATCGCAGTCCAATACAATAACTCCAGAGAGCTGTGCGATTTGAATGTCTCTGCAGAATGACTCGAGCGTATTGATATTCAGCCTTGTTACATCAAACCCTTTGAAAAGCGTCAAAACAAGAACGGATCCCAAGATCGAGATAAGTTGGTTGTCCGATATACATCCTTGTGGGTTAAAGCGTGAGGAAGCACGTGCAAGGCCAAAGTGATGGGATAACGTGAGGGGGGGTTGTGATGATGGACAAGTGGGTCCACGGGAGGATACCTAGTACTACTCTGTGGGGTCACGAGGCATTCACGAAAGGTTAGCTACGAGCGTTCTGGTTGGCCAATGGGACTTGGGAATAGCTTCAAGTTTAAATTACGGTACTTGACCGATACGGCCGATTATATCGATATATTACAGACCCCCTACATAGCTTACCCTAGCTGCCCTTGCAACCTGACGGCCCGTTCCGACCGCAGGCGTCTCAACCAGAGTGCCCTAGCGGCGCTATATCTGAGTACGGCCATCTATCTATCTGTCTATCATCTCGGTCGCAATATCGTATGCCTCCCAGACCTAAGAAATGTGCCAGTTCATGATCTGCCTTGATAAGTCTTTGGAACTCGCATCCTACGCATTCCAGTACATTGATTTTTAGGTATAATTAAATTATGATCTGGCGAAATTCATGAACATGAATACAATTTCTCAACACTATCAGTAATGGCTGGATTCTGTAAGATAACGCACCAACATTATCATCAATGTCAACACCTCCCCAACTCCACAAAACGAACCACACCCCAACGCCAACTCCTACATCTTAGCCCTGACCTTCCCTTCACCTATACGCTCCTCAAACCGATAAACCACATTCTCAAATGACCAGGTCGGAAACACATAAAACCACTCCAACGGCTCCTCTCCCCGATTAACCACCCCATGTTCCGCATCACCTGGAATAAACAACACCGCTCCCGCAGAAACCACATACTCCTTGCCATCGATGAACACATGTCCAGATCCCGAAGTGATGTAGTATATTTCAGCTTGGGTGTGGCGGTGGCGATAAAGATGGCCTCCATGCGGAGGACAGACTGCTAGACCGGCGCACATGTCGGAAGTGGGGGTTTGAGGGGAGGAGAGGAGAGTGCGCCATGTTAGGTGGCCGTGAGGAGGGTCGTGGAAGGATTCGCGGGGCAGGGAGGTGATGGTTTGACGGTGGTAGATGATAGGATGGATTTCTGTTTTCGTTTCGGGCATTGTTTGTCTTAATTTGGTGTTTGGAAGGAGAGACGGCTGAGTTTGGTGGTGTTTCAAGTCTGAGATATCGGGGGATTAGTCCTGCAAGTGGAACATTTATTTATGACGTAGTGGGTGAGTTGGCAACGGAGGGATTCGGATGGTGATATGCAGGTTTGATGCATGTATGTTGGGATAGTTGTAGTGCTTGATAATCTGATTTGTTCCATGCCGGACTTATTATATGCACTACGATTTCTCGGTTACCGGACTCGGCGACGGGAGGACTGGACGTGGACAACTAAATGTCTTCAAGGCACTATAAATAACCCATCTACCCCTCACACATTATCTTCTCCGCATCAATGGATCAATGCATCAGCAACCAGCAATCCAGACCAAAGATCAACACACAGCGCCATAACCCCGATCGGAACCTGTCGGCTTTCCAGTTCCTTATCATTCACTGCAGCCGCATACGAGATTGTCGCCACCGCTCCGGTGAGGTTAGCTACCTCCCCAACGATAGCCGCAGACCGCGCCGCACCAGCCTCTTCGCTGGTCAGTTCATACAAGTGGTACGATGTAACCATCAACTTGGGGATGAGGAGAAGTGACTTGAAGACAGCACTCACAGCCCGTCCGTCACTCGGCAACAAGTCTGGGAACTTGCTCGTGGTAGTCGCGAGCTTGCCATAGACGGGTGTGAATCCAAGAAAACTGGTGGCGATATCCAGTCCAAAGCAAACGCGCGACAGTACCTTTAAACCTGAGTCTTTGATAGGATCCTTCGGTGCCAATAGGTTTCCGCCCCCCACACTTGCCACAACTATGAGCTTGATGACCGCTGCCAAAGAGCTGAGGGTGTTACCCGCCGTCGGCGCCTCTGCCTCCAGGACTAGAACGATGTTGCCGATGAATAATATCATCCCGCTCATTGCATTGGCGGACGTGAAAATGGACTGCTGGACGGTTGGGGAGAGCGCGCGCGGGGCAGTTGATGTTGAAGATAACAACTGTTCCAACTCGTCCCAGCTGCTTGCGGCGATGAGAGCAGCGGAGTTGTCATCGTCGGGAAATGGGGGCTCGTTGTTCACCACCTTGTATACAACGGTGTAGGCGACAGCTCCGATCCACATAAAAAGGTCCAAGAAAGAGATATCAGGGACGCCCAGGAAGTTCAAGATATCAGAGATAACGGGGATATGGAGCTTAGCATCCAGCAGGGACATGGCTTCATCGGCAAAGCTTTGGATGAAATCAATTAATGCATCCACTACTACCTGCGCGCTGGACAGTAATCCGTCCACGAATATGCCGGCTAGATGTCGCAGCACCTCCTCAATGCTCAGTGAGCTGAAGTCGGTAGCTAAACTCTTCAGTCGGCTGTAGAAATCTCCCAGAACCTCCCCCTCTGCGGACAGCGCGTCTAGCAGCTTAGTGACCAGGTCTTCAGCCACGCTTGCCGAGGGAGCATCACCGACGATAGTGAGGTCACTGGCATGGTTGCGGAAATGGGAGGACAGAAGCTGTGAGCCTGATGTCTGGCCCTCCGCTGGATTGGCGCTGCTGCCCGCCGCCGTCTCGCTGGCAGGGTCCCCGAGCTTCGACCATTCCTCGAACCCAGCCCAGGAGTTGACACTCTGCTCCACAGCAGCCACACTGGAATTGAAATCAGTTTTAATCTGGGACAACTGGCTGATCTGGTTCTTTGTGCCCAAGATAACGAGGTTATGTAGGATGTTCTTGGTGCGCCGGATATCGTCCCACTCAAAGAGAAATTGGACGAAGCGGATGATAGCCTCAATAGCCGTTTTGATGGCGTTGAACAGCCACTTAACAGCACCCACGATAGCCTCCACAGTATCCAAGACCGCCGCATACACCTCACCCGCGATATGTGCGATAAAATGCCACGCTTCCGTCGCGGCATCCTTGATGACCTCAACCACAGCTTCCACTCCCGTCTCCAACCAACGGAAGAGATCTCCAGCAGCCATACCAATCCAGTCAAAGAGACCCCGATCGTTGTTTCCAGGATGTCCTTGGTAGAAGGTGGCTGGGACAACGCCCCGGTTTCTGACCAAGGCGCGAGTCGTTCCACTCTGGATGCTCGACCAAGTGGTACCCAGCTGATCCATGGCAGCCGCAGTAGCCTGCACGTCGCTGTCATCAGCGGCCGAATCGACCAGCGATGTTGTCTCAGTTGACCCGAGTACACCTCCCGCAACAGTATCAGTCGGCACCTTAGCAGCACGCAAATTCTGAGTGGAGTTCAACTGGGAAAGCTTCTTCCACGCCGTGTCCAGTGGGCGGACGACCAGCGGTGTGGTGCTGCTGTCATCCGCTATCTCCACGGTCAAAGGGGTACCTTGAAGATCTTCCGTGGCTTCAATCACCGTCACAGTCCCCATGGCGTCGGTCTTCACAGTCACTGGAGTACCGCCTAGCACGTAGTAAAGCCCATTGATGTAAGCTGGGGTGGATGTTTCAGCGGAAATGGCCAGAGACGCATCTCGAACGGGCATCTTATCTGTGCCAACTACCTGCACTGTGGTGGTGTAGGAGTTGAACGAGAGAGCAGGCTCAGTAGGTGCAGTAGCTGCCAAAGTGATGCGCTGAGGTCGCCATATGCTACCAGCTGTGCTGGGTTTCTGCACGATTTTCTGGATTGCGCCTGCTCCCGCGGCAAAGAGGGTTCGGCCGCCATCGGCAAGGTTCACGTACGGCGAAAGTCGCTCGATTCCCGTCAGAAGAGGGACTGGAACCGACCAAGCTCCCGGCACTGATAGCTGAGTATTGGGGCAAGTGAGGTAATAGACGACGTCGTTGCCGTTCTTGCCCCAAAGAGTGGTCACCCCATCCTGCATCATCGCGAATAGTGTATCGGTTCCGGAGAGGGAATCGTTTGTGATAAGTGCGTTGGGGGCTGTTCCCTGTTGTTGGGCTACAGTATCATAGAGATAGAGAGTAGCATCGCTAACCGCGTACAGTTCGGTGCCACCAAATTTATCGGAGTCGAGGTTGGCATCGCGCGCCACCGCAATGGCTGTGGGATGCATGCCACTGGGGAGGCTCAGACGGGTAGGCTCCGGGGGACCATCCCCATAAACATTTTCCAGAGGCACATACACCAGCTGCGATGACTCTCCTGCCTGACCACTGGTGTAAACTCCGTCGATGCGTTCGCCGTATATGCGGCCTACGCAGCTCTGATACCTGGTCTCCTCGACATCGACGGGGATGTCTGCCTTGACCCAGCGAGACCCCTCGGCGGCCGCCGCATTGACGACATAACGAGTGATGTCCTTGGCTGTGGCGTCGCCGCTCCCGCGCTCGGTGTCCACGATTATGTACTGCTTTTTGCTAAATACCTCGGCAAAGAGCATGCCCGTGATGGTGATGCTATCTGCTGTATTCTCGGACGAGGATAATTCGGCGTCAAAAGGGATGGGGCTCCAGATAGGCGAGCTGGTCCACGAGGGGTCAGAGCTGGAGTTGAGCAAGGAGACGAAAAGATGATCATTTTCGTCTACAGTAGCTGCCATCATTAGACTGATAGAACCATCGATGGCGCTTTGAGCAACATCAAAGTCACGCACGACAACGTCGGTTCGGTCTGCGAAGGCGTTCTTCAGCGTCGCGGAGGAGAGGTCGCGCACTTGCCAGCCGGTATGTGTTGTGCCACTCTGCTCCTCAAAGACATGTAAGGCTCCTGCTGTATCGAGCGCGAAGACCAGACTTAGGCCAGCCTTTGTCTGTAGAGCAGTGAACTTCCCAGTGGGCGAGACCAGGCTTCCAGCCACATAGTTTTGCATCAGCTCACACGACGCGCTCAGCTGGTGTGAGGTAGCTTGGCTAGAGGCCAAAGCCTTGCGGGCAGGAGCAGCCTGTGTGCTTGGCTTCACATATGTGATGCCGCAAAGCAGATCCCCGTAATTGGAGAAGCGTGGTTGATTGAAGGTAAAGACCTGCGCTCCCGGAAACACAAAACTCCGCATAGGTTTAAAGGACACCTGCTGAAGCTCCTTGCTGGCGAAACCGGTAAATTTCTCCTCAAGCCCGTCAAAGACATCGTTGATGCCGGTGAAAAAGTCGAGGAAGCCACTGACGCTAGGATCAACCGAGTCGTTCGTCTGCTCGCTGCTCTCAGTGATGAGCTGCAGATTACCCGACTGATTGACAGAGAGTGAATATGTCTCGTCGAGCGTATAATCAGCGATGTTGCCGTCAGCGCCAGAGCTGTCCACCAGAACCTCGGCCCAGATTACCTCGCGCTGCACGATTCGAATGATGTTGGTACTCTCAAAGCTAACATCGCAGGTATACTTGGTCTTGACCCAGAGCTTAGAATACCACAGATCAAGATGAGCCGAATCCAGTTTCTCGCTGTTAAATTCAAGATGAATTGCTTCAGGGCTGCTGGCGTCGGTCAAGACGGTGGTTGTTTGTGGGCTGTAACCAGCAGCTAACAGGCAATAATAGGACCAATCAGCATCCAAAAAGTCCCATTCGCCGTTAACAGTGACCTTTTCCACAGCAATACACGCGGGTCGTACCATCTCCACCAGCTGGTCTTTCAGATATGCGGCAAAGGTATTCCGATTGATGGCCATGACGCCACTCTCGCTGTTAACATCTGCGGGTGCCACCCAATTCCAGGTGAAGGGCATTGTGGCTGGCTGGGTGTGGCCGTCAGTTGCGCAGAGGAAGTCCAGGGTCGATACCCTGCTATCGTTGTCGTTCAACGTGAGCTGGCGATCGAGACTGGTCAGGGTCAGCGACCCGCTGTCGGCAGTCTCAGCCGTTGCAGTTACAGCCACCAACGGTATTCCCGCGGTATCATCGGCGTAGAATTTGATGTAAGACTCGTTCAGTACCGTCTGGGCTTTCTCGCCAACACCCCCGAATGATGGGACTGTCTTGGCTTTCGCATTCTCCAAGTCGAAGAGGAGCTGTGACAGGCTGAAGGCCGTACCGGACAAATTCTCTAACTGGTCACGGAGCTGCTGCTGTATGGTGGGATTTTGGTTAAGGTATGGAGTATCCAGACTTTTGTCCAGATCCTTCTGTACCAGGCTGACCTCTGTCTCGACATACCATGCCTCGTCTCTTGGCTGGCTCCAGACCTGCCATTGGCCCGCGCCGCCAAATCCACTGGCAGGCGAGTTCTGGATCACGTCACATTCTCGACAGTACATGTGGAATGTTATGTCATTGATACTGCTGCCAAATTCGACGACCGGTTTGGGTAAGTCCTTGGGTAGGATATCTGGTGGCAGCCCCAGCTTCATCCGGATACCCACGATGAACTTGGCCTTGGTAGTGAGGGCAGTGATGCGAGGATCATCGTAGTCGGTACCATCGGGGATGTCGAAGGGGTTGAAGCCAGACTGCTCCTTAACATCATCAAGACTGATCTCACCGACAATGTTCGCATTACTGTCTGCGTAATAGCAAATGTACATCTCCGGCAGGCTGTCACTGTCCAGGTATTCAAGCAGGCCCGAGTTGATAGATGCTTGAGTGGTGGACACGACAAAGTCATACCCATACTTGCTGGTATCTGACAGGTATGAGGCCGATGCTGGATCAGAACTCATGATGGTGATGCTATTGCTTATTGAGCGTTTGAGAGACAATGATAGAAAGAGATTTCTTTGGGTTATGTCTTGCAATGATCTGAACAATTTTCTGTTTTCTGCTCAGTCTTGGGGCGCGATTCACACGAGCTTTTATGTCTGTGCAACAATACTAGGAGTACGTACCGAGCTATCTTCTAGATAACTCGATCTCGCCAGCAAAGCTCCATCATCTTCCGAAGAGGTCCATTAACACCAACTATCCCCTCCTTTCCGAGACACACGTCTGACCATCCCACTAGCAGAATCCATAGCTGGTAGCGACAGTTGCCACTCTGGGTCGAGCTGACTCGGTATCCCTGTCAATGTACTCTTGGGCTCTGGATCCTCATCTAGGGTGAAGATCACTATTGGTCCGCGCTATTTTATATGTGGCGAGCTGCATTGGCCCGGTCCCTTGACTGCCAAACCCCGAGGGCCGCTAATGCACGAACCCCTCAGCTGAAAAACGTTGGATTCACACTAGGCATACTTCTGACGGAGTCGTGCGACCGATGCAACATCGATTTTCCAAATAACTTACTGATTGGCCAGGTAATCAATTAACTTGAACCAGCCACTGGGCTGATGTTGATATTAACTACCCACCACGTCCTCACGATCAGCCATTCCCGCTTCATCGGTTAATGGGAAGATGACCCAGTTGCCGCTTGAATTAGCTATCTGCATAAAGGATCTGCTTGGCATCGGGCAACCGTGCTGCGCGCGGATATTAATTCCGTACGGCCCGGAAGATCTAGACTGCATCACCATGGATTGCTGCGGTCCATGCCATCCCAAGTCATGCACATGTCCACAATTGTTGGACAATCAGACTGTGCAGTTGGAGTACTAGTGCTTATCTTTCATACCCAGTCAAACTATCGCTATTTGCAGGAGAAAGTTACCAAAAATTCGAATCGAATTGGCCACATACTGGCAAGATGACATGCAGAATCTGGCGAATCACGTTTACCTGAGAAGCTATTATGAACGTCGCCAAGCTGGCGTGACTGATATGATGCTCAACAATTCCTCTCTTGGAGTCCTGCATTAGTCGTTCCCAGGATCTCACGAGTTGCACGCCACCTCTGCAACGTCAAGTGAGCGTCAAGTGCTTTCCACTATCTGTGCGGCTTCTTAGCCGTTGTCGGCATCGCCACCGCCCTGTAACTGGCGCCATTATGTAGCGAGGACCCTGGTCGACAATTTGAATCTGCTATCTGTGCTCGATTAGATTAATCAAGCGGGGTTCGAAGGGCCGGACTACCTTCTTGGTCCGATAGATGTTCCTTTTTGAGATTTGCGACATCGCAAACTGTGTGAGTATTTACCTCTGGATATGTGAGAGTGCTATAGGTTGTCTCATAATGAGTAGCACAATCAGTGCTCCTATTATAGCCAATAGTTTGAGATTTTCGGATGAGGCACACAAATCCCTCCTCAGGACATGTTTTTCGTGCTTCGCTGCTATCGCATCTGATCGTCCACCGTCATAACCTCAGAATACAAAGCCCCTAATCTTTTTACTATAGTCACGTACTAACATCCGATGGACTGTCTTATTGGTAGACAGCTGCGTTGCTGGGTAGCGCAACAAGTTTGTAGCCTGCGCCATGACGACTGAAGAGGTCAAGTGTTAGCTAAGCCTGGATGTTCAGTATGGCCTGTATAACAGAGGTTATAGTGCTATAATATCTCTCTCCAGGGCAATACAATCTTAATACTCGCTTTTGGGGCTTGTGACTTGCTTGAGATAGTCAAATAGGAAAGATTGTCCCACTATGATAACGAAACACCATCAACATAACGCTTTATCAGAAAGCTCAAAACCTCAGTTTGGAAGCAGTCTCATGCTGCCCGACAAATATCGCTAGAAGATTTCTCTGGAAATGCACTCTCTAACGTCGCAATATTCTCTCAACCATCGCTCCTTATTCCAACATGCAGGTCCCCAAGTACAAGCAAAAACCATACCGTTTATATGAAGGTTTGTTAGAGAATTTGAGCTTTGCAAATTATTAATGTAATTTCGCTCATCTGTTGTGAGTGGTCTCATAACACGACTGTGCTGAGCTAATACTATGCCGCGAGCCGAAACCTGTGCCTTTTCACGCAGATCAGCTCCCTAACATGAATAAGGTTACTTGGGCTGACCCGGGTGGTGTGAGAAAAAAAGTACCATCTCTCCCGTGGAACTCCTAGTCAATCAAAGTAAGAAACTCTAACTTTAAGGTCCACCATCATCTGACCTCGTATGTGTTATCCTATCACATCCCGAGACCGTACCCAACTCAACTTGGACCATGGTCCAGACTAGCTCCGTCCGTGTGGAAAACTGAGCCGAACTCTTAATTCATCTACGAAGACTAGTTCAGAGCATAAATTGGTTACGTGGCTCCTCATGATCTACCTCAAAAATATCCGTGAGGACAAATGACACGAATGAATGGCTTCATTTGACCGTGTCAACGATCTTAGCTTACTGTAACAGAACTAGGATGAATAGTCTACCCAGGGAGAGAGACGATGGATAATCCCACCCATTTCTATCCGTCTAAATGGCGATGACATATTAGCGACCGAGTAGATTACAACAGAGAAGAAACATATGCCATCATACTGACCAGATTTATCGTATGCCAGTGATGCTGTAAGCTGGTATAGGATATCAGTGCAGATCCGAGGCTCGCAGATAGTTCGCGGCTGACAAAGCTCAGGTAGTTGGATGGAGCAATATCAACAAAAGAAAGAAAAGGAAAGGGAAAAAGAGAAAATGAAAGCAGCAAAAGGAAAGGAAACTGAAAAAGAAAACAAACTAAAACAATGACTAGATGCCAGTGAAATGTGCAAAACGGTCACATTGCCAAAAAGCAATGGAGGATTGAAACTTTGCTTTTTTTTTTTTTTTTGTGACAAAATATCAAGATTTCCATTTATCACTTCGCTCCTCCGTCACCTTATCAAACGGTTGCCCTTTGGTGATCTCCTACTCCGCTGCCAGATCAAACCGCGTAGGCATCCAACATGGCTTCCGTCTTCCTTAGATCCTCATCAACTAACCAACCTTTGCTCTTCAACTCATCCACCAGTCTCCTCTGCTTAAACAAGGCCGAGGCACGATTGTTCGTCTTACAGGAAACCTCGACGATGTAATCAGTTCTCGAAGCCGAGGGATTCACCATGTACCAAACCTCAAGGTTGATCGGCTTATTATCCCACGAGCCGGAGTAGCGATCAACAAGAATCGGGCCATAAATGATCGACCGCTGCAAAGCATAAGTGCCCCAGTCATAAACCTTCCAATGTCTGAACTTATTTGGCACTTCCGTGCTTAGCATCTGCCGCATACTATCTGCTGGAGGGAAGTCTAGTTCGTCGGCTAGAAATCCATCTAGCTTCTTCTTGCTGGCCATGGACAATACTTTGTTTGCGTAGCCCCATTCAACCTGTGCTTTGAAGTCCCTACTGTCACCAGTGGGCTCATTGTTGAAGCCATGCCGGTTGGCATGGGTAAGGGTGCTATCAATATCATTGTTCGTGATTGGGTAGTGATGCTTGTACATGAACTCGATTGTGTCTTCGCCTTGAACCTTACGGGCGCTGACGCTCCAGCCGGCCTCGAAGATTTCCTTGGTTGGGGTGTCGAAGAATTCTATGCTCTCCTTGGTAGCGCTCGGCTGCATGTTGAAGGTAGATTGGACGTCATTGGTAAGTTGAATGCTTGGGGTGAGGATCTCGGCGGGTTCGAGAAGGAGTCGCACTTCGTAGTCAGGTGTCTTGTTTTGTGGTAGTATTCCGAACGGGCGCATGTGACTCATTGTGACGGAGACTCGTGGGGTGATTTTGTTTTAGTTAAGCGGTGGTTGCAAACGGGGAGCAGGAAACGGGGTGTAGGAGTGGTGATAATAACAGAGCCGGATCAACGACGGGGTTTATATCTGCAGCTGAAGTGTGGTGAATGAATGGTCTAAAGCAGGGTGTGTGAATGCCGGTGCCGGAAGATGCAGTTCCCGCTCCTTTGAGCACAAACGCTGTGGACTGATTGCATTCACTATATACTTATTTACGTTCTTCCAGGAGGCCTGTCATTGTGAAATGGGATATGCCATGGTTACCAAGCAGTAGTAGCAGTGCATTAGCTCAAGATGTAGTCTTGAAGGTTCCTCCCGGATCACGGACGGCAGCGGAGAGGATGCTCCCGCATGCCCCTCAAAAACCTTATTTCATATACTATGGATCTTGTATAATAGCTGTCGAGATAGGAGGTTTATGATGTATTGGCCTATCTTGGTGTGGATGGCGACCCAGTAAGAGACTCAAGATATTGCATTCTCCATGATGGTCTCGAGTAGGTTGGTCAGTTTCACCAAGAATTCAGGCGTTCATAGAGCAAAAGCCTATCACATAATGGTGCAAAGGTAACACTCGATGTATGTTGCACCCGATTTGTATGAGTGAGGCCAGGTCGATGACCGATATTCCCCGGTACCGTCACAATACTAGCTTCGGCGGATCCAGTGCCAACTCGAGACTAGCGCCGCGAAGCTTAATTCTGTGGGTGGATCTCTGCCCCGCTCACCCTGCCGGATCCGAGCTGCAGCTCGCACGGTCGGCATCTTGTCCTCGGGTCCCGCACAAACCATCGTCGCCAGGCCGGTCGGTCTCGATGAGTCTACACCACATACCATCACCTCTCTGTGGGTGAAATACGAGAGCCAAGCGATATAGCTGTGCGGGAAGCTTGATTGTACGAGATGCTTGAGACGTCATTCTCAGCCAGTCCGTGAAAGAAACCAATGCGATACTCGTATATCGTACTTACCACTCCAACTCTAAACAAATGATAATATTCCTAGTGATGCTAACTGGTAGCGATAAATAGCAACTCAGGGAAGGCAAAAACCGCACTGATCTGAAACTGCATCACCACCGCCATAGTACTCACCTACCTCAGCTGACTGAAACTCATTCAAGCCTCTTCCCAGTATCAGAAGAACATCATGCCCGTCCCCCACTACGGTGTCTGGGCTTGCCGCCCATTTGATTATTACGCCGAGGGCCGAGGCCAGCGCACTCCACACATCTACCTCTACTTCAGAGATGACTCGTCCGGCAAGCGAACTGCTGCCATCAACGTCAAATCTAACGGCAAAGAATCTCGTTTGGTCTACTGGGTTGATAAGGATTTCACCCATCCCGTCACCGACAAGCTCGACAGTCTGGAGCTGGGCTTTCACCTGATCCAAGATCCCACCAATAATAATAACAATGGGAATCAACATCGCCACCATACTCACCGTCACTTCCGATATAGCCATTTTACACCGAGTGACCCCGATTTGGAAGGGCTTGACTTTTACCGCACAAAAGGCCTCGTGAACATTCTTGCAGGCGAAGTCCTGAAATATGATATCGCAGGACCTGATAATGATATCTTAGATAAGCTGGAGCCCATTCTCCAGGCTGCGATCGCTGATGGTGACGCGACCGCCTATATCTTTGGCGCGTCGTTTGGTTCCGGGATTCATAACATCCATATGAACCAGGGCAGTCTTCCCAAGTATGACAACGGGATTTACTCGGATGGCGGATTGCTGTTCAGGTTCTCTGACGGCCACTGGGAGGCAGTGTTTCTGGCCTTTGCTTCTCAGAGGCTTCCAACTGGTGATGATGGAGAGGCGGAGAGAGGTAGTGAGACCTTGTTGCAGATTATTCAGGAGGCGGTGCGGTCGTGAGGTCTGGAAGATAGTGGTAATAAGTATGCAGTTGCGTCGAAACAGATTGATACTACTACGCAATAGTATGGGCCCACTTGAAGTTTTCTTTAAATGTAACGATGTCGAATAGCACAGATTAATTCCATCTCTGGTGACTGCCTACAGAGTCAAATTTAATAGCGTACATGGCGGCCCGTCCGCTCAATAGCATTTCTGATGATTTCACTAGAAGTGGTTCTATTGGTTTACACGTAGTTTTTATCGTAGCAAATTCTATAGCTACTAGTACCTTGAAATGACGGTGAGGGATTGTATGGCTGACAGTGACATGGTGGTTGAAAACACTGTGTCTAGGTCAGCGTTGTAAACTAGTACTGAAATATATATTGTACTACTCACTGGCGGGAAACTTAACATAACCTAATGAAGCCTTTGAACCTGGTTGCATCATTCTATCTGTTTGAAAGCTATCTTTGAGATCCTGATCAACAGCCCTTGTTTGCTTCCTTACAGAGACAAAATAAAGGTAAAATGCTGTTGTAAGCCCATCGAGGAGAACAGGCGAACAAACAGATTAATAAAAGTTTTGTGTGTTAGCTTGGATTTTGATTTTCCTCAGCGAGCGGGCCGAAAATCAGCAAAAAAGAAAGCCCAACGCGGGGCTCGAACCCGCAGCCTTGAGATTAAGAGTCTCACGCTCTACCGATTGAGCTAGCCGGGCTAGTTTGGTGAAAGATGATTGCCTTATAAGTGTATATATTCCTTACCCAAAGCACTTGGGTTTGCCATTTCATCGTCTGCTGGCGGAAAGTTGGCGCTGGCAAGGGCGCCGCCGGTTCACGCCCCCAGATCCGATGGACACATGCTGCTTTGCTGTACGTAAGCGTCGTCACTGTCTTTTAGGAATGAAATATCGGACTTCTGCCTGAAATCCGTTCCTTTCAGCTCTCGCTGTAAACTGGGAATGTCCGCATGGGGATGACTCTACCTGCATACGCCCATCCCGACATGGCCTGTAAAGAACGTAGTTGTTTTCATTCGGACCGGGGATATACCTTGACTATCCTTTCTTATTTGGTGAGAATCTCCTTGGCAGAAACTCAGCTGGAAGGTGGCGCTCCATGTGCCATACCTTTTATCATTGGCTTCCTGCATGTTTGATTCCACATCGTGCACACAGGCCACGAGTATGGTCGAAGAGACGCCGATAAATTGCCCCGAGCTCGATTAATGCACGCATAACATCTTCTTATACAACTATCCAAGGCGAAACTAGGATGTGAGACTTTATGACGGGATATGTTTGGGCCACGAGGGTTACTGTCTTATCAACAAACATGATTGGGAAGCTGTAGCCGGAACATACATGGCAAACATCACTTCTCAGGATAATCGAGATTATACCGGACCGGCCTGAACTGTGTGCTCCCTCGGACTGCAGCGATTATAAATTGAACTTCTAGTGCCCGCCCACCTTTGATGTAGCACAACTGGTTGACTTATTTCAAATCGCGCCCGCCATGGAACTCAAAGTCGACGTCAAAGAGCATGGCAACCCTCTTAGCCTAGGCACGTCGATCATCCTGCTTGCTCTTGTACTCATATTTCTCCTCCGATGGGGAGATACATCGGCCTCGCAGAACGGACTGCCCCTGATCAATGCAAAGAGACGGTTCGAATTCGTCGACTTGCTAGCCAAGAAACGGTTCATCACAAACGCGCAAGAACTGCTCAAGGCCGGTTTGAAAAAGGTACGCCGTTCCTATTTGCAGCGATCAATAGGGTAATTGACCACATCAAGGCAAGTGTATTCAACATCGTCACCGAAAATGGGGTCATGATGGTCCTAGACCCCAAATACGCCGATGAAATTCGCAACTCAAAAACCCTGAGCCTCCGCAAGACCCTGATAGAGGACATGCACGTCAATGTTCCTGGGTTCGAGCAACAGATGCAAGCTCTGGAAGATGATGAGATCTTCCAGACTACTTTGAAGACAAAATTGACCCGAAACTTGGGTGAGCTTCTTCAGAACCTGTGCCGATCAACGACTGACCAGAACAGAGGATCTGAATGAGATATTGTCTCGGGAGGCAACCGTCGCACTGCAAGAACATTGGACTGATAATCCCGGTATCATTATTCATGTTCACCGGCATCTGTATGAGGTGATGAAACTGACGCCTATCAGAATGGCATGAAATTCCCCTGAGTAGATCCATGCTCAAAATCATCGCTCAACTCAGCTCGCGAGTCTTCCTAGGTGACAAGATCTGCCACAACCCCAAATGGCTACGAATTTCTGTCGACTACTCAATCGACCTATTTCAAGCAACCTTTGAGCTGCGCATCTATCCTCGCTTTCTCCGCCCCTTGGCATCCAGGTTCCAGCCATCTTGTCGAAGGCTTCGTGCCGACATACGAGAGGCTCGAAGCATTATCGAGCCCGTCATAGAAGAACGTCGAAAAGCCAAAGCCATCGCAAAACAAGAAGGTCGAGATCCAGAACGCCATGAAGATACAATAGAGTGGTTGGAGGAGGTTGCGAATGGGAGACAGTATAATCCTGTGTCTGCGCAGTTGTTGCTTTCGAGTGCGGCCGTGCATACAAGCTCCGATATGCTCACTCAGGTATTATACGATTTAGACGGGCGGCAAGAGCTGATTGAAGCACTGCGAGAGGAGATCAGATTTGTTTTCAAGAATGGCTGGGAAAGGTCCTCGTTGGCGAAGCTGCGGTTGATGGATAGTGTGTTGAAGGAGAGTCAGCGCTTGAAGCCTATTAGTAGCGGTATGACATCCCTTTCTTCTTTTTCTCCTCACCCCCCAACAATGAAGCATAGATCTGCCACCCTTTCTGTCGTTGATCCTTTCATGATTCATCGGTAGGTTTACCTCTAAGCTAACATACCCACCACCAAGTCTCCATGCGCCGCATGGCCGAAGCACCCGTCACCTTATCTGACGGCACCATTATCCCGAAAGACTGCAAGATCATTGTTCCCTGCCTCCGACAATGGGACGAGAAATACTATCCTGACCCTGAGACCTTTACCCCCGACCGATTTCTCAAGCTCAGAAACGAGCCTGGCTACGAGCACACCGCAGCCTTTGCCAACTCATCCCCGAATCACCTAGGCTTCGGACTGGGGCGACACGCATGTCCGGGAAGATTTTTTGCGGCGAACGAAATAAAATTAGCGTTGTGCCATATCCTGATGAAGTATGAGTTTAGAGTTGTCGGGAAAAAGCCCGAGAAGGTAGTGTTTGGGACGATGCTGGCCGCGGATCCGAATGGGGTGATTGCGGTTAGAAGGAGGAAGGGCGAGGAACAGATTCGCCTGTAATTGTAGTGAGCTATCGCACCTGAATGTTCATGTTGACTTTGTGCGTATCGCGCTTCTCGACAATAAATACTCCTGTTCAAAGCTGTGCTCATGCGCCCTCTTGGACTCGTCTTCTTACCCCTCATGAGCCCCGTGCCCCGAAGATCACCTTCATGGCCAATTACCGTGGATGAACTTCGCGCATGATGGCAGACACCGCATCCTGTAACACTTCGTGGACCAATATCTTATGTGCGATCGGAATATCAACATGTCGCTGTGTTTCCTTCTGCTGGTAGTATTTAACGCTCGCCGAGAAGGGTGTATCACAAGAATTATAGGAGTACAGGCTCGTCAAACCACCCCACTTCCTTGGGCCATGTAGATGTAACAGCTTCGAGGGCCGTACAGACTCCTGTGGCAGTCACGGCATTATTCACTGCGGGCACGTCACTGGTGTCTCCATCGAAGAAGTGGGCCTAAAGGGTAATGGGAATAAGCATGATCGTATGAAAGGTGGGTGGTTGTGGGAGATGCATGCTGATAAATCTACGAATGGGTGGTGGGGTGGTGGGAATAACGCCATCACGCTTGCAGGTGAACTCATCCACTAGTAGCTAGCCACCTTGGCAACATGAGAGATTTCGGACTGAAGCCGCAAGGCTTCCACGAATTCACCGGTATATAAGCCGTTTCGTCTTCGGCGAAGATTTATGGCTTGAAAGGTTGGATTTGCCATCGACATGGGCCGTGACACGATTTCCCAGGTGACGATCGAGACGGATGCGTCTCGCTCTCGCGATGACAGCCTCAAGGCCGAAGAGAGACTCTCTGTCAACGAAAACCATGTGCTTCAGGATCGCAAGATTGGAGTGCTGGGAGCCATCTCTTTGGTTGTCAATAAGATAGTTGGCGCTGGGTAGGTCCATTGATACCTCCGACCATTCCGCCATTACTATCCAGAGCTTAAGAGTCGCTAACAGCGAGTAGAATCTTCTCTACACCATCCACTATCTTCAAACTCTCTGGCAGTGTGGGCTTGTCGCTGATACTCTGGGTAGTGGCCGGAATCATCTCCACCTGCGGTGCCCTGGTGATGCTGGAATTCGGCAGCGGGATGCCTCGATCGGGAGGCATCAAAGTATATCTAGAGCGATGCTTCTCCCCAAAGCAGATGCAGACGTGCATCTACCTGTTCTTCTGCTTGTTTCTGCAGGTCTCTGCCAGCAACGCAATCACCGCATCGGAATATCTGCTGTCCGCTGCTGGGGTAGACTCTACGACCTGGAAGGAACGAGGGCTAGCCATTGCGGCCGTGTCATTTGCCGTCGGCGTCCACACCTGCGCTCCCCGGATCGGGCGCGCAATGCAGGATCTGCTGAGTATGGTCAAGCTCTTCACTTTACTGTTCATCGTGTGTACGGGTTTTGCCGCTCTGGCTGGCCATCGACACATCCCTAATCCTCACAACTTCGACGTGAAGACATCCTTTGAGGGCACTTCGAACAATGGATATGATATTGGTACGGCTCTACTGGACGCGATCTTCTCGTACCAGGGGTACGATAATGTGAATGCGGTCCTCTCCGAGGTCAAGAACCCAGAACATACCCTGCGCATTGCCCTCCCATCCGCCATGGGGATCATCACGGTGTTGTACGTTCTTGCTAATGTAGCCTACGTGAGTCCTCTCCCTCCCGTCGAGATGTTCTTGGGATATAGTGGCTTATTCATCTTTCCCATTCACAGTTTGCTGGAGTCTCCAAGGAAGAATTCCGATCAGCCAATGTCACGATTGCCGCCAGCCTATTCCGCAACGTATTCGGCGAGACAGCCGCAACGCGAGCTCTTCCTGCTCTCGTTGCTCTGTCTGCCATCGGCCATTTGTTGGGAGTTGCGTTTGTCGTCCGTAAGTCAAGACTCATGTTAGCTTTATATTTCCGGTTGAACTAAGAATCTCCGAATCAGCGCGTTTGCTTCAAGAACTCGCGAAAGACGGTATCACCCCGTTTCCCAACATCATGATGCAGAACCGACCATTCAAGACCCCGATCGCAGCACTGTTCGTGCATCTCTGCGTCACGATTCTGTTTATCTGCGCTCCGCCCGCAGGAGATGCCTTTTCTTTCGTCGTTGGACTTTCCTCCTATCCGATGTGCGTGATGTTGACGGCCATTACGGTGGGTCTGGTGAAGATGCGATTCACGCCGTCCGAGGGGTGGTCGTCGTCCTACAGCGCGCCATGGCCGGTCATTGTGTTTTACCTGGCGGCCAATGTTGTATGTTTACCTCAATCTCCTCGTTTTGATATATCATCATGCTAACGAAATTGGGATCTACAGTTCCTATTAGTTATGCCGTTCGTTCCGCCTAATTCGAGCAAATCTAGCATCCCTTATTGGCTGAGTCCTGTAGTAGCATTAGGGATCCTCGGGCTCGGTGTGATATACTACCTTTTACGGTTCGTTCTATTGCCGTGGGTGTTCGGCTACAGCCTTCGTCCAGTGACGAAAGACTTGACGGACGGGTCGCGGGTTGTGCGCTATCGTATGCAGAAGAACAGTTCTCGCGAAGGGACTGTCGAGACTTTTGATTAAATGTTTTGTTGGAGGAATTGATACAGGCTCAGAGCTGTCTTGACCAACCTTCCGATTTGGCTTCGAAATGATAAAGAAATGTATATGTAACCACGCAAGACGATGCGAGTCGAAATCGCGGCATTATCGGGATCTAGCACAGCTCCCACCCCCCAACCCAAAAAGAAGATAGGGGAGAAACAAAAAAAGCCTTTTGCCTCCCACTTTCTGGAAAGTCGATCTGCATGAGGTATAGTAGGCGTATGTATGGGAACAGTGAGAGGGTGCTAGAGCCGCCCTGACCCAGCTAAACCAAATTTGCACTATCACTATCAGCCATCAACCTGTCCACCAGACGACGAAAACTTTGTGTCGTGTCCAGCGTATCCTTGCTGTCTTCAGGCCACGCAGCCGATGGATGCTTAACAAGAGCCTTGGCAACACACCAGAATTCGGCGGCATGGATGATAAAACCGGCTCGTTTGGCAGTACCTGGTTCGATGCCTTGGCACAATGAATCCCAGTGGATTTTCCACCGATCTAAGGCACGTTCTACGGGTTCAAATACGCGAGTGTCATCCATAAATGTGTGTAGGGCTAATAGATCGAACAGAATGCATTGTATAGCTGGAAACATTTCAGTTAGATTTTATTGATCGATTACGGGAAATGACAAATTGTGTCGAGCAGCCTTACCTGAGAGAACAAGAAATGACCCGAAGATAGTATTGGGAAAGTAGTTCTCCTGTTGGGGAGAGCGCCCCTCAGGTCTCATAAAGTCGCGGAGCGCATTTCGCAATGGTAGGGGTTCATGGGGCTGCTGATCCTTCAAAAATAGTTGCTCCCATTCAGTGGCGCTTTGAGCATGGAATAAGTCATCCCGTTGCGGTATTTCGAAAGCTATCTCATCGAGTCTGAGAAGCGTTGGATACCGAAAGAAGATGACGCAATAACTGTCCAGCAGGTAGATACCGGAAACAACTCTGGGACATATTATCAGTGGAATAGATCATGGAGTTTCGGAGGTGATTTATGCCCACCTGACAAGGCCCTCCCGCAGAAGGTACGTGTCCCAATCTGAAGCACCAGGAAGGCAGTCATTCACAATCTTATTCAACTCAAGCATACGAATGACAGTGAATATAGTCGGCATGCGTTGCAATCGAATCCGTCGCATACTATCAGGGCTCTCTTTGTAGGACTGCAAGATGATGACAAGCATTGCGGCTTGGAGAGTCTCTAGCGTCCCGCGGGAATTTAGGGAGTCACCCTTCCCAAGTAACAATTCTTTGAAAGCTGGTCCTTCGAAGACCAGGTGTTCGGTGGCATTTGAATATGCTGCCAAATCATCCGAATAATAAGGGTTACTATAAACGGCCCCCAATAGCACCATTGTGAGAACAAGAAGCTTTGAGGCTTTGTTCAGGTTGAATGCTGCTGGGTTGAGGTAGTGGGTGTGGAATGCATTCTCCAGGAATGCTTCAATGAATTTGGCAATATTGAGGGGAGTAAATATTTGTCTAGCCTTATCGATGTCCAGGATGTCCTGACTCAATGCATCTTGTTGCTCGCAGCTGGCAAGAATTCCTAGGAGCTCGGCGGAAGTGCTCTCAAGATCTGCAGGGTCAAACGGGTAGGTAGCACTCGTTTGCAAGTCGCATGGCGGGTCCAGATTAGCAGTACATATGAAAGAATGAAACAACGTTTCCCAAGAGTCCGTGAGGAAGTTCGAATTGTTCGGTTGATGGTTCACAGCACAACAACCGACTCTCGGATCTGCACCGGTACATTGTGATAGGAGACGGAGACCTTCGTATTTCGATTCGTTCTCCACATTTGTATAATGCAGAAGAAACGGTATTGATAGCTTTACGGGGCGAGGGCTTGGATCGACTTCTGTTGGAGGATTGATTTCTTTCGGCAATTGACGAGTTGGGCTTTGGCTAGGCTGAGAAGATCTGGGTGGCTGCTCGTACGTGCGGCTGAACGAGCAATCTAGACCCTTGTGTAAACAGGTCTCGCAAGGTAGCTCTCCATCGCAAAATACTCGCGCCGTAGCGCACGCGTTGCAAGACTTGCGCTTTCTCCCTGGTTTGCCTTGAGTCGGAGGTTGATAATCTCCTTTTTGCCCGCATCTTTGAAGATGGCGACGGAGAACGTCACTGGAGGTTAGAAATAAGTTAGAACTACTCGGCCACGAATGATCCAGAGGACGGGAATACCTTCTCCGAAAGGCACCGGCACAAAATGGACAGGCTAGTTTGTCCGAGGGTCCGTCTAGCTAAAATCAGTTACCGGGATGAGTGCAGGGCGGGCGTCGCTTACGGCTTGCTTCATGTCGTCGCAGGTGGCTTTGGGTGGAGAATACTTTCTGGCATACGGCACACTTCAAAGAGGAGCATTTTCCCGAAGTAGTCCGCGTACTCAATGGTCTTTGATGTGGCACTGGTGACATTGTTCAAGGGAATTTTGAGTGATGAGTCTAGCGAAGTGAAATTTTGGGGGTGGAAGTTCGGGAAGCTTTCCAGCGAATGTGGGGACGGTGGCAAATGACCAGTTGGAGCCATATCATTACATCCAATTTGGATGTGCCTTAACCACGCCATTATGCGAGCCGACTCGGGGCAATCAAAATCGCGTCGATTCTTGCCCGTCTTTAGGGAAATTGGTGTGGTTACGGGCACAATAACAGTGGAGATACGTTGACTTGCTTATTCCGCTGTGCCGAGTAGTCGGGAAAACCCACATGCTAGTCGGGAAATGATCCACATCAAAGTATAACCCCCAGGGGGGTTCAGGTACCAAGACCATTACGTTCGAGACCTGATCAGTAGCAACTATCCAAGACATTATGGGACATATATTGAGATCTGGCTCATCTTTCAGGATCAGGAATGGTAGGTGTGACTGTCACACTTTGGGAGACTTACTGACTCAACAGGGGTTTTATCCCAACGCCTACGATCGCATTTAGGCGCGACTTTCGTGACACCTTCTGGATCTTACCTTCTCTCTCGCCGTGCACTGTCTTCGGGAAATCTTAAGGCGGCTGCCACTTCACAGCAAGATCAGGGGAGCGCTCCACCAACGTCTACAGCTCTTTCGGCTGAGAAACGACCGATGAACATGGCCGAACATGTCCTGTAAACAATTCAACTTGCTTGTCACCTCAAAGAACAGTGCGCTGACTTCTCAAGTACTACCTTTGATCAAATAGTCAATTGGGCCCGTCAAGGCTCACTGTGGCCTCTCAGTTTCGGTCTAGCGTGTTGCGCGATCGAAATGATGCACGTGTCCATGCCACGATACGACCAAGATCGTCTGGGTATCATCTTTCGAGCCTCTCCTCGACAATCCGATGTGATGATTGTGGCGGGAACAGTGACAAATAAGATGGCTCCTGCTCTAAGGCAGTGCTATGATCAGATGCCTGAGCCTAGATGGGTCATCAGCATGGGCAGCTGTGCTAATGGTGGAGGGTACTACCATTATAGTTATAGTATCGTTCGGGGTGTGGATCGCATTGTCCCCGTGGACGTTTATATACCTGGGTGTCCTCCTACGGCGGAAGCAACTCTCTATGGGGTATTCCAATTACAGAAGAAGATAAAAAGGACCCGGATTACGCGGATGTGGTATCGAAGGTGATTGATGTTCCTCGACAATTGTTCCCACCACGCCGATTTAGCCATCAATTTTGTTTTCACTACTCGTTGAGAAATCTATGTTTGATGTCTATGAAAATGTCAAGGGAGCGTAACGTTAAAATATTACATGTCGAAGCACTAACCGCTAGACCAAAAACGATAAACCGCTCTTAGTTAGCTAGGCGACGGACAGATATCTGTCCCAACATTACATATCCCAAGTGACATGCACGTCTGAAGCGGGGTCACCGCTCCTGAAATTGACATGCTAATCACAGTAATCACATATGGTATTCATCCCTATTTCCGATTCGCTACTGGTTCTTCTCCTCAACTCGCTGACCTGAAATGTCTCGCATCATGCAGTAGCGCTGTTAAAAGTACCGAGTCCCAACGAAGCCGATTGGTGGAAAGGGCGATCAAGAGCTTCACGGCCACACTCACAAGCAATAATACAGTCAACCTTTAGCTTGCGTGTTCATGCAAGGCGACGAGGCTAGCTTCAACTAATGCAATGTGGCTTATCACACGTGCCAAAAGCAAGGTCATATGGATGGGCGCCGTATATTGGCTGGACGTGGGTGTGGAAGCAAATCTGAGATTGCCCAATAAGTGCCATTGATGACAGATTGTTTGCTACGCCTCCCGGTCTCGAAATCAGCGTGTGCGCGGAGGTCAGTACCAATTCAGATAGTGCAACTCGGTTTGTCCACCCGTGTTGGATGGCGACCCCGCAGTATGAGCACGAGGATTGCTGTCCGTCACCAAGAAACAAGCTTTGCCCCTGGCAGCCTAAGCTTTTCATGTTCAACGGATAGTCCGGATGGTATCAGGCGCCTCAGCCGTAAGCAGTATCATGTGGACTGTAGCCTTTCTAGCAATAAGCTGACTCGGTGGTATACGATTGCGATGAAAACCCGCGAAATATAAGAGGTAAGCACTTTCCAGTATCAGTTGGATGAAACAAGACCATCTGAGTACTCTTCCTGACCACGTTACACTGTCCACGACTGAGGCACCATGACTATTCCTTTGACCGTAGCAGCACTAGCTGCCATTGTTATTCAATTGGCTACAGCCTCTCCCCTCATGGATACTCTCCTGCAAATACCTGATTTATCTACCTACGCCGAGGTGTACAACCTGACCGGCGGCATCGTGGAGATCAATCCACTATTCCTCAAGCGCTACAACTACGACGAAGACAAACGTAACTACACATTCCTTGCGCCCACCAATGATGTAAGCTTTCATCCATCCTGTCAAATTATCGCACACAGACGTTTAACCAGTCAAACGCATAGGCATGGGCCAAGATTCCCGACGCCATCTTCACAACTCTCATGACTCAACAAGCCTATCCTTTAACCGAGGCACTTCTGCGCACGCACATCATCGAGGCTCGTCTTACGGCAACCGAGCTTGTCAAGGTGTCTGAAAGCGAAGGCGCAGGAGGAATTTCTACTTCACTCCAGCTGTCCAATACTACCGAGCAATACCACAACGGTGTTTTGACCAAAACGGTGCAGGGATACTACATTGACTCTGTCATTTCCTCAAATGGTACCGTCCAGATTGATGATCAAGCTGCTATCGTGACGGCGAATATTGTTGCAGACAATGGCTTGATCCATGCAATCGATCAGGTCATTGACCCTTTCCTGATTTATGGCGGTGGACCCAGCAATCGGACATTGGCGCCAACCAGTGAGACAACAAACTTGACCATCGGAGAGTTACTGAAGAGTGACTCGCGCCTTGTGAATTCTTCGAAGATCCTTACTGAGAATTCCCCGGATACATTGCGACGTTTGTCGAAACAGACGGGGAGTATGCAGTTCTTCGTTGCTCCACAAAATGAGGCTTATGACCTGATGCCTACGATCCTTCCCATATTTCGTGAGTTCCCCCTTCCACAGTTGCTGTATATTATGAGCCATGGTGATTATTGACCCATGTTCATCTCGAACAGACACCCTCGTTGCGCCATACAAAAGCCCGTTCAACACTCTAATGTGGCAATATGGCTGGCTTGACAGTGATGGCGAGACCTTTGCTGATCTGAATTTCACCCGTCCTGTCACAGTAGCCAGTGACGTCACAGGGCTGAATATCACCGTCACCCAAGAGAAGAGTGCCATCTTTATCATGAACGCAGGTCTTGTCACACAAGTGAAGGCAGCCAATGGATACCTCTGGATTGTGGATAGGTGGTTAGATCCCTTATATGAGGCCTTTGGTCCCATTAACCGATTTGGCGAACCTGAGTGGCCATGAGATTGGATATCTATTTTGTTCTTGTCAGGGATGATGACACACAATTGGATGTCGAAATGCGGAATATCAGTACATAGTACTAAATCATCGATTGCGTAACATATAATTGATCTTTGTATTGTAATTTATTTTAAGAGTGCGGCGAGAAGACGACTGCTTTGGTGGAAGACAGTAACAATGACAGCTCATGGAACGAGCAGCTACTGAAATACTAATCAGTACACGTCCCATTTGATTCCACTTTTGCAAAAAGGTCAACAAAATATATCTTCCCAGACAACCGAGTGGGTGAGGTACTCCGAAGGGTACACAATGTCTGAGCTTTCGGAACGTATCGACGGCGAGACATCGACGATATTGCGTTCCTCGGAGAGCAAGGTCGTTCGCGCCTTAGGCTGCTAATTCGGTCTCTCATCCACTACAACCCGGGCTCTTCACCACTCATCGGTCGGTATTAGTAGCTGGAAGTTACAGATTCCATCTGGTCTGCGTACATCCTCAAGAATCGCTGTCTTGCAAAACACCACCCAATCGTCGAACCCGCATACTCCGTCAACCTTGTAGCCACTTATCCGTAAAGTATCCCGTCACGAACGCAAAGACGCCCTTGTGAATAATATCAATGACTTGCTCATTAACAGGCCAGGTCCTGTAGCTAGTTAGTGTCTTGCTCTAATGAAGTCCTTTGTATAAGGTGTTAAATGCAACTCACCATGGAAGTGCCCCAACACCAGTCACATTCTCCAAGGTTTGATCAATCATCAGCCGTATAGAAATAAACATAAAATCTGCAAATGGCCCGCGAACGCCATATGCGCTCATAAGCGCTCTAATGATTGCCGCAGCTGCTCCCTGTCCATAGTGCATCGCCATGTTCAATCCGAAACGCTCGGAATCCGGCCTGACGGGAAGTCTGAGAAGGCGCTCTAGGGTGTGACCAGGTACATATGAATTTGGCCGACCAGTGAAATATTGCTCGATTTTCTCTCCGACGGTCATTCTGTAAAGTGGTGAGGCGATTAGTCGTTATTCATGATGAGGTGGTTATCGGACTTACGCGGCGACGCCGAGCAGTCCTGCTCCGCAGCCGTAGATGATGCAGCTCCCTAGTGAGGACGGTCGGGGCGGCTGCTCAGGAATGGTGGTGCGACGAGACATGTTGTATTTTTTAAATTGGTGCTGAGCTATTAGTATATTGTTGGGGCTATGAAGCTGGAATTTATGAGGGCGGAAGTCGATAGCTGATATAGCGATCCGTGGGGTGCAGGGAATGGCGTAGGGATGACGCATGCGAGTTTATCCGGCGAGTATCAGCCACCCCAAATCGACCCTCTTCTACGAACCTGAAGGATAGACAGTAATTATGTTTGGGCCCATATATTAATTCACATGCTCTGCGATACGGCATATAGTATGAATGGGCGATGTTACAACTGCACTTTTGAACCTTAGCGGATTATTGAAAATGAACGTTTTCGCACCGCATTGAAACGAAGTCCATACACAGGCAAAATAATAGTTTCAACAGCTTCAACTGCGACATGGTCACTGAACGATGAAAGAATTATCAATTTATGCAATCGAGACGCGAAAGCAAGTTGTTTGCCAGCTGCACTATCTCCCCTTCGCAGTATATAGCTCACACGCAGCGCTGCCCATCAACGAAGATTCAGACGAGCACGCAGATCCAACAAGAAAGAGGTCAACATTCGCGATATCCAATGATTAAACAAGGCGTCCAATTGGGATAACCCCACACTTGGCTTTAATGGCCTTCGCAGGAACAGGCCCGTCGGGAAATCCAGCAGGTTCAATCAGCAAGGGGTAAATTGGCAGATTTAACCGGGTACAACACGAACATTGAGTCGACCCAAGGCCAGTATGGTCCTTTTTCTAAAACAAAGGTAGTACGTATGACCACAGGGTATGGAAAACAGGGCTTCCTGTTCGCTCAGCCGCATTTAAGCTATACTAGGTGAATGTGGCAGACTGGCAGATGAGCCTATTGTAGATGGTGAGCTTGTGCAAAGATGAAGAAGCGCTATTGCAAAAGAGTCAAGCCCCATGAAGATTGAGTCTTGCGGCTTTACAGCCCTTACGAATGCAAAAGCCCATCGATTCACCCTCTTCCGTCGTATCCTGTTTATTGAAAGGCATTTCCTTAGTAAAGCTCGGTTACCTAAAATCGGGGGGATGCTCAATATCGACCATACAGGAACGAGGTCGGATATTTCGCGGACTTAATTATTCAATGTATCGAATTACTCCTCAGGCAGGTTCTCCCACGCACTATCCTTACCCCTGCTTCGGTTCCGGAGTCTAGATTGGTAAAGCTATCTGCTCACCCCTTCATATCTTCACTCCTTCTTACTTCCCGTTGTCGTATACTCCCCAATCTGCGGTGGAAGTTCAATGGAGCAGTCCTCTCCCCCAACCCCGGGCCATTAAATAGAAGCAGCGCTTACTCGTGGGCCCTGATACCGGCAAGATGCTGACCGGCCCGGTTGTCGATTTGTTTAAGACAAACTATTTACCGTCGCTTCCGCCAATCATATCGATTTGCGCCGGCGGGGTCGTCGAAACCTGTGGAGCAGATAAGGATCTCCATAAAGATCATGGATAGTATAGGCTTGCCTTGAGCGCCGCCTCATTAGGCATCTTACCGAGAATACTTGCCGTAGATCCATCGCATGGTCACTCGGGGGTTGTGGTAATTTGTCTATATATGGATACGCAAACGGTGAGACGAACTTTCTTCACCTCACTCAAGCAAAAGCCTAACAAACCTAAAAACAGACCTCAACCGTAGATAGCCCGACCTTCAGAAGCAGACTCCCGCCACAATATGACTTGTCTCTTTGTCTTCCCCAGTCTTCTATCGGCCCTTTTGTTGAACCTAGCAGGCTTTAGTATAAAAGGACCCCAAGCTCGTAAGTTGTGAAATGCTAGCTGCGAAAATTAATTGAACCTGACGACCATCAAACTCCTGTGCTGCGTTCCTACAGTCGATGATTGGCAATGTTTCCAGATGTGATTTCTGCTTATACGCAAATTGCAGGCATGGGAGGTTACGGATTGGTATGGGTACAAAGCCTTATTCGCATAGGTACTCTTTTTCCTATTCTCAAGAAAATTGATATCTGTTGAGAACCACAGTCCTTGGATTGGAACATCCTACACTGGGGATACACGCAGCACTTTTCTCCCTAAAAGTCAAAGCAGCGTGTGATCAACTGCAGTCAAAACTTTGAACGATTTCTCCCATTTTCGTCCCAATTGTAAGAGAATATCATCCGGAAATTCCTGATGAACCTTTTCTTCCGCGTAATCGAGAGGACTCTTACCAAAAGAGTCCCTGGTGTGCAAATCCAAAACACCACGGCGTCGAAGAATCTCTATGAGTTCCTCAGTAAACGCGCCATGAATCGCCCCGTAGTGCATAAAGGTCTTCCCATCGACATCCCGCGCTGTCAGGTCCACGCCCCTATCGAACAAGTAATTGAGGATCTCGTTTTCTGCGCCCCTGTGTCGCATTGAGAGATGCAGCAAATTTTGTCGTCGTGCATTGACCCATAGTGGATTGGCGCCTTGCTTGACAAGGTGGGAGAACATCTCTCTCTCAAGTCCCAGGCGGAACGAACCCACGTACAATCCTAAGGAAGAGTTCCCACCATTATCGGGTTGATTCACGTCGCAGCCAGCCTGTATCAGGAAGTCAACCACGTCAGTGTAGCAGAAGACGGATGAGACATGGTGGTGCAACGGGGTCCTGCCGTGGCGATCTAATGTATCCCAGACTCCCGAGAGCGCCTTGTCGCATGCCTGTGACATGTACTGCAGTACTTCTAAATGGCCTTCCTTCAACGCGTAGTGAAACGGACTCATTCCGTCAATATCTTCTAACAAGATATCTTGGCCTTCATCCACAAGTCGGCGGACAACCTCCAAATTTCCTGCCTTGCTGGCAAGGTGGAGACAAGTCTGACGAGATCCATTCAGCCGTGCAATATCAGCTCCTTTTTCCATATGTTTGCATAAGACCTGCAAAGCATAATCCTTAGTGAAATTGATCAAATGCTGAGCATATTCCCCACAAGAGTTAGCCACGTTGATATCAATGACTTTACTCTCAAGGAGTGTGTCAACAATTTGCACTCTAGCTTGATCGATAGCTCGGTATATATCATCAGCTTCTTCACTTGCTGGATTCATAATCAGGTCCTTTAGAGACTCAATCGCGTATGTACCTTTTCCCCATGCATCGTGGCATTCGCGGCCCAGGAGTCCACACCTGATGGCAAGATGTAGCGGGGTATCTCCAGCTTCAGAGCGGACGTTTGGATCAGCACCATTTCGGAGTAAGAAAGCGGTCATTTTGGTACAGGCATTCAATGCAGAGAAATGAAGGACTGTTAGGCCAGTTTCTAGAATCGGTGCAGCTACCTCTTTCTCTGTCTTGGGCCTCGTGTATGCAGGAAATGCCATTGTTGTTCGCCCAGGCCACCATTGTCTTTGGATCTTGGTATCCAGGTCGTAACCATATCGAAGGAAGACTTGTGCAAATCCTTCGTCGAGATTTGCAACTGCATAAAAGAAAGGCGTCATGTTATCTTTATCGCAGTCATATGGGGACACTCCTTTGTCAAGCAGAAACTTGGTCATTGTGTTGTCGTTATAGTTTCCGTTGTTGCAAAGGATATGGAGAATATTCTGATCCTCATCATCTAGGGCCTTCACATTGACACCGGACTCGACCAAAAATCGGATGGTTTTGACTTGAGCATTTCTCGCCGCAACAAGTAATGGGGTCCGTCCGCTGGGGTCCTTATACTCCAGTGTGCCTGGAGAAAGATAGGTGAATACTGGAAGGATCCCCCAGCGAGCTACAACGTGAACAAGACCATGACCATCACGTAAGCCGTAACCAGTGCCCCTGGTCAGGTGGTTAAAATTATCCAACCAGCACTTCCATGCTCCGTATCGGTTCTCAAAAAACTCTCTGTGCTCCTTCTGGATGACGAATTCTGTTTCGGCAAGGCCAGCATGCTTTGGCCAATTCATGACTGCATAGCAAAAAAAGGCCTGTTCGGGGACCAACGCAGCATGCTGTGCTTTCATCCGGCTATTCTCAAGAATGGCTTTAATGCATCTACATGATAGTGCATAGTTGGCCACCAGTTCCTTCATCTCCGACATCTCAGTCATCAGGAAATCCTTGACTGACATATGCAAAAGCCGTACACAGTCTTTGTCCACAACTACCAACAAACGGAATAACTCAACAATCGCTCTTGTAAACTGAAGGCGGCTGTCGGTATCCTCATCAGGATATAGATTGCATGCATCGGCTAATTCGGCCATCGTCAACGGTCGACGTGCAAATGCCACCAATTTCAGCATCTCTTTCATAGTCTGATAGTCTTCTTCATCATTCTCTGCCGTGAATGCATCATACAGAAGATTTTTGTATAGCGAATGTAGACCTTGTGGAAGTTTCTGCAGGGTCTTCAAAGGATTCGTGGTTTGGGGCTGGCTCAACCGGTCACACACAATCCCTATCCATAGGAACGTCCCATCAGCCTTTTCTTCCAGGGTTTGGGTCACTCTCTCTTTCACTGACACAGAGTAGCTCTTTTGCTTTGCCAGAATCTCCACTCTTTCGCGGATTGTTGCCCTTAGATCGGTAATGATCTCTTGGCGTGACCCCAGGTCTATGCACGGAAACAAGGAGATGTATGATCGAATCTCAGGATACGGACGGCTGGTTACAAAAAAGTACACGCTAGGTAGGATAGAGCGCTCGGAATGAAAGCCGTCAAAAGATTGCTTGATCTGTCGCAGCATGATCTCTCGGTCATGGGGTTCGCATTCATCCAGAGCATCAACGATGCAGTATATTTTAGGTCCGCGAGTAACTCGTCCTAAATCCATCAGCAAGGCCCATAGCATGTCAAAGCTTGTCAACAGCCGCTCTTGCTGGATTTCATATTTTGGCATTATCTGCCTGATGAGTTCGGGACGTTCACTGATAATCTGATAAAGAAGTCCGCGTAAGATAGAAGTAGCCTTTCCTTTGCAGTCGGAGCGGGCGTCGCAGAAATAAATTGATAGAATGTTATTCTCAGTCAAGAAATAATCCTTCTCTGAAAGTTCTTCTGCCAGTGTGACGGCCATGGTTGACTTGCCAGTACCAGGATTACCGTAGAGCCATAGGACATTTGACTTGTTCCTGGCCGGCTGAAACCAGAATTTCAGTTCATTTGATTCCAAAAACCAGCTGCAAGTCCCTGAAGTGCGGTTTCCTTTACCCCGTTTGAACGAGTTCACAGCACCTTGGGGATCGGTGATGGAAATTTTTCCTAAAAACTCCTTTTCCTTCTCGGTAAGTTCGGATCCTACACGGGTCAGTGAATGGAGATACTAGGAGATGGTAACAGAATACCTTGATCACACACAACGGCATCACTTGCCAACGGAACAATTGATAACAACTTCTTCGCGTAAGCAGCTGCCGCCAGCACTGCAAAACCCTGCCAGTTCTTTTGCTTGTGGGAATCGCAGTAGTCACATATTCCCCGGATGACAAGGCATGGAAGCTGATCCATAATGCCGGCTGATTCCATCTCGAAGCAGAGTATTGGGAGATCTTCCGCATAAGAGTCCCGCATTTGAGCATCCTTCATGACACGATCACCGGAAGCAATCAGGCCATAATGAATGTGCGGTTCGCTACTAGCCCGTGGACCACGCGGCACAAGGTGACTCTTGTCGCATGAAGAGCAGTCTCCAGCGCCTCCATGCACATATGTGGGCTGGAACAGCCAATCTTCAGCTGGGCGGGGAAACGTGTCCTTGTGATGCCCTAAGGCATCAGAAATGACCTTGCTGATCTGTGTATCATGCAATAAATAGTCACTACGCAAATGGGAAACGGCAACCAGGAGGGGAAGGTATGGCTTGTTGAGTGAGCCAGTACGCTCGAAGGAGCCGTACGGGCAGGACTTGCCATAGTCATATTGAACTACACCACCAAGCTGTCCTGTGGGCGTACTAACGACCACATCACCGAGACGAATGTCAGCTCTGGTAGGTACTCCCCCTCCAACCCCAACCATCAAGCCAAATTCGATGGAGGGAAATGTTTGCTTCATTTGAGTAGCAACAGACGCAGCGGAGCATGTCCCATAAATGCCAGACTGCAGGCAGGCAATTGCTATATTATGTCCGTACATACTTCCAAGTGTGTAGGCATTGCGGTCCGTGGGTTGAGGAGGCGATTCGTGAACGTCATCGAGCAAACTTTTCGCAGCAGCCAACTCTATCGGCAGCGCACATATCCACGCTACTTTGTAGTCACGGGATGATAATCTTCGGGACGACATTTTGGACGTAGTGTAGAATAGCACGTTAAGTGTGAGAATCTTTTGCCCTGCTTGTGGAAGCACAATCTGTTAACCAGAAGGTAGGACAGGAGGAAGAGGAGGGGTAATGCGGTACGACAAGGCTGACAACGATGGCAAGGCGCTAAGCCTCTCAATGCCCAAGCGCCTGGGAGATTCTAATATAGCCAAAACAAATCAGGTGAAAATTAGCATTGAAAATGTTTGCTGTGAAATAAGACTTATCAGTCAGAAAAAAGAATTTCATATACAGAATTTTCTTTTGTGTTGAATCCGACTTGTCTGAAAAAAATCGGCTATTCATTGTCTCTCTATATATTTATAAGTCCACTTGGAGCTCACAACTGACCTTCCTCCGAGCCACAGTAGCCATAGTTACTCCAACTTTTCTCATATTCACATCTTCGGGACATTCCTTATCCCTTTTCATGCTGCAGCAGTGATTGTGGCTGGATTATATATTAGCTGAAGGCTTTATAACTCGTCTCAGGCGGAAAGGCACGTACTCCCAGTATTGCATCGGTTCCACGTTACGGGGGTCGCCAGCGCGTTGGGCAACGGGGTTTCCAGCTCTTGCTCATATTACCTGGGCGCTCAGTGGATTGATAAATAGGTCGAGAATTATGGAGTGTATCCAAAAATCGAGTAAGAATGATCTCATTGTCGGCTGTCATACATCTTTGCAAGATAAGAAGTATCAGAATGAAACAGCTAAAACATATCCAAAACATCTCTCTTCAAACAAGATATAGTTAAGTGGAAATGACTCCGAACTCGTATGTCTCGTATGGAGGAATGTGGTAAACGTGGATCGTAGCTAGTGTTTCAACATTTGGATGCACAAAACAAAACGTAATTAACAGTTGTATAATTGGTACATCACCTCTGAATAAAGCGAGCTGGAGAGTAGTACCATATATCCCTTGGATATTCTACATCGGCACCTCTAGCAAGCAGTATTTGTTTTCTCTGTTCATGGCCTTTTATCGTCGCGGCTTGAAGGGCAGTGCGGTCCGGAAGTCCTCCCTCGGCGATGACATCCGCGCCCAGATCCAGTAGTAACTGCACCATTTCCTTATCCCCTTTGGATGCTGCGACAAGTTTCCACCGTCATAGGATTCCCTGTGTATGATGGTCAGCCCGGAACCCTCAGCAAGCGCCAGATAAGGAAAGCAGTACCCATCTGAAGCGGGGGTGACGCGAGCCGGCTGGCATAATGTAGGTATAAGTTCCCTCCACTGATGAACAATGACAATGGATGTAATAAAAGGCTCAGAAGGTATGCAACTGGAAAGAGGTAAGTGAATTATACCCTTCCCAATGAATTGGTGCTCCCTGGTCGGGATGGTTAGGGCACGATGCTTCCAGGGACTTGGGCCGTATCTAGTTGCGCTTCGGAACGAATCGAACTCCGTATCAGCTTTTGTGAACTAAATTAGCCATTATATCTATGTTTTTAGGGAGTTTCAGGGCCTCTTTAGGGGTTGTTAAAGTATTTAGGGTATCAGGGATTCTTAGGGATTTTTCTTTCATTTTTTTCATTTTTTTTTTTTTTTTTTTTCTCTCTTTTTTTTTTTTTCTCAAATATCTTTATAAATTATGTGTAGAGCTGATTCAGTATCAGAAACTATACACAATCACGCTTATAAGCTCACTCAGTATTTCTCAGATATTGACCGAACTGTTTTTCCGGCTCCGCTCTTGACACCGACGC